ATGCTATAGTCTGTTTCAAAAATGTACTTTTATACGAAAATGGTTTCATTTAAAACTGTTGTTCAAAATTCATCATAGTAGTTACATATTGGATCGGTTTTGGTATCAATATAATCAGTACTTGATGACATATAAAGAATCATTGGAGAAAGTGGACATTATCTTCAGGCCCTTTTTAGCAGTACCGCATTTACTCAAAAAATCAGAATTTTTTTTTTCACATTTTTTGACTGGGGTCACCTCTGATAAAAAATTGTGAAAATTCAGAGAGTAATGCCAGAACGTTTTGAAGATGATTTTTGTGTGGCATATATATTTGTGCATCTAACGAACTATGAATTGCATGATTTTAGAAAGTATTAAATACCGTATAGGTTACAATCAACCATTAGATTTTATGGGCGCAGCCATTTTATGAGCATAACATGGTATTCAGAATTAAGAGTATAGCTAATCCTGATTGGTTGAAATGTGTGCCCGTTATATTTTGTTATTAGAGACTTCGTGCATTCTGCATTATACCAAAGGCCAAATAAATTATTTTCCTTAGCCCTAACGGAACTGAGATGTCTTTTAAACGCTAGGATGAGATACGTATTTTTAAATGCAAAATTGATAGGCATGGGAGATAAGTACAAATTACGCTTAGAAAAGCAACGCGAACCTACATTTTTTGGATAAAAAAATACTGTCCTAATAACTTTTCTTTAATTCTAGCAAGGTTTCGTTAAAAAAATCAACTTTCTAAAGGCTGTATCTCGAAAAGGCTATCATTGTCGCCTATGGGGAAATTAATTGTTAATTTCAATCTAAAGACATACACAAAATTACGTGGAATTCTCCAAACAACAGGGACAAAAATCAGATTGACCACATCATCATAAATGGCAAATGGAGACGATCATTACTCGATACCCGAGCATTTAGGGGAGCAGATGTGAACAGCGACCATCATTTAGCTATAGCTAAACTCAAACTAAAGCTGAAAAAGGTACCAGACAATAACAAACCTGGGAGAAAGATCATCGATGTCAACCGTCTGAAAGAACCTGAAATAAAACAAAAGTTTGTCATCGAACTAAGAAACAGATTTCGAGTATTAGAGGAAATTGATCAAACTGAAGGCAGTTCCATAGAAAAGAAATGGAAAACATCAAGGAGGTGTATCAAAACACAAGTGAAAAGATCGTTGGCTTCCGTAAGATCAGCAATAAACAATGGTTAACATCAGACACCTGGAAAGTAATCGATGAAACAGCAAAACTGAAAAAAAAGGTTCTCAGCACTAGGTCAAGGTTAAAAGAACAAATGCAGAAAGAATATGCAGAGAAAGATAAGGAGGTAAAGAAAAGAGCTAGAAATGATAAAAGGAACCATCTGGAAGAACGAGCTGAAGAAGCAGAAAAGGCTGCCGCAAAAGGTGATTTAAGTACAGTATACAAGATCACAAAAGAACTATGTGGTCAATCCAAACAACCACCTCCATTTAAAGACAAAAATGGATAAATCATTACAACTGAAAGGCTGCACGTTGGGTAGAACTCTTCAAGGCTGTTTTGAATAGACCAGAACCAATAAACGAATTTCAGGGAGCACCACAATTTGAAGATCTAGATATTAGCACTGACCCACCATCTAGAGAAGAAATAACAAAGGCAATTAAATCCATGAAATCTGGAAAGGCAGCAGGCATACATGGAATTCAAGCTGAACTACTGAAAGCTGACATCAACACAGCAACAGTCATACTACATGATCTCTTCAAAGACATATTGGAAGAAAATAGATTACCTGAAGACTGGGCAAAAGGTTTTATCGTTAAACTAACGAAGAAAGGTGATCTTGGGATTTGTGACAACTGGAGAGGTATAACATCACTCTCAATCCCAAGTAAAGTGTTTTGCAGAATACTGTTAAACAGGATAGACTCCGAACTGGATAACAGGTTAAGACAGGAACAAGCTTGTTTAGGAAAAGGAAAGGATGTATTGATCAGATCTTTGCTCTAAGGAACATCATTGAGCAGTGTATAGAATGGAAGACACCTCTATATATCAACTTTATTGATTTCAAGAAAGCATTCGACAGTTCACATAGAGAGACTCTCTGGACAATCCTTATATCATATGGAGTACCACACAAGATCGTAACACTGATGAAATGCTTTTATACCAACTTTGAATGTGCTGTGATACTTAACAACAAGGAAATTGACTGGTTTGAAGTAAAATCTGGAGTACGACAGGGCTGCATCATCTCACCCATCTTATTCCTGGTTGCCATTGACTGGGTGATGCGGAAGACCACCAGTGACAAAAAAAGAGGCATCACATGGTCAATGTTTACAACCCTGGAGGACCTTGACTTTGCTGATGATATAGCACTCCTTTCATCAAACCAAGACAATATGCAGGAAAAGACAAATCGGCTCAGCCATTTTGCAAGCCAAATTGGACTTGAAATGAACGCAAAAAAGACTCAAGAAATGCGACTTAACACAACATCAAACTTAAGACTAAAAGCTGAGGGCACAGAAATCCAACAGGTAGATAAATTTACTTATCTAGGAACTGTGGTTAGTACAGAAGATCCAACACAAAAAGATATTAAAAGTAGGCTAGCCAAGGCAAGATTTGCATTTCAAAGACTACGACCCATTTGGAAGTCCAAACAATACAACAGGAAAACAAAGATAAGGCTATATAACAATACTGTTAAATCTGTCCTTCTGTATGGAAGTGAATGCTGGAGAGTAACGAAAACAGATATGAGATCGCTCTCCAGTTTCCACCACAATTGTCTGAGGCGAATCTGCAAAATCTTCTGGCCAAACCGTATTTCAAATGAACATCTCCTTGAAATGACTAAGTCCTCATGTATTCTGAAAGAAATTCGACAGAGGCGCTTCAGATGGCTGGGGCATGTTCTCAGAATGCCTGTATCCAATATCACCAGGATAGCTCTTAGATGGACGCCCCAGGGGAAGAGACCAAGAGGAAGACCCAAAACCACCTGGCGTCGAACGATTGAAGCAGAACTGAAGGAGCTTGACATGACCTGGGGAGAAGAAGCCGAAACAAAGGCTTAAGACAGAATTGGATGGCGAAATCTTGTGGCGACCGTATGCTCCGCCAGGAGCGAAGAGGATAGGTAGGTATGTAGGTAGGAGTGCAATACATACTGATATGAGATTCATGCAACATGATTCAGAATATTATTGCTTTATTATAACTCTCTGTAAATTAGTATTATCCAAAAACTTATTTCAAGTGTTGAAACCATAGCCACTAAGCTATGGTCTATTATAGATAAATGTGCATAAATGCCGCAATGGCTTATGAAAAAATTAACACTTCAATTCAGAATTACTGAGTGGGTGCAATCACATAATAATGCAGATGTATAGCAAATATCAATGGTCAGTCAGAAGAGTGTATACTGTACTCTAACATAAATTTAGTGTTGATAAGGCAGATGTTAAACCTATCTTGCTTTACAACATTTGTTGCTGACAAGACCCTTTTATGTAATTTTTGGAAGGTTTCGTGTTAATCAGTCTTTAGTTTTTTTTAATGGTGTTTTGTAGACTGTTGTTTGTCTTTTCTTTATTCTTTGTTTTTTCCCATGATTTTTAGAGGTCTCCTCGACTTATGAATTTTGATTCTCCCTTTGGAATATTCTGTCTCTTTTTTATTAAATTTGCCAGAATCAGGCATTAGATTGTCCTTCTTAAAGACAATTAAAAGATATTGACAAAAATCAGATAAAACTGACACATACCAAGATATAAATATTTTCAAAACTTTTCTCTGGAGTATTGATTCTGTCTCTTGTTCATAAAAAATCTTCTGTCAAAATTTCATAAAATTCAATAAAGGTTTGACAAAGTTATTGATGAATGAAAAACTTTAACCTTAGACCGAATCTTAATGTTAATTGTTAAAAGAAACTAAGTTAATTTATCAGTTAAATATGGAACAAGGAATGAGCTGTCAAATTGACAGCAAACTGGTTTTTCTGTATTTTGAGAGGCACGTTCAGGCTTTTTTTTACCTCCCACATTCTATGCCTATCTTCCAATCTATGAAGGACCATAAGTCCTAAACATCTTGACCACCCTTTTGTCTTCAGTAAAATCAAATTGAAATTTTCAGAGCATGGAAACGACATAAAGTGCAAATTTCCAATCTACCAAGGACCATTCCCCTGAACAGTTAAAAGTGAAAATCATCAATATTGAATTGACCTCCATTATGTCATCAGTAACAACATATTATAATTTGACAACCACTGGAAGAAGGGATCATAAGTTATTGAACGGAAACGACACAAAGTACCATTTCCCAATATATCAAGGATCATAACTCCTGAACAGTAAAAGTGAAAATTGTCAATATTGAATTTGACCCCCATTTTATCATTAGTATCAAAATATTAAAATTTGAAGAGCATTGGTTGAACAGTTCATAAGTTATAGCACAGAAACTGTTGGCAGCTGCCTGAAGTCTTGCCAGCCTGTCAGCTGCCCCTTCAAAAAACTCAGTTAAAAATGAAAAAAAAAAAAAAAAAAAAAATTTAAATTTGGCTCTGGATAATGTCTTTATGTCATAAAAAAGATTCTGTCCACATTTCATAAAAGTGTGACAAAGTAATTGATGTAAAAAAAAAGTTAACCACAGACTGAACCTAAGTGTTGATGCTACCACCCAAAGTATCTTGGATTGCTATGTCTCACTTTCACGCAGGCTCAACAAAAATGAATCTCTAATTACAGGGTCAATTAAAGAATTGGCAAATAGACTTTTAAGTCTTAAACATTTGCTTTAGGACTTCAAACTTCTTGCATTTCATGAGAAACAGCAAATTCTGTCAAAATAGCCACATCTTGGATCACGTTTTGGTTGACGTCTTATAACAAATATGTCAATGTGGGTTAGTCCTTGGCTCATTTCTAATTTTACCAAAAAGTAATATGGCCTTTTACATTAAGGTCCAATACATAAATTTCAACATGTTTATTACACATAATAACATCACAACTGACTTCATTGCACTAAGGTGTCCAGATTAGATTGCTCTATCCATTTATCAGTAGAACCATGGAAGTATTATATTGACAGGAACTCCAACAAACGGACATCAAACGTTTATAGTGCGATGCCGCAAATTAGTTAAGTATCTATTAATTGACTCGACATGTCATATCGCGATGCATGGGTTCAATAAATTTTTTGGAACTTCGTCTTTAATCGTAATTACGGAATATACCGAATAACCAAGTGTGTACTTAATTGTCAAGGAATTATGTCAATTTCTACGGGTTTTGATGCGTTAAAACAAATAAAGAGAAAGAAAAGAAAACCCTGCGACTGTTTTCTCAAAAAATCTGAAGGGTTAAAATACTCGCAAGTCATGAACATTTCAGTTTTAGTTACAATCAATTTTAATTGTAAGATTTTTATTCATGAGAGGTCCACTGCCTGAACATGCATATATACATGCTAGGCTTGAAATTCATCAATTTCTTGTAAAAAGTAAACGGAAAAGTTGTCCTCTGCAATTATTATCAGTGAAGATTACTGCTAACTTTGACAGATAATTTAATTAAGTGTTTACTGAATGTCAAATGCCAAAATATTTCATGAATTTTCAACAAAAACGTTAATATTTGATTCTGGGTTTGGGGTGTGTTTAAGGGCTTTTAGATCGGAAAAAAACTCATATTTTGGTAAAATGAAATAGAGCATGGGCAATCGTACCATATCTCTCTTTTTTATATTGGCTTGAATAACAATAAATTTCTTGTGTAAGGATAAAAAAGTTGCAATTTGCATCTATAATTGATGTTTACTGCTTTGACAAATATTTTGATTAATTGTTTACTGAATGTCCAATGGCAAATATTTCATGCATTTCAACAAAAAACAAAAACATGAATTGCTTAACATACGTCATGTACGTTGTAAGATGTTTTAGAACTTTTAAGCATTTTCACACACAAATAATTCTAATTTGGTTTCCATGATAAAATCTTAAGAACAAAACAATATTTTACTGCTTAGGACCCATCATAATGATCGTTCTTTAAATGCATCAAGACATATTTGAAGTTGAGCTATTCCTAAAAAAAATAAAATCAGTCAGACGTCAGAGCAATCTCGGACTAGGTTGAACGTTGTTTTTAATTTTTGAATTATATCATAACCTGATACATGCTATGTAGAGGTCAATACGTGCGTGTAATTATTAAACTCTATTAGTTTTTAAAACATATTCGATAAATACGTTTGATTACATTTTTCGACATTCATGAGACGATAGAGAAAACTATAAATATTTTTGTAACACTCAATAAAAATTCACAACCTTTAACTTGAAATTTGAGTCATCCTTCGCCATCCTCCACACTACACGTGCATCACATTATTTTCTGCAAACACCCTACTTCAGGTACATGTAATTTTTATTACCGGAGATTTCCCGATTTCCAAGTTCCAATGATTAAAACATATCAAATAAAACGAAAAGTTATCTTAACTTCTTTCCGAAAGCAGTTAATTTTCTTATGTCATTCTGTTAAATATGGACCGATTTTTAAATTATTTTCAGCTTCCCCCTTCATTAATTGAACGGGAACAGGTGTCATCATTCATGTGGCGATACACAAATAACCACGGGAGTTTCCATGTTTATTTACATTGGTAGGTTTATAAGACATTCAATAACAAATCATGTGATAAGATTGGTAGAACTAACATAATTTTGAAAGGCTTGAATAAGTTTACTATTTTTGCAATTCCAAGGGCCAAATAATGGCGCTTGTCATACCTCTTCTAGTTTTGCTTTAAATAAACTATATTACAAGAATAATCACATATATTTAAAAAAAAAATTATTACATATTCATAAAATATCTCTTCAATAGCAATTAATATTAAAAACATAACAAAAATACATTCTTAGTTACAATAAATGCATGCATGTTTCTGAAATTATAGACGTTATTACTAATTAATTACATTTTAATCCACTTCATTGTAAGAAGTCCAATATTTTAAAGTCTGCTTGTACGTAAGATAGATGGGTACATTATAAAATTTGCTATTTACTCATTTGTCAGCATGTACATTTATCATCTACAGATACTGATAAAGAAGTACTTTTCTTAAACCTTGATTGGCAAACGTCTTAAACATGTGATATGCAAGGCCCATGCGTTATAACTCCAATGTCCACTTGTCATGCTTTCAGTTCAAATTTCTAAATGAAGTGTTGTCTTGAATATCAAATTAACCTCCTAACCTTTACAGGACTGTAGAACTTTCTGCAAAAGAGAGAGACAGTTGAAAAGTTGTTGTTCAAAGTATTCTGAACTGTTTATAAATATCTTATTTGTTCTATTAATTGAAGTACTTGCATTTAAATATTGTTCAATTTTCTTTTGATTAGAAATTTGACCAAAGAATGACTTATTAAATCTAAAGTACAGCTGTATGGCCACTTTCCCCTGCATTTGTTTTACTCAGTCAAAGTCATGAAGAAGGAAAACCTAGTGAAATTTGAATATTCAAAAGTGCAAATAAAATATTTTAATAAATTGGCAACTTTTTCATGAATATTAATAAATTCAAAATGTTATTCAGCCTTGCACAAATATTCTGCAGAAAATTTTGATAGACAATTGCAATTTCATGTTTATTAAAATTTTCACTGATCATGTTGATGAATCCAAAATGAAAATGATGTAATTCTAGTTTGAATGCCTATATATACAGCTGATAAAACACTTTAATAATTTTTTATTAGGTTTTGAATGTCCTTACATTTCAATTGGAAGATCAACTTTTATAATTTGCCGAAATATTTTCAAAATTGTTTTTTGAGCCATCAATCTAAAGCATTTTAAACATGATTAAATGATTTCATACATACAACAGAATGTCAAAAAGCACTAAATTAATAAGATATGATAATGAGAGTAAAAATATCAATTAAACTTCCTTTATACGTGTTTTTGGATACCAATGATTCATGATTATATTTTATCATTAATTTCATTAAGAAAAATTTAAAAAGTTTAAAAGTGTATTTTGTTTAGTTTCCAAACAAAAACTTACTGTAATAACTTATTGAATTAGATAAACATGGTTTAAAATAAAACCAAAATGTATCTTAAGTATCATTCATGATGGCATTGAATATATTCCCAATTATGTCTCGGCTTTTTATATGTGTACTGTACTAAGACATTGTCACATATAGAAGGAGCGATTTTTACCTTTGATACTGCTCGTATATGATCACTATGTATAATATTCTTTTTTTCTTCCTTTGCTTTATTCTGAGCTTCAATGGCTAATTTCTGCATTGCCAACAAATACTGTAACCATACCTGTAAAAATATAATTACAACTGATTAGTATATCTGACCACTGAGTATCAAACCCACTAGAACATAATAACTGGAATGAGAAAAATACATTGATGCACAAGAAGAAGACATAAAAGACTTGGGCTGAATTCTGATAGTTCAACTGGACTACAAAAACTTTGGTCAGCTAAAATCTAGGGAAACAATATGGTTTTATTTCATTGGTACAATATGTCAGTATAAATTCCTGATCCATACATTACAACATATACATTTGCCCTAAGTAATAATCACAATAACAAGGATCTTTAAAATCAACCACGTCCCACTTTATAGGCACAAACTTTGCACTGTTTTACAGGTAACACATGCCTCATATAAAACGTACAACAATTTCCTGAGAACTCAAACTAGAGGCTCTCAAGAGCCTGTGTCGCTCACCGGTATCTACTGTGGTTTTGGAAATCATGTAAAATAAGGTTAAAATCAAAAGATACCCCAATAATGATTGAAGCCAAGTTTGGTTTAATTTGGCCCAGTAGTTAAATTAAAAGCAGAAGATCTTTGAAAAGATTTACAAAAATTACCAATAAATTGCAGAAAATCACTTTAAAGGACAATAACTCCATTAAGATGTCAATTGCCAATTGGTCATTTTAACTTATTTGTAGATCTTTCTTTGCTGTTTACAGTATATCTCAATCTATAATGATATTCAAGATAATTAACAAAAAATAAAAATTTCCTTTCCTCCGCTCCAAAATTTATTTCACCTAGGGCCTGTATAATGCTGAAAATGCCTTTAAATGTTTTTATTGAACACCCTTTAAAATAAATTGCTTCACAGAGCGCAGCTGGATACAACCGCAGAGGTCCAACCCTGAACAGTTGGGGCAAAAATGGACACAATATTTGTGCTTGACACATAATAGGTTTCTGACACAGAATAACTGTAGTCAAAGAACTTAGAATTGGTTATATGATTTGAATTTATATTCAATTTTTTGCTTTTGTGCAATACACTATGCTGTTGCTAATTGACCCCCCCCCCCCCTAAAAAAAAAAAAAAAAAAAAAATTTACCCCCCCCCTTTTTTTGGCAAAGTTTTTTGGAGTTTGCAACCATAATTACCCATTTAAATACATCATAAAAGTCTTAAAATAGAAAATGACATACATAATCATGGCTAAAATTAATATTCCTTAATCAACATTTTTAAATAGTAACTTCTAAAAATAAATTGACAGCTAATCACCTCAAGACAATACAACATTTCTTTATACATAATTTAAAAGCAGTGTAACACATGTGTAAGGGAGGTAACCCAAACATAACATTATACTTTTTTTTAATTGTCCATTAACCAGGAAACCCTTGTTTCCCCCCTTTTTGCCCCTAATTCCTAAACGGTTTGAGCCATAACCCCCCCAAAGCCAATCCTAACCATCCCTTTGTGGTATGGAAACTTGTGGTATAATTTCAGAGAGATCCATACACCGTTCCACAAGTTATTGTCTGGAAACTAGAAAAATGCTTATTTGGGCCCCTAATTCCTAAACTGTTAGGACTATAACCCCCCAAATCAATCCCAACCTTCCTTTTGTGGTTATAAACCTTGCTTTTAAATTTCATAGATTTCTATTTACATTTACTAAAGTTATTGTCCGGAAACCAAATGTCTTCGGATGACGCTGACGACGAGGACCACGTTGACGACATACCAATATACAAATATACCAATATATAAAAAATTTGGGCAGGGGTTCCCCTATGACCCCGACAGATCTGGGGGATATTCACCCAATATAAGTATGCTGAAAGAAAAGACATAATAATGGTTTATAGAAAAAGTAACACTGAATAATTCTGAAAATGGAACATATCAAGGAGAAATTATTAGCACCCCCCCTGAAAAAAAATCAAGTCATCCCATTGTAGTCTTACAATAGTTACTGAACACCCCTTATCATTATTTAAATTAGTTTTCAAGTTGAAACCATTTGAAATTGTTTTTTTTACATTTTTCCATAGACTTCTATAGTAAACCCCTATGATCTATTTTTACCAATGGGGACCATGTTGGTTGTAGGGCAGGGTCATCGGATATATTTTTCAATCAAGATACTCTAATAATAATTGTGGCTAAGTTTAATTCCATTTGGCCAACTAGATTAAGAGGAGAAGATTTTTGTAAAAGATTTTGTGAAAAATAGTGAAAAATTGACTTTAAAGGGCAATAACTCCTTAAGGGGTCAGTTGACAATTTATGGTAATGTTGACCTGATGAACATTTAATCCCGTTAGATTTGCTCTAACTGCTTTAGTTTTAGAGATATAAGCCAAAGACTGCATTTTACCTCTATGTTCAATGTTTAGCCATGGCGACCATCTTGGTAGGTGCTAAGGTGGGAGCGGTCATCGGATACATTTTTAAAACTAGATACCCTAAGGATGATTTAGGCCAAGTATGGTTTAACTTGGCCCAGTAATTTCAGGAGAAGATTTTTGTAAAAGATTACAAAAATTTACAAAAAATTGACTTTAAAGGGCAATAACTCCTTAAGGGGTCAATTGACAATTTTGGTCATGTTTGACTTATTTGTAGATCTTACTTTGCTGAACATTTTTGCTGTTTACAGTTTATTTTTGTCTATTATAATATTCAAGACAATAACCAAAAACTGAAAAAAATTCCTTAAATTACCAATTCAGGGGCAGCAACCCAACAACAGTTGTCTGATTTGTCTGAAAATTTCAGGGCAGATAGATCTTGACCTGATGAACAGTTTTACACCATGTCAGATTTGCTCTAAATGCTTTAGTTTCAGAGATATAAGCCAAAAAATGCATTTTACCCCCCATGTTCTATTTTAAGCCATGGTGGCCATCTTGGTTGGTGGGCAGGGTCATCAGATACATTTTTTAAACTAGATACCCTAAGGATGATTTAGGCCAAATTTGGTTTAACTTGGCCCAGTAATTTCAGAGGAGAAGATTTTTGTAAAAGATAACAAAAATTTACGAAAAATTGTGAAAATTTGACTTCAAAGGGTAATAATTCTTTAAGGGGTCAATTGACAATTTTGGTCATGTTGACTTATTTGTATATCTTACTTTGCTGAACATTTTTGCTGTTAACAGTTCCTGGCATTCTGTTATGAAGGAAAAGGGGGGAGGAAACGCTGCTCTATCAAGTTGTCTCCCCTTTCACTCCAAAACGTTAATAACTAGACATCTCTATCTATTATAATATTCAAGATAATAACCATAAACTGTTAATACAGAGATATGTCTCGCCTATTTGTTATTTTGATAATGCAAATGTTGAAATTAAAATAGCAATACTTTAACATGTAAGTTATGCAAATATTCAAAGTCAATGGACCATGACTAAAGGTACAGGGCTAAACAATCTCCATGGAAATGAGATGTGCCAATGCTAATACAACTGCAAACCAAATACCATTGACTTTTCATAAGTTGTTCCCTTTAAACAAACTTAACACAAACATTAACTTGTAAACTATGTAAAAGTTTCGAAGTCAATGAACCATAATTAGGGGGTGGGGTTATATAATCTCCATGGAAATGAAACTTGCAAAAATATCATTGTCTTAAAATTATTGGTTCATCTTAAACTGACCTAATCACAAACTAATACATGTAAACTAAGCAAAGTTTCAAAGTCAATAGACCATGATTGAGGGGTAAGGACCAAATATTCTCCATGGAAATGAGATGTGCTGAAGCTTATACAACTGCATACCAATTATCATTGACCTACCACTAGTGGTTCCCCATAAACTGACCTAATCACAAACTAATACATGTAAACTAAGCAAAGTTTAAAAAATCAATAGACCTTGACTGAGGGGGTGGGGCCAAATAATCTCCATGGTAATGAGATGTGCCAATGCTAATACAACTGCATACCAAATATCATTGACCTACCACTAGTGGTTCACCATGAACTAGACCTAATCACAAAACTAATTTCCTTGAAATTACCAATTTAGGGGCAGCAACCCAACAATGGGATGTCTGATTCGTCTGAAAATTACTGGGCAGATAGATCTTGACCTGATGAACATTTTTACCCATGTCAGATTTGCTCTAAACGCTTTAGTTTCAGAGATATAAGCCAAAAACTGCATTTTACCCCTATGTTCTATTTTTAGCCATGGCAGCCATCTTGATTGGTGGGTGGGGTCATTGGATACATTTTTTAAACTAGATACCCTAAGGATGATTTAGGCCAAGTTTGGTTTAATTTGGCTCAGTTGTTTCAGAGAAGATTTTTGTAAAAGTTAACGACGACGACGGAGACGACAGACGCTAAGTGATGAAAAAGCTCACTTGACCCTTTGGGTCAGGTGAGCTAAAAAATATGAACCTGAGAACCAATAGAGAATACCCCAAAACTCTATCTTATATGGAGCTATACTGCATTTATAGATAATAGAGTCTATAATTTTGAGATATATATATGTCATTTTTACTCAATAAAAGTACAATTTAACTTTAGAAATTCGATTTATGAGTCTTGTATGCAAGTTCCTTGTATAACAATTCAAACTAAAGGTAGATAACTCTATCTAAATAAAATTATAAAAAGTATTGACAAATAAGTTTCTTTAAAACAATTGAAATTATGAAAAGTTAAGACATTATTTGGAAAACATTTATTTTCCATAGAATCACCTGAATGTTGTTAATAAATAAGAATTTTTTTTAATGTAATTAGTTATGATTCATTAAGAAGGTTAAAGTTTCAAGATCCGAGTTCATTTTATTGTTTCTTATGTTATAAAATTGAGAATGGAAATGGGGAATATGTCAAAGAGACAACAACCAGACCAAAGAGAAGACAACAGCTGAAGGCCACCAATGGGTCTTCAATGCAGCGAGAAAATCCCGCACCCGGAGGTGGTCCTCAGCTGGCCCCTAAATAAAATTGTGTACTAGTTCAGTGAAAATGGATGTCACACTAAACTCCAAAACATATAAATGAACTAAAATTAAATAAATGTGGATTGTGTCCACAGATGATGCCCCCGCTTGCATATCATATAGTTATAAAGGGACATAACTGAAGAACGGTAAAAGTGACGCTACCCAAATTTGAACTTGATCTGAGTTTTTTGGTAATAAGCATTGTGTGTAAGTCTCATAAGATTTGGTTGAGGCTAACTTAAGAAGAGAACAGAAACGAAAAAAATCAGCAATTTTTCTATTTGTAAACATGCATAACTCTAGAACGGTTGTGTATAAGTTTTATAAAATTTGGTTGAGACAAACTAAAGTTAGAGAACGGAAACGAAAAATTCAGCAATTTTTATGTTTATAAAGGGACATAACTCCAGAATGGTAAAAGTGGCGCCACCGAATTTCCTACGTAATCTGTATTATGTAGTAATAAGCATTGTGTATAAGTTTCATAACATTTGGTTGAGGCAAACTAAAGTTAGAGAACGGAAAACAATATTTGTACTTGATCTTAGTTTTGTGGTAATGAGTATTGTGTATAGGTTTCATAATGTTTGGTTGGGGCAAACTTAAGTTACAGAATGGAAACTAAAAATTTTGCAATTTTTCGATTTATAAAGGGGCATAACTCAATAATGGTTAAAGTGACACTACCCAAATTCAACTTGATCTGTGTTTTATCAGTGGAAGGCAAAATAAACACTGAATTGTATAAAGCATTGATCGTAGTTGATTTAACTATAATCATGGACAAAGGAAGATCACTCCAATTTTTAAAAATTACTTGAATGACATTGATATTTTTTGAAAAAAAATGAAAAATTTAGCAATTTTCCATTTGTAAAGGGGCATAACTCTAGAACAGTAAAAGTGACGCCCCCAAAATTCAAACTTGATCTGTGTATTGTGGTAATGAGCATTGTGTATAAGTTTCATAACATTCATAACATTTGGATGAGGCAAACTGAAGTTAGAGAACAGAAACCAATTTTGGGACGCACGGACGGAGGGACAAGGGTAAAACTTTATTGCCCCCTCCGCTTCGGCGGGGGCATAAAAAAAAAAGACTAACAAAGGCCAGAGGCTCCTGACTTGGGACAGGCGCAAAAATGTTCATTTTGTCAAATGGTGTATAGTCTTTTTATTAACAAAAGCAGTATTACACCATATTAAATAGAGTTTTCAGGTAAAATCTATGGGTTCTCTGAAAATTGTTGTACCCTTCCCTCATAGAAGAATCTAAGAGTTAGACCAGAGACATATAAATTCAGATTCTTTATTTTCCTATATTAATCACAGGGCCCTTTCAGGTATTGACACAATCATTCACACTTTCATACCAACCTTTTTCATTTCACTCACTCTGATTATGTTAATTAGATACTGTAATGTAGAACATACATAAAACTTCATCATATAAAATGTTTAGGTCCAATTCATGAATAAAGATAGATAACTCTGATTGTTATAATTAACATTTTCTTTTTTACCAAGTAGATAATCATAATAATTCAGTACAATCATGCTGTTTTCTTTCAGCAAAATTCAGCTTTAAAAACTCACACAATAAAGATAATCAAAGAGCTGATAGCTCTGAGGTGGAAGAAGATACATGAAAGGATAATTTGAATTACAATGAAAGCAGACCACACCAATCCAGCCTGCTATGTGCTGTGTTGCTTTCAACATATTTTTTTCTTCCAAAAATAATACACTTACTCATGTCTCCACCAAAACAGATTCAACTAAACATAAAAATATCCTAATATTGTTAATTCATATTAAATTTTCTATAACTCTATACATTGCAACTCAATCAACTTGAGGGAAGTAAATATACCAAGAATTGATTAGGATTCACTTGAAAGTTTTTCTGTCAACGGTTGTTATTCACTTTAGGCATTCCGGCTACCTTTGTCAAAAAAACCTGGCCACCATGATTTTAAAAAGTGTGCTGAATAAATAAATTATGAATAGGTATAGCTGTTCACAGTTACTTGTATTTTTGTTTCATTACAAACATATTTTAAAAAGTGCTTCCTATATCCAATGTAGATTTTGAAAGTTGGCAGGTAATTTTACACAAGTTTCTAACTAATCCAACAATCAATCATGAACTGTTATAGTTGTTATCATATAAGAAAGCAGTTAAAAATCCTTCATTTTCATTAACTGATTTTTTTATGTTTGTTTTGCTGTTTCTAATTGTCCCTTGTCAGGGGTTGGATTTGGAGCACTTGTTAACATTTTAAACCAAGTCTTTTTCTGTAATAGCTTGTCCCAAGTCAGGAACCTGCAATAATTTTGACACTAGTGGTTCCCCATAAACTGACTAAATCACAAACAAATACATGTAAACTAAGTAAAAGTTTCAAAGTCTGTAGTAACCAATAAAAGTGCACTGCAAAATCCAGTTAAGGTTTTTATTTACCAAAAGATAAAATGCATTTGAATTATATTTATCTAGGGCATGCTATGCCTTTAAACTTTTCCAGATACACAGGTTTGTGTGTACTCGAGTAAATTTTCAGGTGGAAACAGTGTTTTAAACTATAAGGTCCACAGGAACCTTAATGAATCCGGGTCCATTTGCCCTAGTACCTGTTTGCCGTGTTTTCTGTATGTATTTTTTTTATTCATTTTAACAATTTCAGAACAACCATTAACAGTAATAACATGATCCAACTCAACTTAAGTCATTTGCATCACACACCCAAAATTGAAATACTCTGTATAAAAAAATACTAAAAGGACACAATCACACAGCCATTCACTCTACATTTCTACATCATGATTTACTAAATTAAACAAATTTGAGATCAAAGAAGCCAAGCTGTGAAAAAAATTTCACTTTCAGGTCTTACAATTCGTACTTCATTGTTTTCACTTATTCCAAGCTGACTTCTTTATTTAAAACTAGAGATTCCCAAGTCTTTTTCTGTAAGTGTCGCTCACCTGATTCTACTTTGGTTTTGGAAATCATGTAAAAATAGATTAGAATCATAACAGATACCCTAATAATGATTGAGTCCAAATTTGGTTTAATATTGGCCCCATTATTTAATCAAAAGCAGAAGACTTTTATAAAATTTACTTAAACTCGTATAATTATATGTCCTAGACTCCTACCAATGTTAACACTTTCTTCTGTTTTACTTTTGTTTTCTTAATTTGTCTGTGGAGAGCAGAGTTCAGCTTTGTTTTCTGAAATTTTGGTGTAGTTGTGGTCATATTTTTGTCTTATGTTTCTGTTCGACTTTTAAATCGGAATTCGCGGTAAAGTGTATAAAGAACGGTACCAAGGTAGGATATATCCATTCACGGAATTATTGTTGCGTAAACATTATTTTCGAGCTTCTCGATGTTCAAGGTTAAAATTTACCTCAAAGTCCTCATGTTCTAATTCCGAACATCTGCGTGTTTGAAGTTTCCGGTTCATTGAATAGGTAGAACTAAAATTTTTGATTGTAATCATCATCATATATACATGTATACATGTGATTTTGAAAGAAAAACCAAACGAATGGCATTATGGATTTGTGAATAGATAGGTAAGCAAATGATAGATACATGTAGATATTAATTAGGAATAATTTGTGAGTAACAGAAAATCTGTTTAACAAACTTTCAAAATGATTATCCTTAAAGGTGCAATGTTTTGCATTGCATAATCAACTTTTCAGTTTAATGAAAATGCGTGAGACTTGGCAGCCCTGCTAAAGAAAGATTTCACACTTAATAGATAGCTTGCCATGTTTGTGTAGTTGACCATAAAGTATGGTAATTTTGATTGGAAGCAAGACAACTTGCCCCACACCAAATCGCCCCACTTTTTAAAAAATCGCCCCACTTCCTAAAAAATTGCTCCACTCTGGTTTACTAACTCGCCCCACTTATGACAAAGGATAAAATCACGATAATATATAATGAAGGTCTGCCAACTCGCCCCACTTATGAAAACTTAACTACACAGAATAAAACAAATCACTTGTGATACTAATAAAAATCGAAAATTGAATATATGATTATGATTGAAATTAAATGATGCTTCATTTCTTAAAATAAGATTGTAGATACATTATTTATTATTATGTAATTTTAGTATTTATTGGAGAATAACTTTATATTATTATTATTATAAACACCCATGATTCTTGAATTATCTAGTAAAACAGTGATTACATTCCAGAAAACAAATGTCATAAACAGTTACATAGTCAATAACATCGTACATCACAGAAATGCTGATACTTACTTCTTTCTGCATTATTTCAATCAAAAGAAAAGAGTTAAAAAAACAAGATGCATTTCTAAAGTTTTCATCAGTATTCATTTAATTTATCATGTTCATAAGTGGGGCGAGTTGGTAGACCTTAATTCAGTACAGTTTTTAAAATTCTTTTATTCATTAGTTGGGCGAGTTGGCAGACTTTTATTCAATGGGATTAAACTCCTTTTTCTAAGTGAGGTGAGTTGTTAGTCATTAATGCAGTAAGATGTTATTGGTTTTTGTGGAGTCTTTGACTTTAGTCGAAAAAGCGAGACATAGTGATCCTACATTCCGTCGGCGGCGTCCACAAATATTCACTCTGTGATTTTTGAAATTTTAATAACTTTCTTAAACTATCCTGGATTTCTACCAAACTTGGACAGTAGCTTGTTTATGATCATAAGATAGTATCCAGAAGTAAATTTTGTAAAAATAAAATTCCTGTTTTTCCGTATTTTACTTGTAAATGGACTTAGTTTTTCTGCTGGGAAACATTACATTCACTCTGTGGTTAAAGTTTTTAAAATTTTAATAACTTTCTTAAACTATCCTGGATTTTTACCAAACTTGGACAGAAGCTTGTTTATGATCATAAGATAGTATCCAGAAGTAAATTTGTTCAAAACAAAATTTCATTTTTTTCGTATTTTACTTATAAATGGACTTAGTTTTTCCGCCAGGAAACAATACACTGTGGTTAAAGTTTTTTAAATTTTAATAACTTTCTTAAACTATCCTGGATTTGTACCAAACTTGGACAGAAGCGTGTTTATGATCAAAAGCTAGTATCTAGAAGGAAATTTTGTTAAAATTTTGTACCTGTTTATCTGTATTTTACTTATAAATGGACTTAGTTTTTCTTCCAGTTAACATTAAATACAGTCTGCAGTTAAAGTTTTTAAAACATTTATTAGATTCATAAACTATCCTGGATTTATACCAAACTTTGACAGAAGCTTCTTACAATCAAAAGATAGTATCTAAAGGAATATTTTTATTGATTTTTTTCCTCATTTTTGTTGAGCCTGCGATTAACAGCAAAAGTAGGTGGAACCCTTACGAATTTTTTATAAGTGGGGCGAGTTGGCAGGACTAAATTCCACTGGATTTAATATTTTTCATAAGTGGGGCTAGTTCGCAGACCTTTATTCTGTGGGATTTTAACCTTTTAAATAAATGGGACGAGTTGGCTGACCTATATTCAGTGGTAAACAAGAGTGGGACAATTTTTTTAGAAAGTGGGGCTAGTTGGTGAAAAAGTGGGGCGATTTGGCAGTGGGGCGAGTTGTCATGGTTTCTTTTGATTGGACCATTTTTATACGACCGCAAAAAAATTTTTGTGGTCGTATATTGGTATGACGTTGGCGTCGTCGTCGTCGTCGTCGTCGTCGTCGTCGTCGTCGTCGTCCGGCGTCGTCGTCCGAATACACATTAGTTTTCGCACTCTAACTTTAGTTTAAGTGAATGGATCTCAATGAAATTTTACCATAAGGTTCAATACCACAAAAGGAAGGTGGGGATTGATTTTGGGGGTTATGGTACTAACAGTTAAGGAATTAGGGGCCAAAAGGGGCCAAAAATAAGCATTTTTGTAACTTCCAGACATAACTTGTGTGTAAGTGTATGGATCTCTCTGACATTGTACCACAAGGTTCCATATCACAAAGGGAATGCTGGGATTGATTTTGGGGGTAATTGCCTCCAAATTTTAGGAATTGGGGGCCAAAAAGGGGCAAAAAACAAGCATTTTTCTAGTTTCATGACAATATCTTGTTTGTAAGTGTATGGATCTTTCTGAAATTGTACTACAAGGTTCCATATCACAAAGGGAATACTGGGATTGATTTTTGGGGTAATTTCCTCCAAATTTTAGGAATTAGGGGCAAAAAAGGGGCAAAAAAAAAAGCATTTTTCTAGTTTCATGACAATAACTTGTTTGTAAGTGTATGGATCTTTATGAAATTGTACTACAAGGTTCCATATCACAAAGGGAAGGCTGGGATTGATTTTGGGGGTTTTCCCTCAAAATTTTAGTAATTAGGGGCCATAAAAGGGCAAAAAAAACATGCATTTTTCTAGTTTCAGGACAATAACTTGTGTGTAAGTCTATGGATCTTTACGAAATTGTACTGCAAGGTTCCATATCACAAAGGGAAAGCTGGAATTGAGTTTGGGGGTAATTGCCCTAAACGTTTAGGAATTTGGGGCCAAAAAGGGGCCAAAAAACAAGCATTTTTCTAGTTTCCAGACAATAACTTGTGTTCAAGTGTATGAATCTCTCTGAAATTGTACTGCAAGGTACCATACCACAAAGGGAAAGCTGGGATTGAGTTTGGGGGTGATGAATCATAAGGGGGTTCAAAAAATTGGGGGGGGGGGGGGATTTTTTTTTCCTTTTTTTTCTTTAACATTTTCCATTTTAAATTGGTTATTTCTGATTTATATATAAAAGCAAATAATAATGATATGGTTTGAATAGGCATACATGTGAACCTCCCGACGGGAGTACAATAATCCCGTTTTCAGGGGTCTCCTCCCGACCTCCCGTTGAAGAGGAAAAAATCCCGTGTATGAAATTTTTCATGAATGAAAAATTTCTGCCCAACATATCATCTCAGGCATCTGGTGTAACTGACATTACCTGAAGTTATATTTTACCTGTAAATCAATTAACATGCATAATTATATGGCTTCACTTGTCAGCTTGGGTGTCAAACATACAGGTAATCAACGATTTTTACCTCAGGCTAACTGCCGTTGTGTAACAAAAACTGTGTATTTATTGGGTTACTTCCCTTGATTTATCCTGTTTTAAGTTACTTTCCTTTTAATAATGAAAATTTTTAAAAGAATATAAATAAAATATAAATTGAACAAATAATCATAAAAGGATGGTTATTAAATGATTTTAAATGTCTTAGGACAAATAAAAAAATAATAATTTGAAAATTATTTGAGGATTCTAGACTTCCTTTCAAGGCTTAAATTGAAATTTATATAATAACTATGACCCTAATTTTACAGATAAAATGATTTTTTGAGTTTGCAAATAAAAACTATTTGCTAGAGAAAAAATAAAAAATAAAAACTATTTGCAGATAGCTAAACAAATGTTCTGGTTGCAATGATTGTTTTATAGAATATGAAGTAAAAAATTTAAAGAACATACTGGAAAAATACAATGTTAGATTGAACATGTAGAATATAAAGATGGAGAAACTTTATAAGTACAAGGGTACTATAAACATAATAAATTGGATGGAAAGTTGAAGAAAACACACTTTAAAAGACCATTTTTACAGCACACGGTTACATTTACAACAAAATTAATGTCGATTAAAAACCTCCTGATCTGAGTCCTAATCTCCTGACCAAAATTTCCCAATCTCCTGATCTGAGTTTCACAGTCCATCACATGTATGAATAGGTAAATTGAAAATTTTTAAGTTCTTAGACCACTTTCATTCTGTGTCAGAAACCTATGCTGTGTCAAATATTTAATTACAATCCAAATTCAGTGCTGTATCAAGCTTGAATGTTGTGTCCATACTTGCCCCAACTGTTCAGGGTTCGACCTCTGCGGTCGTATCAAGCTGCGCCCCAGCGGAGCATTTTATTCAGGAGTTATTGCACTTTCATTATTTTTTGGAGTATTGTAACAGTGACAACTAGTGAACGAAACTCCTCTGAGGTTATTAACAGAAAGCTCTCATACTTCTGATTGTTGGCCATTATGTGTTGTTTAGAAAAGAAGTTTACTACATGTAGAGACGCAGAGTCTGAAATACAAATAGCATATTCAAACTCATAAGTCCATGACAAACTGACAACACCATGGCAAAATTCAAAAAAACTACCAAAATACTAGTCTTGAAAGACTAATATATTAACTTATTCATACTTATAAAACAGGTTGGGAGATTCTCATAGATAGGTATTATAAATGGACTACATTTCCTGTTTGAATTGTTTTACACTAGTCATTTTGGGGCCCTTTAATTTATAGCTTGCTGTTCAGTGTGAGCCAAGACTCTGTGTTGAAGGCTGTACTTTGACCTATAATTGTTTACTTTTACACATTGTGACTTAGATGGAGAGTTGTCTCATTGGCACTCACACCACATTTTCTTATTTCTATATAACCATGATAACACTCCAAAGCAGATATCAATTTACAGTGATTCAATTGAACTTTGGAAATTCAACATTTTATCCAAAGACACTGTGACTGAAATATCTCAGCTCAATGAAAAAGACAGGGTTCCAATACATGAATATATGGGAAAATGGCACAGGGCTCCTGTTAAAAAAGGCAGACACTGCACCCTCTGAAAATGGTCAAACTGTAAAACATTTTTTATGTACTATTCAGTTTTTCAAGTTCTAAATCATCCAGAGTTTAGAAAAGTGGTGAGTAATTTAACTCTCGGTTAATGTCTTATAATCAGGGAAATTACTCACCTTATCAGTATTTGTCGTTACTCCTAGTCAAGAGAAACATTTTGTCAATACTGTTCAAGGTTTTAAGAGGTCCCTTGCATGGCCATGACAGCTGGGGAAAAAATCTAGTAGAACAGTTATAAATCTCCAGTATTGATGAAGTAAAAAAAAACAAAATTGCATGTACATATGTATGGTGAATTTGGATTCCAAAAAGATTTAAAGTGTTGTTGAAATAGGCAGTTTTCAATTATGACCTGGAACATAATCTGTAAATGCAGCTGTATCAAAACATTGACTCTTTAATACTTGACATATATATATATATATGTAAATATTTTAGATGATCCTAGAAATAAAACAATAGTTTAAAGATGGGGTTTGGAACACAACTTAAAATACTCCTATGGAAGAACTTCACTATAAGAAAAAGACAGAAGGTAAGTTTCTTTCCTTTTTATTCAATATTGGAACTAACACATTTCTTGCATGAGAGAGAAAACAAGGATTGCTATTTAAAGTTTACAGATAAGTACATTTACATTAAAGTGCTTATTTCATGATGTACATGTAACTTAAAACTTTCATGGTTAAACATTGGAAATTAAAAATGTTAAATTTCTCATCTTTACAATGATCTATGGAGCCTAATTTACAACTGCCAAACTTTTGAGGCTAGGATTTCTTGTACTAAATCCCAAAGAACTTTGAGCATGTTGAGGCTGAATATTTTTCTAATAACTTTTTCACTGATTTCAAATCCTTTCAAATTTTCATGTTTTCATTTCCCAAATCATACAGTAGTACACACCACTCACTCAATTTTGTCCTATGACATACATCCTTGATTTGTGAATTACAGAGGATAGCCATTACAGGGAAAGATTTTTCCATGTTTTTTCATATTTATAAGTAGAAATTAACTGCTAAAGTTGGCAGTATGATAACATGTAGATTTTACATCCAAAAGACATAATAAATCCAATTTTGACCAAAATAATGTAACAAACACTGCATGTTACAATTATTCAATAAAGCTTACTTCAAAAAGGTAAACTATCAGCCTAATATTATATTTTTTTTCAACTTACTGATACATTGGAATGGTTGATAAAAATATTGATCTACATTTATATTATTTTCATTGTTTTATGTAGTTTTTTTAAACAGCAAATATTTACTGAAATTATATAACATTTTTTGTATAAAGAGAGTGTATGTGTCAGTAGAAAATTTACAAGTTTCTCAACTTTCTGTCAGAATCAGTTGGTAAGCCCCATGGTTGTTTTCCCAATAGATGAATCTGCAAGTACATGTGCATGCATATACATGTATGTAACTGTCAAGACTCTGTATGTGCACCAATCAACATTTGTGTTAATTTGTATGTGTAGGAAAATGTAACTTAAAGGAAGGAAGGGATAAAAGGTTGATGTCCATGAGACGAAAATCTCTTAAATTATCAGGAAATTAACTTATATCAAAAGAACAGAGCTTTTATTGGACATTGTTCTTCATCTTGACAACAATGATTGGAAGAGAACTCTCTCCTTACAACATGACAACAATGACTGGAAGAAAACTCTCTCCTTACAACACAATCAGGATAATTGACTTCAGCAGTATTCTTTGATACCTTGGTGACTTCTCCATCTTTGAAGTGTTTTACCCTGATGATGTAATTTTCCTAGAATTAACAAATACATGTATCAAGGCTGACATGTTTCCTTAAGCACAACAATTTCCCTTTGTATTTTTTTTTTATCAGAATGTTCAAGCATGTCATTAGAGGAAATTTATGAGGAAGTTTACAGAAAAAAATTACAAAAACACAATACATGTATAATTTTTATTTTCTTCTTTACTACACATGTACTAGTTACATGTTATACATTTTGCTTCCATTATTGAAGATCTATATTATTCTAAACATCAATATTAAAGATCTCCTACATTTCATATATTATCTCCATATAATACTCTAGTGTTTTTCTTATATAATCCTAATAATTTTTGTTATAAAAATGAGGAGATCAGTATGATTGCCAATGAGACAACTATCCACCACAGATACCTATTAAAGCAACTATAGGTCACCATTAAGTATCAACAATGTGCAAAACTTAAATAGGTAATGTTTACATAAAAGACTAAAATTATGTTTAACTCAAATTACATTCATATGCATATGTACGCCTATACAATGTTTGGCAGCTTGACTAATTAAACAGTCAGTTTTGCCAGCTTACATAGTCTTGGATCAGTTAAATTTAAATATGAACCAAAAAATATAAACTTGTCATTTATCTAAATCAAATCAAATTATTTATTTATTGGTGTAAAATCTAAATATTGGACTATTACCAAGACAAACATTGCATACAAATGACAGTATTAATTAACAAGCATACAGAATCAAAGTTAACAAATATTCAAGTATATCATATATTTAGATATTTTGGAGGAGGTGATACTTTTGCAAATTTGAAAATGAAAGTACAGTATTCTTAATGAGATTGCTATAAAATATAACAAAACAAATATATATGTGTAGGACTCAAATCTATGGTAGGTTCCAGATCTATGGCAGATTCCTAATCTGTGGTAAATATGACATCATGCCATCCCCAATCTATGGCAATTTTTGTCGAGCCTTCGACTTTAGTCGAAAAAGCGAGACATAGCGATCCTACATTCCGTCGGCGTCGTCGTTGTCGTCGGCGGCGTCCACAAATATTCATTCTGTGGTTAAAGTTTTTGAAATTTTAATAACTTTCTTAAACTATCCTGGATTTCTACCAAACTTGGACAGAAGCTTGTTTATGATCATAAGATAGTATCCAGAAGTAAATTTTGTAAAAATAAAATTCCATTTTTTCCGTATTTTACTTATAAATGGACTTAGTTTTTTTGCCGGTAAATATTACATTCACTCTGTGGTTAAAGTTTTTAAAATTTTAATAACTTTCTTAAACTATCCTGGGTTTGTACCAAACTTGGACAGAAGCTTGTTTATGATTATAAGATAGTATCTAGAAGTAAATTTTATAAAAAAGTAAATCCATTTTTTCCTTATTTTACTTTTAAATGGACTTAGATTTTCTGGCCGGAAACAACACATTCACTCTGTGGTTAAAGTTTTTAAAATTTTAATAACTTTCTTATACTATTTTGGATTTGTACCAAACTTGGACAGAAGCTTGTTTATGATCAAAAGCTAGTATCTAGAAGGAAATTTTGTAAAAAAATAAATCCATTTTTTTCGTATTTTACTTTTAAATGGACTTAGATTTTCTGCCAGGAAACAACATATTCACTCTGTGGTTAAAGTTTTTAAAATTTTAATAACTTTCTTATACTATTTTGGATTTGTACCAAACTTGGACAGAAGCTTGTTTATGATCAAATGCTAGTATCTAGAAGGAAATTTTGTTTTCTTCCAGTTAACATTACATTCAGTCTGCAGTTAAAGTTTTTAAACATTTATTAGATTCATAAACTATCCTGGAATTTTACCAAACTTGAACAGAAGCTTCTTACAATCAAAAGATAGTATCAAGAGGAATATTTTTATTGATTTACTTCCTCATTTTTGTTGAGCCTGCGATTAACAGAAAAAGTAGGCGAAACACTGGGTTCCGCGGAACCCTTACGAATTTTTTAGTTTTCTAATCTATGGCGAATTTCTAGTTTTCTAATCTATGGCGAATTTCTAGTTTTCAAATCTATGGCAGATTTTCTGGAAATGAAGGACCAGTCAATACATATCTCACCAATGATTTCAAAGTTGCCTTAAACATGTCAAAATGTCCAAAGGTAGCGAAAAAGCTGCTTTTAAGTTAAAGCCAGTATAAGAAAAATGGATAAGGAGTACGACTAGGAAGCATATCCATGAGTTAACCATTTGTGAAATGAACATTGAATAATGGTCAACCAAATGGTGATGACGACCATAAAATGTTCTTAGTAAGGAAGTGATATACATATATTAATACAGACTTTAGGGGTGAAATGGTGTGTCCCGGAAAAATAAGCATTTACCACTTTGTGCATGGTACCTGTTTGACTATTCCTTTTAACCAAATCCCTTAACAACCCAAAAAACAGTTTGACTTTTTACCTAATATTTATTCAAGCATTAATTAATCTTTTTTAACTGATGACGATTTTAGTCAAAGTCCTGTAATGAACAATGACTTGCCTCAAACATGTGGCTTTCTTAAAAAAATCCTTATTTCTCCAACAGTACAGTTATTTGACATCAATATAGCTGAAAATAATGTTAACCTGTTAATAGTTATTAGAAACTATTACAGTTTTTTTTAAGTTTCCAAATCTCATGAAAGAAAGATTATTTGCTACAATAGTACAGGTAGTCGCTGTTATGTAGCTGACAAAATTCTATTGGTTATGTTAAAAGAAAATCAAAGAGTACCATAGAGATAAAAAAAAATAACAAGAATTTAACAGCATAGCATAACGAAAAATTATGAAAGAAGAGCAAAAAGCAAACCAAAATGCACAGTAAAAACTTGTACAATTAAGGGAGAGGGCAACACCAGGAACACGAGAACAAGAAGACAAGGAGTGGAAACAAACACGAAACATAAACACAGAAAACACCAAAAACACATTCATTTGCTTGAAATTGCCTGCACTAGCGATTTTGCTGCTACGAATGAATATGGGTTTGTTTGCTAGTATTCCTTATTCATCCGAATCAGATGACTACATCTTCTCATTTGCAGGAATTTCTTTTAACATAAACTCAAATTTTTAAATATAATTTAATTAATGGATTAGGGACCTTGAAAAATGGCCTTTTCTTTTCCTTCCATATAACAAAACTGTCATCGTTAGCAGTGGTGTAAACGTTATATGATGTTATTTAATTGTGACGTTATAATTTACTCTTTTCCCCATAAAATTACGTAATATTAAATGACAAAATGTGCCATAGATTTGGAGAAAACAAAATACTGCCTTAGATTTATGATTTGTTTGGCGTTTGTGACGTCATATTTACCATAGATTAGGAATTTGCCATAGATCTGAGTCCTACATGTGTAATAGAAATGATCACAAATTTGTATAACATAATTCTACTTTTTTTTTTGTCAGCTAGGTTATTTGTTTAACTTGATCAATGCATTTTTCAATTCAATTAAATTTGTACTAATTATTAGATTTGCTCAGAAAGAATATTTGACTATTTAATAACCAGTATATCCACAAAAAACATTTCAACTGAAAAATCACTCTCTAGTCATATTTGCCATCAACCCTCAATAATTCATATTAGATATATGTCCATTTAAATTGTTTTGAAATTTGTCTCAGTGAGTGTATTTGTACTCGATAGAATGATTGTGTAACAGAATACATTTAGGTAGAATTTTAACAAAGAAGAAGGCCACTATGTAGAACATAGCTATATTTATTGATCTTTCATTTTGCAATAGACATGTGATAATCTATTGTGTAAAAACAAGCAATCCATGTCCTGTAATATAAGAAGATTTTGTTGAATTAACATGCATCATCATATATGACGAAATTAAATACATGTACTTATTAAACTTGCATGACATTGAAAATTAAAATAGATTTTAAGTTTAAGTACAAATGTATTCAATTCTTGATTGATACATATTCTCATCTCATTTTCTCCACTCTTTTCAGCTAATTATAATTAGAATAGACTTTATAAGAGCAGAATGTAAATAAAGTATTGTAATGTCAGGATTCTTTTGAATTTAATTGAAAATGTTGAAATTATTGTATAACTATAAAATAAATTACTGCAGGAATAACCAATGCAATGTCGTTGACAATTTTTTTATACTCTTCAGTCCCATTCAGGAGGTATGGTTTAAGTTAATTGACAGGAGAGTTCCGAGATAGTTTTTGTTTCAATTTTTATGCCCAGTCAAGAATAGTAAGGGGGCATTATGTTTTCTGGTCTATCTGTTAATCCCTCTGTTTTTCCATCCCATATCAGGTTAGAATTTTTGGTTAAGGTAGTTCACTGTGAAGTTTTGGTCAAATCAACATGTAACTTGGTGCACATGTTTTATCATGATGTGAACTTTTTAAAATTTCTATGTTAAGTTACTGGCTTGACCTTGACTGCATAAAAATACTATACATGAAGGTTAAATCGGTATATTTTCAGGTTAAAATTTGGGTTTAAGTTTGCCATCAAGTTGTGGTCACATTGACTTGTCTCTTAGTACACGTTCATTACTTCTGTAAAGCATCTTCTTTTTACAAATTCTTTTTTCTTTAGAGCTCTACTACTTTGAGCAATTTCTGTTATGAGACTAAATAATACCACACAGTTAGAAAAAAAAACTATTAAGTTGATCTTTTTATGGTTTTTTCTCTTTAAACAATGTTGAGTAAGGTAAACAATATTTTATGTGTCCATTATCAAACTTATTAGATATGAATAGATACTTATATACAATGTATCAAATTAGTTACATACTATATAAATTTTCTTTGTAGTTTCGATTGTTTGCTGAGATTGTATTTCCATTAGCTTTGTTTTTAATTCTTGTGATAGTAAGAACACGACCAGATCTCAAAGTCAATCATGCAGAATGTAAGTAGTTCTTCTGTCTACCATTATGAATTATCCTGTTCTTGTAAAAGGGGGGGAAAGGTACTTCTTAAAATCAGCACTTCTTATTTATTTTAAATTGGTTGACATTTTAGGTCTTTACTTAACAGTCTCCCGCTCTCATGTGTTCAATTCTTGACAGAATTTTATGAAACTTATATCATAGGTTTATATCAGCAATGTCTTTGACACTTTAGAAAATAAGTTCTGATCAAATATTTTTAACGAGTAATGCCCCTTGGAAATATAAATTAAAATGGAAATCACATTGCATTTGCTCTGAAGCCTTCCTTTCTCTTAAGATATTAAAAAGTTTTAAAGAACAAAAAAAAGTGCTATTTTTAGTTATTGCCCTTGTACCTTGGATAGATAAAATATGTGCAACGCGGGGGACATTGGAACTCTGTTCTTTTATCTATTTGGTTATACCTATTCATATATATGATGTAAAGTTGAGACAACACAGTTCAGGGGAGACTTATTTACTCAATTTATGTCATAGCACTAATGCAGAAATAAAAAAAATGTTTTTTTTTGAAAAATGAATCCAGAATAAGAATATTCAACTATATGTACTACTATAGACCAAGTATTACATGAATGTGTTGAATAAAAGTTTGAAATTTATAATGCACTTTAAAGTACCACTCACTGCCGACTGACCTGCCAAGTTTTCTGATTTATTGTGGGTTTCCCCCGTGAGAGGTCTCGGCCAGACTCTTGAGATCCATGATTACATAAACCAAATGCATAACAACTGGCATTCAAAGGAGCGAAAATTGCATTTAAGCACACATGCACTCATGAAAAACCATAGAATGTTAGGCTTAAAACCATTATTGACACGTCTCTTTGACACATTCCCCATTTCCATTCTCAATTTTATTATGTTCTCTTCAATCTCTTGTTCTTTAAATAACACATGGAGATTTGGCAGGTATATACCAGTATACTTAATTTGTATGATCTTTTATTCTTGATGATTCAAAATCAGTCAAATTTTACCTGTAATTTAGTTATATGAATATATTGGACATTTAACAAAAGACATAAAAATACTACTTGTATGCCGATGGAATGTTTTACCTCAGGTGAACTTTTGGACATATTGTGGGAAAGTGTTTGGACCATAAAACACTAAACTGATATAATCTAAATTGAATTATCATGAACGATGACATATAAAGAATTGTATAATATAAGAATTTTGTGAAAGTTATTTTTAATATATGGATAATTAGATATTTTTCTATTGATTTTGTATTGTTACAGTTTTAAAACCTTTAATGAGAGACAGAATTTCTTTCCTTGCATTTATACAATTGCACAAAGATTTTTGCATTTCTCTTATTGACTAAACACGAAAAAAAGGCAGCGTTTCCATCAAGCAGAACCAGTTCTAACTATTGAGAATAATATTCTCCAAACATCATCAATTGAAAAACTTTTAGGTGTTAGAATTGACTCTAATCTGTCATGGACAGGCCATGTTAATTACTTATGTTCATCAATATCATCTACAAATGTAGATTTCATTTACCCTCTAAGATCAAGAAATTTCTAAATATTGATTCAAGAAAATTATTTTATAATGGTTATATTCTCCCACTGATAGATTATTGTTGTATTATTTGGAGTGGTTGTTCTAAAAATGAGCTAGTAAGAATAACAAAATTGCAGAAAAGGGCTGCAAGACTAATTTTAGATGCTGATCCACTTTCAGCATCAGCACCTCTGTTTAAACAGCTTGGGTGGATGACAGTAGAGAACAGAATATCATACCATAAATCTGTTTTGATGCATAAATGCCTTAAGTATGAACTCCTGAATATTTAACTGAAAAATCTAAAGAAATGCCAGAAATAAACCAATATTTGTTGAGGAATACGTCTTACAAAAAATTGCAAGTTCCAAAAGCCCAAACAGAGCTGTATAAGAAATCTTTTATATATTCAGGATTTATTTTATTGAATAACTTACCAATGCAATATCCCTGAAAAAGTCTACCTCAGGTACAAGCTCATTAAAAAAAAATGACTTGTTGGAATATTAGGAAGCTGTGTAAATTTATGTGCATAATAATTTTTCACACACTTACTTAAACTTTAAATATTGTTGAGGTCACTCACCATCATTTGAATGATGCCAATTCATCATTTTTAACCTGTTTTAAAAATTGTATATTTCATGTAAACAATTTCTTATTTGATTTTGGTCTCTCCTGCCACGAAAGTCGCTGTATGCCAGACATAAGTTAGAAGACCTGGGTGGTTCATACCTTGTATGCAGATACCTTATGTTATGAAATTTTCTTCTGTCATATGCCATTGTCCTTGACCTCATTTTCATGGTTCAGTGACTGCTTGAAAAAAAAATTACAATTTTTTTGTCAGTTGAATTTCTCACTTATTATGAGTAATGGGATAAATATATTTGGTATATTGGTTCCTTGCAACGTCTACATGTCCGTCAGACAGGGGTAACCTGACCTCAACCTCAATTCATGGATCAGTGATCAAGGTTAAAGTTACGTGATTAGGTCTGTTTCTCAGATACTACAAGCAGCAGGTCAACTATATGTGGTGTATGGAATGATTGTAAGGGGTACATGTCAGACTGGCAGGTTCATCTGACCTTGACCTCATTTTCATGGTTCATTGGTCATTGTTAATTTTTTTGTGTTTTGGTCTGTTTTTCAAGTACTGTATGCAATAGGTCAACTATATTTGGTGTATGGAATGATTGTAAGGTGTACATGTCTGTCTAGCTGGTGTCATCTGACCTTGACCTCATTTTGATGGTTCATTGGTCAATGTTAAGGTTTTGTGTTTTGGTCTGTTTTTCAAGTGCTATAAGCAATAGGTCAACTATATTTGGTTTATGGAATGATTGTAAGGTGAACATGTCTGTCTAGCTGGTGTCATCTGACCTTGACCTCATTTTCATGGTTCATTGGTCAATGTTAAGTTTTTGTGTTTTGGTCTGTTTTTCAAATACTAATAGCAATAGGTCAACTATAATTGGTGTATGAAATGATTGTTAGGTGTACATGTCTGTCTAGCCAGTATCATCTAACATTGACCTCTTTTCCATGGTTCTTGGTTAACATTAATTTTTTGTGTTTGTGTCTGTTTTTCAATAACCATAAGCAATGGGTCAACTATATTTGGTGTATGGAATAATTGTAAGGTGTACATGTCTATGTGACAGTTTTTATCTGACCTTGACCTCATTGTCATGGATCTTTAAAAATGTTAAGTTTTTGTGATACTTGTAGTAAAACCTTTATCTTTAAGACTTTCAACATAAAATCAATGGTGATTAAAACAGGCGAGACATTTCAGCGTGTGCACTCTTGTACTTATTTGTGCGTTTTGTTTGATTATTTTGTAATTCTGTGTTTGCTATGTTTCAATGTATTTCATGAGGGCCTTTGGGAAGATTAGTTTTATAGCTGACTGTGTAACCCTCTATAGATAAAGAATTATTATTATTATTATTAAACATTTACTTTGTAAGATATTTAGTTCCTAACATTCTAGCAAGATGAATAACAACAATAGTATTGTTGTTTATTTGATGTATTGGTTGTTTCATAACTAATGTATCATGGGATTTTTGTCTCATGAAAGTTTCCCTCATTAACGTATACCATCCAATTTTTTTGTCTCATGAACTAAAGTATAAGCGAGACATAGGTATGCTGTTTCAGGCAGTGACGGTGTCAACAATGTATTAGTTTGTGATTAGGTCAGTTTATGGGGAATCACTAGTGGTAGGTCAATGATATTTGGTATGCAGTTATATTAGCATTGGCACATCTCATTTCCATGGAGATTGTTTGGCCCTGCCCCCTCAGTCATGGTATATTGACTTTGAAACTTTTGCTTAGTTTACATGTATTATTTCATGAGTAAGTCAGTTTATGGGGAACCAATAGTAGTAGGTCAATGGTATTTGGTATGCAGTTGTATTAGCATAGGCACATCTCATTTCCATGGAAATTGTTTGGCTCTGTACCTTCAGTCATGGTCATTGACTTTGAATATTTTGCATAACTTACATGTTAAAGTATTGCTATTTTAATTTCAACATTTACATTTCACTATCAAAATAACAAAAAGGCAAGACATCTCTCTGTGTTAACAGTTTATTAGTCCCCTACTGACTAAGCCGAAGGGGACTTTAGGTTTGCACTCTGTCCGTCAGTCCAGCAACTCAGTTTTCCACACTTTTTTTCTTTGTTCTTGAAGATATTGATTTGACATTTGGTATATAGTTTTATCATGACAAGTTATAGATCAAGTTCGAATTCTATTCCGGCCTGATGATTAAGTCCAGAGTTATGGTCCACAAAAAAACTCCATAACTTATGTTAGAGTACTATGTTAAACCATCTGTACAAAGGGAGATAACTCATTTTTTAAAAGACATTCTTTGGTAAATTGTTTGAGGAATTTTGTGGCAGGTTTATATGTTATTTTATATAAACTAATTTTCTGAATGCTACTTGTATATATATATATATATTTTTTTTTATTAGGTAAGTGAAATCCTTTAATTAGATAATAATCTATTTTATTAAGGTATATATTTCGTTACATTGTGTAGATACAAGTTGTTGACATTTTATAGATAAGTTACAAATCTTTATTAGTTTGTGACAAATGAAAGAAAAAATATTTGGAACTATTAATTATATTTGATTGTAATTTGAAAATAGATATACATTGTATTACATCATATCTAATTTTAGAGAACTATTAATCATATCTAATGTTAGAGTGTTATAGGTTTTCCTCACTTTTTTTCATCATGCTTGAAGATATTGATTGACAATTGGTATATAGTTTTATCATGACAAGTTATAGATCAAGTTCAAATTTTTGTTTCGGTCTGATAATTTTGTGCAGAGTCATGGTCCTTGGACTTGAAAAAATTCACTGATATATTCAGTTTTCCACACAGTTTTTAGTCATGCTTGAAGATATTGACTTGATATTTTCTTTTTGTTAATACCATGACAAGTTATGGAACAAGTTAGCTTTTTGTTCCAGTATAATGAATTTTTATCCGGTAGGGGACTATGTATTGCCATGCAATACTCTCAGAATGCTTGTTTTTTTCTAATTTGAAGGTCATTTTGATGGCAATGCTATGCCGAGTGCTGGCACTTGGCCCTTTCTACAATCCTTAGTTTGTAATGCAGAAAACAGATGTTACCAGACTGTTACAGCTGATGAAGCTGCTGGTACAACAGCCTCAGGAAATCCACAGGCTTTGTAAGTACTGTAAATTCAGAAATTATTGCAAAGTTTTTATTAATACAAGTTATGCCACTGGGTGAGTATACTAGTAGCAATAATAAGATTTTGATATCAAAAACATATATCTGAATGCATATTTTTCTGAAATTGCAATAATTAATCTCACATTTTTGTCCTTTCATAAATAATCTCATTAATAAATGCATGCAATAATTTCTGAATTTACAAATATATCTGTAATGTACTGTACCAAAGAGTTACATCTGTAATGTACTGTACCAAAGGGATATATCTTAATGTACTGTACCAAAGGGCTACATCTGTAATGTACTGTACCAAAGGGCTGTACCAAAGGGATACATCTGTAATGTACTGCACCAAAAGGATACATCTATAATGCACTGTACCAAAGGGCTACATCTGTAATGCACTGTACCAAAGGGCTACATCTGTAATGAACTGTACCAAAGGGATACACCTGTAATGCACTGTATCAAAAGGATACATCTCAAATGCACTGTACCAAAGGGATACATCTGTAATGCACTGTACCAAAGGGATACATCTGTAATGCACTGTATCAAAAGGATACATCTGTAATGTACTGTATCAAAGGGATACATCTGTAATGCACTGTCCCAAAGCGAAATATATGTAATTCGCTGTAACAAATTTTGTTTGACTAGGAACATACTGTAATCGGCCTTGTATAGTTCACACAAGTACATTGTCCGCACCCCCCTTCTCGCCACAAGAATTCAGGTAAAAAAACTTTTTTGTGTTTCAAAAACATCTAATGAAACTCCGGTATTTTCAAATCGTGTGTGATCGTTTGTGGTATTTTCATGTTCCATGATTAAATTGAAGTTGAAAATGCTTGTAAATGATTCTAAAACACATCACTAGTTTTGAAATAAGGCAAAATCAACATTTTACTATGAAGTTGTCAGAATTATTGTAGACTTTGCATAAAAATTAGTTTTAAAACTGAGGTAAATGAAATATCAAATTAAAAGTGGTGTCAAAAACAAGAATAATTGAATATCTGAAATAGATATAATTGCTTTTGAAATCTATTAAATTCAACCTTCCATACATGTTATCTTTACAAAATCTTTGAATAAAGTTCTAAGTGATGTGTAACTTAGATGCCATTAACACATTATGTTGATTTTGTAAATAAAAAGACATGAATTTTACATTTTTCTAGGATTACTAGAATTTTGAAAGATATAGGACAATTAGCAGATCCTAAACTCATACAGAACTTACTAAAAGATGGACAGAGTATTATGAGAGTGCTTGGCATGATCAGAAATGGAACAGCCACAGGTTTGTACAACTTCACTTCATAAGGAATAGATAAGTTTTTCTTTAATCTTAAATTACTTAATGTTTATGTGATCATATATTTTCAATTGGAAATATAAATTATATAGAAAATTGCATTGTAAGCACTTTCAAGCCACATTTCCAGTGAGATTTTTATGAAATTCATATTAAAGATTTATGTGAGTTATGTCTTGTACAAGTTTGAATATAAATTTTGATCATCTATTTTTACAGGAAGCGTGTCCTTTTGAAATGTAATTTATATTGACATTGCATTGTAAGGACTCTCACACATATATTTCATGTGGGATTTTTCAAAGGTTATATAAGCAAGCTCTTGGAGGATTTGATAATCTAGCTGACTTTTGCAGGAGTTATTTCCCTCTTAAATGTGATTTATATTGTCTATTGTAGGGGGTATAAATTTAGGAAACATTGTGACTAATCCTACAGACCTGAGGAACCAGATCATTAACAACAACATCAGTTTGTCTCCTGATGTGATAGATCAATTACTTAATGCGACAATCAATCCAGCTGTAAGTCACTTTATTGCTTGAAGAGACCATTTAGCCACAAAATAGGTAGAGACCAATAGCCACAATATATGTAGAGACCAATTAGCCACAATATATGTAGAGACTGTTTAGCCCCAAAATATGTAGAGACCATTTAGCTATAATATATATAGAGACCATTTAGCCATAATGTATGTAGAGATCATTTAGCCACAATATATGTAGAGACCATAGCTAAGATATATGTTAGAAACCATTTAGCCATAATCTATATAGAGACCATTTTGCCACAATATATGTAGAGACCAATTAGCAGCAATATATGTAGAGACCAATTAGGAACAATATATTTAGATACCATATCTACAATATACTGTGGATTCATTAATATTCGTTGGATACCAATTTTCATGGATTTGGTGGGTACAGGGGAACCACAAATTTAAATGTTCAACAAATAACAAATGGTTTAAAGGAATGTATGCAGACTTTGCCAAAACAACAAAATTACATATTAACGAAAATGCAAATTTTCCTCAATCAACGAAAATTGATACCCACGAAAATAAATGAAGCCACAGTATGTAGAGACCATTTAGCCACAACATATGTAGAGACCATTTAGCCACAACATATGTAGATACCATTTTGCCACAATAAATATAGAGACCATTAAGTCATAATATATTTAGAGACCATTTAGCTACAATATATATATGTAGAGACCTTTTTGCCACAATATATGTAGAGACCATAGCTACAATATATGTAAGAGACCAATTAGCCACAATATATGTAGAGACCATTATGCTACAATATATGTAGAGACCATTTAACCACAATATATGTAGAGACCATTTAGCCACAATATATGTAGAGACTTTTTTTCCACAATATATGTAGACACCGTTTAGCCACAATATATGTAGACACTGTTTAGCCACAATATACAATGTATGTAGAGACCATTTAGCCACAATATATGTAGAGACCATTTAACCACAATAATTGTGCATACCATGCAGATGAATTTATACTTTTGGGTATACATTTTTCCCTTTGAATTAAAAAAAATCATACAATATCAAATTAAACACAATATTGGACATTGTAGCTACTTTAAAGATAATTTTGGTTTTGGTGTTTAAGTTATTGTTGCAGTGCAACAGTTTTGGAACTTGGACAGGTAATGATCTGTTGACTGCTTCCTTGTATTTTATAAACTAATTATACCAGGTTCAACAAAGCAGATAAAAACTGTGTCAGCTTTTACCCTCAGATGTAGACTGTTACCATCAGCATCAGATCTGTTGAAGGGTCAAAGATAATAACTGTTCCCCTTGAATCACGTCAATAAGTGTATATTGTTGAACAATATAGTAATCTAATTTTAACATTTCTCATAATTTTGTCCCATCTAGTTAGATTTTGACCTGAGTCTGATATGAAGTTGAGTTTTCCCCTGAAATGCATTAGTTTTTAATTTTTTTATGTTCAGTTTAACCTTGATAAGTCAAAGTCAAAGGAACCTGAAATAACTATTTGACTTCATCTAGGTCCAAGTCAATTTTGAATGTGACCTTCATCATGTTTTCAGTATGGTACGTGATAAATCGTTCCATGTGAATATTTTTTTGGTAAAAAGCAACAATTGTGAATTTGAAGTGGTTGATGTAAAAATTCTGTGAACCTGCTTTTTTCATGACATCATATATAGATAAAACTGTATGGCTCGTCATAGATGAAATTGTTTTTACTAAGACTGACAAAATACCTCAACCTATCAGAGTTTACAACACAACTAGGTTTGATAGTGTATTGATTAAAGATAAAGGAATATAAGTTACATGTTTTTCTATTTCAAAAAAACGCTGACAAGCTAGCTTGCATCAGCATTTTCTGGTGCTAATCTAATTCCTTTTTTTCTATCATAGCTGCCAACTGGTGTATTATTTGACTTTGGAGAATGTCGATTGATACAAAACAACAGAACATCAGGAGGTATTCCCAACACCAACACAACTGTTCAGGATCTTCGTAGTCTTCTGTGTGATAGAAATTTAAATGAGACTATTATCTTCCCAACACAGTCTCTCCAAGATACTGTTCAGACACAGCTGTGTAATCTGTCCCTAGTACAGTTTGATGAGCTCTACGGATTACTTCTATCAGCACTCAACAATACAAGATCAAATGAAGAGGTACACTTATAATTAGTAGGACATATTTCTGATTGCAGAGGTTGTTCATGTGACATTCATCATTTCTTTGTTTAAATTTAGGCCTTTTTACACATGTTAGAAGGTATTACCTATAAAGAGAGACAATCCTTTTAGTCTTTATTTCCTTTTCTATGTGATTTTGTATTTATCTGACATTTAAATTTTAAAATAATGTTGAACTGTAAGAGATGTTAAAGTTATTCAAATGAAATGTTTGTTACCTTTTACAAGTAAGGGCTGTTAGGACTTCCATAACACATACATGGGCTGAGGGAAGACAATTTGAAGTCTCATCTGTGGGTGGATGTTTTTGTACAGTGGAAGTATAAGAGAAATTGTAAAATTGCCTCTATAGATAGTTACCGTATTTTTGAAATGCCTTCCCTGGGTACCATGTATGTTTAAATGGAACAGTCCGAAGTAGAATTCATTAGCAATATGAAACGCTCTTCATATAAGACATGATTTGATGTAAATAATCATACAAAATGTATCTTCTCAGGCTATTCTATGAATACTAGGAGTTGTTGGATACACATCAATGAGACAATGGTCAAGGACATCAATGAGACAATGGTCAGTGACATCAATGAGACAATGGTCAAGGACACAAATAAGTAAAAGACATCCAGAAATCAACATACAGTCTTCAACAGTTGACAGATTTCTATACAATATCATATATAATGTTTTATTGTGTTGTAGATATTAGATTATATAGAGAGGAATGCAGGAGAAGAATTATCGTCTGATCCAGCAGAATTATTACAGTTATACAACGATGTAAGTTATAATATAGTTCAAAGAAAAATAAACTACAGATTATTGAAATTTTACATTTTAATGCCCCCGCCGCAGTGGAGGGGACATTAAGTGTTACCCTTTCTGTCAGTACGTCCATATGTCTGTACGTTCTCTAACTTTATTTTGCCTTAACCAAATGATATGAAAGTTATACACAATGCTTATTACCACAAAATTCAGATCAAGTTCGAATTTGGGTGGAGCCACTTTTACCGTTCTTGAGTTATGTCCCTTTATACCATTATATGCAAGTGGGGGCATCATCTGTGTCCCATGGACACATTCTCCATTTATTTGAAGATTGATGAATTGTTGGTGTCAAGTGATACTTCCAGTAGACTTGGCTTTATCATGGTGGCCAAATTTCATTGGTGGAGGAAGCTGACAAACATGGAGAGAATAAATAACTGACCTACAATATGAAGACTTATATGACTGTCAATGAAAGAGTTATCAGTCTTCATTTAGTGCACATTGTATAGGAGCCATAACTGACTGAATGATCATTAGTCTTTGTCCTTTGTAGATTGCATTTCACTTTTAGTCAGTAGTTATGTATGTGGTAAGTACTGGTATTTTGTAATAAGTGTTCATTAATTTTTCCCTCTTTTGCTTGATAGTTCACAACCTTATACCAGGATTACCAAAATGACAGGGATGTTATTGAAACTGTTGAAAGCCTGTTCAATCAGCTCCAGGGAACTACAATGGGACAGAGTGTCAACGGCACTGCCATGGTCCAGAGTCTGGTATGTGGTCGAGGAAGTACCAAATGTAGACCTGGATATTATATAGCAGGATCTAGTTGTCTCCCCTGTAAGGTAGGAACATACCAACCTAATGCCGATCAGGGGTCCTGTATACAATGCGAAGATAACCTAAAGACTAATTCTACAGCCTCTACCAAAGAAGATGATTGTCAAGGTACATCTCATTATTTTACTATGAATTGTAACTTTAGAGTTTCTGTAAGCGGCATTACAGAAAAAAAAATTAAAATTGTTTAGGACTTACAGTTTTTTAAATGCATATATATTTTTATGGATCAAGTAGCTTAAAATTCCCAAATATCTTAAAAATAACTTTAAGGCACTAAATTATGCAAGCTGCTGGTAATGTGTGTATAATTTTTTCTTTGGCAAACACAAAATGAATATCTTTAAAATGCTGAATAAGTCCTTACTCTCATGTATCATGTGCTAATAAATATTCACAGTAAAAGCCATATTGAATAATTTTGAATAAGTAGCACTTTTGAACAGATATATCATGTTATGGAGGGGTATTTGTGAAAAATACCAGTCAAGGGACTGTAAAATTTCCTGAGCCGCTAGACGAGGGAAATTCGGTCCCAAGACTGGTATTTCACAAATACCCCTCCATAACATGATATATCTGTTTAATTACACCGAATAGATTTGGATTGAAACTCTCTGTACAGGTGAAGATATTTTTTTTTACTTGAAAGCTGTAATTCATTAACATGTTTATGCATAATTTTGAGGATAAGAGGATATTATCATAGAACTGCGGGAATTATACATGTACTAATACGCATTAGCTCACTTTTTTATGTAACGACATAACCCAAAAAATTTGGCAGGAAGATGCTCGAGAGGGTAAAAAAGGAATATCCAAAATGGCAATTACCATGGTATTTGAGGCAAATTTACGGCAGTGGTGAAAAACAGGCAAATTTGTTTGAAATGAGGAAAAAATATTAAAATATGCAAAAAATACACTGGCTATCAACCAATCAAAATCTGGCTTTCTTATATAAGGTGTAATTAATAGGACAATTTAAGTCAATTGTCATGTTTGATATTGAAAAGGCAAGATTATAGATACAATATTATATATTTTATTTATGTAGTAAATTGTGGAGCTGGCCAGGAGGGTGATGATGATTGTTCCAATTGTAAGTCAGGTTATTATAAACCATCAGCAGGGATTTATCCATGTATGAAATGCCCGCTGCACACAACATCTAATCAGGCCAGGACAGAATGTAATATATGTAAGTACCAGTGAAAAAAGTTAATACTCAAATATTGTTTTGTTTTATTAAACTTTTTCTGTGAAATTTTGAGAGTTAAACTTTTGAAAATAAAAAATCTAAAGTTCATAAAGGAAAAGTTAGAGGAACCTGCTTAAGTTTCTAATGCCTGAGAAATGTGAATGTGGAAGTCTTTTGACGATGATTATAGATTATCGATGATCATCTCAACAAGATTGATTTTCTCGCTTGAGCCGGTACCGTGAAAGTGAGAAAAGCAATCAAGTTGAGATGACCAATGATAATCTTATTATCGCTTTTTTGCCTTTGATGACGTTGATGTTTACACTGACAACGACATGTGCGCCCTTAGTTTCTAGCGATAATTTTTCATATCACTCTACTGTGCTGAGAAAGGAAATTATCAGTCAGTATGATCAAAGGAAAATTTCGTAAAATAGTGATAAACATTGTTCACGATTATGGAGAGTAAATTCCCCTTATGGCTTAACATTTACATTTTTACATTTTCCATGTTTAGGTTAATATTCAATACAGATTTATATTAATTATAACAATTACAGTGTTGTCAGCCTGAAATATTCCAGACTTGGTGCAGGTATTTTTCCTAGTAAAAGTGGTTGTTAAAAGGTTAAGTGGTGCAACTATAATGGATAAATGACTTTCTTTCAGATTTCCATCAGGTGAAACTTCTAGAAAAAAAGAGAGTCAAGAATTTATTAAAGAAAAAAAAAAAAATCTCATTTAACATGCACATACCTGCAAAGTGCAAACCCTCCCATTTTGAGCGGGAGACTCCCGCTCAAATGGCGAAATTCGGGAAATCTCCCGCTTGCCAGTATCCTCCCGCGCGGGAGTATAGAATCTCCCGCTTTGGGATATTTTAACCTTGAATGACAAGTCAACATTAATTACGTTTTTGTCTCACTGATGAGGGTTGTTTTTACCTGTAAATCACAGACCATGTGAAATTAAATGGCTTCACTTCACAGCTTGGGTGTCAAACATAGTACTTATTAACGATCATTAACGACTTTTGCTTCAAGCAAAACACTTCAAAGAAATTTCGGGTTACTTCCCCTGTTTAATCCTGTTTTAAGTTACCCTTCTTAAGATAATGTGAATTGATAAAACAATATAAACTAAATACAAATTAAACAAAGAATCATAAAAGGATAGCAATTAAAAGATTTTGTATGCCTTAAGACAAAAAAAATAATTATATTTTAAAAATCACTTAAAAGATCTATACTTCTATTCAATGTTTATATTGAAATTTATAAAATATGTATTGAACCAAATTGAGTGAAATAAATATGTGCACACACAAAATGCACCTGTAACATGATGATTGCTGTCTTATTACAGAGGTATCTGGGGTGATAATTGTCCGGAAGGAATTCAAATGTCAAAGTTGATGTAAGAGGAAAGAAACAAACAACACACCTTATCCCCGCCTTAGTATATTTCTAGGATTTTGATTGGATAACGCACGTCGTTACAAAACCAATAGCCCCTGGGAGTTTCTAACCCATATACCTGGACGTTGCTCTCCATTACCCCGGGGGACGTCACACGCGTTTTCCTTAGTTCCATGGTTGTTCTTTGTGAAATATAGAATTCTGTAGATTATTCATGATGTTTGTAATTAAATATTTAATCCACTAACGATGTTATCTTATTTTGTCGATCATTTGCACACATTTTAGTAAATGCATCACTTGGCTGCCACATCGTCTATGAATGGGACTACTTACCTAGCTATGCAAATGACCCAAGTTAACGTCACACCGTCTATGATGTAACTCTCACAACATTGAGCGCCAAATTCGACCCACTCCAGTTTCTCTGTCTCCGTATTAAAAACGTCTTATATTTGAATACCTGTAGGGTTCTACCAAAGGTAGTACCCTACACCCCGTAAAAGATACGTCAAATTCCCAAATTTCAATAAAAGATTTTTAGAAAATGAAAAAAACGTTGCTTTCACTTTACACTTTGTGGTCGAATTTCTCTAAAAATCGACAGATTTGGACTAAGACCGGGGATCAATTCATTATCTTCGTTCATATCCGTAGATATGGATATTTTAACACCCTTCAGTACCCTGTACACCCTTTGGCTTCGCCTCAGGGTGTACTTGGATACTTCAGGGTGTTAAAATATCCATATCTACGGATATGAACGTAGATAACTTATATTCTGTAGGATATAACCATATTTAAAGAAACAAAGTATATCTATTAACTCTTATGTGTGTATCGTAGATGAATAAATAAACACGTCATATATTTCACTTGAAAATGTCGTTCGCGCAAAATCTCCCCCTCAGCTGTCATAGCTGAGAGGGAGATCTCCCTCTTTGAAGGTTTCAGAGGTTGGCAGGTATGCATGCATCTGAAAAATTTTATTATCTGCTTTAGTAAACAGTTCACCTGTATATCACATCAACAATGGTCAATGTATACAATATTTGAAAAGAGAGAGTCAAGAATTTAATAAAAAAAAAAAAATTAAAAACCTCATTTAACATGCATCTGAAAGATTTTATTATCTGCTTCAGTAAACTGTTCACCTGGATATCACATCAACAATGGCCAATGTATACAATGTTTGAAAGGATACTACCAGACTGAGTATAACAAGACAACTTGTACAGCATGTTCATCTAACCATGACACACAAAATACAGGGTCCAGTAAATCTACAGATTGTCAGGGTAAGTCAGGTGCTTCATGGTACGGTCAACTATATAATTTTTTTTTATAGAAAAACAGAGCTAAAAAAATCATCCACCTATCCTATATGTACATACATGAAAAAAAATTGTTTTGCTGTGTAAAGATAACAAAATCTTTATGGATCAAGCAGTCAAATAGGAGGTTCACAATGGCAATATGCAAGAAAGATGAAATTTTATGGAAAGAAAGAAATTTATGTAGGAGGAGTTGCAGACAAAATTTGTCTACCGCCTTTTGTGATATATCAAGAGTTCATGTTTTGCTATGGGAAACCCCAAAATTCATTTGGATAAAAGAAATATATGCACAATGTTATTATATAAGGATACCAAATATTCTTTGAAATTTTCATTGAACAGTAACAGTGATGTGTGGTTTAAAGGAGTTGCTGATACGAAGGTTGTACATAGGAGCTTCATGATAATTTGACACAACAATCACTAGATACCAATTTATCATAGGGTTTTAAACACACTACTTTGATGTTACCAATTGCCTTGGATATTGGAATGGAAGGTGGATTTTCAATCAAGTGAAATGGATTGCTTTAATATTTATTTTTTGCTGTATTTTTTGCCAAGAAAATGGCATTTTGGAATAAGAGCAAGACTAGTTGTCTTTAAGTCATTATTGAATCCATCATGATTACACGTTATCTTGCGTACTGACCATGTGAGCTTGGAGGTCAAACTACTTACTCAGCATGTCTTAATGATGCAAGGCAAGGTAGACATATATTTATGTAACATGTACATATTATTATGTCCTATAGTTCTAATGTATAAGGGTTTTTTTCTTCAGAAATCTGCCCTGCTGGTACAGAGGGAGACAGTTGTAAGAAATGTGAGAAAGGTTACTATAAATCTACATCAGGTATCCAGGGGTGCATGAAGTGTCCTGATGGGTATACTGCAAGTGATGATAAAACTAAATGTATATGTAAGTATAAGTTAGAGTAAGGAAACAAACAAAACATCAACTCTCTTATTTTATGAACTATATAACTAGTATTTCTGTTTTATATTCTAGTGATAAGATAATGTAAATTCCCATTAGTAATATTTCAGGGCTTGTTTTTATGCCTGATTCATTTGTACATTTGTGTTGTCTAGACAGCTTTCATCTGTCATATACAATTGCTTTGTTAAAAGTGGTCAACACCTATTTTATCAAAGAAAATATATGTGAACAAAGCATTTAACAGTAATGTATTTTCAACACCGTGTGACATAATTCTTCTGCTATTTACTAATACTATACTGGTAATTCAGACTAGTGTTCCTTATCACTTTATTCCAACCTAGTAAATCTAGAGGTTGACACAGAAACAATCATCAATAGGGCAACAATTACAGAGAATAATCAGTGGTTTACTGAACAAAAATGGTCCACAGAATCGTCTACAAAATCAACTTAAAGTAAATGAACTTTTCATAAAAGCTTTCGTCAGAAAAAATGTCATAAATGAAATTTTAATAAAAGCTTTTGTCAGATATAACATAGTAAATGAAGTTTTAATAAAAGCTTTATCAGAAATAACAGAAATGTTAGAGGATCGCACTATTTCATTTTATAAATTTGATTATAAAATGTTATTTGAGGTTTGGGTAGATATTAATATGCAGAAACATGCTTAGTATTTACATATCTAATATAGTGCTATTCTCTTTGAAAAGTTGACTATACCCTATTTGTTTTATTTACTAGTAACATTAAATGCTGAAAGGATCTAATAGAAAGGAAAGGTTAAGGGGGCTGGAGGTGTGAGTTCAAAAAAATAAAACTTTACCAAAAATCATCATCTGATCATTCATGTAAAATTGTTTATCCCTCCTGCGTCCTCCCATATTGCTTTATAATGAAGAAGTGAAGCTTATTTACATTATTATCATGTTTGTGTCATATGATAGTTTTCCTTTGACCTTGCATATTTAATCACATTTATTTTAATGTTGGTATGTACAAACTTGATCGTTTTTTATTAAAGCTGTGTTGATCATTGTCCAGCAGACTGTTTGAGTTAAAAATGTTGATGTCTTTGTCAATCTGCTACCAATTGAATAATAATTTGTACTTCCATCAGACACTGTCTAAGGATGTATAGGAATTTCTTGTTTGTAATAATGCAATGTTATTGATAAATGATATAGTTTAATACATGTATATACATATTTTTCCTAGGTCATTGTCAGTTAGATTTTAAAAAGTTTTAGATTGCCTCTCTCATAACATATATATTTTAATTTCAGTTGTTGTGGTAGATTTAAAGGTGATAATACATAGGCTAGGCAATAAATTATTTCGCAATTTCACATTCAATATTTATTCACATACACTGATACTGATTTTTAGTGATATTTACATCAAGTGTAGTAATTATTAGGGCCCCGACGAATGGCGGGTCGCCCAATAGTGATCAGTCTGTTCGTCTGTCCGCCCGTAACAAATTGTGTCCGCTCTATATCTAGAGAACTGTTATAATTTCATACTTTATACTTGACATGTATATTAACCAACACCAGAGGGTGTGTCATAATGTTTGTACAACTTCAGGTCAAAGGTCAACGTCAAAAACTTTGGTTTCAGTTGACAACCCCATGTCCTATGGTAAAGATACAAATTTTTTACCACACGTTATTCACAGCGGGGCCCACAGAGATGGCTCCCATCTTAATGATGTCTAATTTTCTTTATTTTGTTTTCAGTGGATTGCAAGGCTGGTTCTTACATTGATGGCAATAAATGTTCTCCTTGTGGTTACGGCACATACCAGCCTGACCTTGCCCAGACATCTTGTCTGTCATGTGACTCCATCAAAAATACCACTTTCACTGGATCTGACAAAAAAGATGATTGTAAAGGTAAGTAAATATACTTTGAAGTAATTCAGCTATTGAATGTTAGCAAATAAAATATATAAACAGTTTTATGTGAAATTTTGACAAACATTTTTATATTTTATTTGATGAAGAAATGCACAATAACCTTTAAAATATTCCCAGAAAACCAAACAAAGAAGTCTCAGTTTTTTTATTAAATAGTTTTTAAAATTTTGTTTCATTTGTATGTTTAGTGTGGTATCCATTTCACATTTTGATGAAACAACATAGTATACATTATTGTTTAGGGGCCAGCTGAAGCCCCCTTCCAGGTGCGTGATTTTCTTTCTGTGTTGAACACCTATTGGTGACCTTGGGCTGTTTTCTGCTCTTTGGTCCGTTGTCTCTTTGACACGTTCCCCGTTTCCATTCTCTATTCTATTAGGTATTGTGTAGAGTTCAACTATGTAATTTACCTGTACAGTTTTAACTCATTACATTTCATTGAAATGATTCATCAATTCATAAATGAAAAAAAGTGAGATACACATATATTATCTATCTATTCCAGTGTACTGTGGTCCAGGTGAAGAAGGGACAGATACATGTTCTCCATGTAAAGACGACTATTATAAATCAACAGGTGGCAGGACAGCATGTTTACAATGTACAGGTCACATGACCTCTACTAAAAATGACAGGACTAAATGTACAATTTGTAAGTATTCTCTTAACATATATATGATTTTACAGATAGTTTTACTAAATGACTTAATGATAAAATATTTATATATATTAGTCTATAGATTTGCACAACAGTACTAATATAAGACGGTAATATACGAAGATGATGTAATAAAATCGTGTTGACAAATATTTCGGCTTAACAAATGTGTCAATAATTTTTTACAATACTAATACATTAGTATTGTAAAAATTATTGACACTGACGAAGGCTATTTGTTAAGCCGAAATATTTGTCAACATTAGTATTGTAAAAATTATTGACACTGACGAGGGCTATTTGTTAAGCCGAAATATTTGTCAACATTAGTATTGTAAAAATTATTGACACTGACGAAGGCTATTTGTTAAGCCGAAATATTTGTCAACATTAGTATTATAAAAATTATTGACACTGACGAGGGCTATTTGTTAAGCCGAAATATTTGTCAACATTAGTATTGTAAAAATTATTGACACTGACGAGGGCTATTTGTTAAGCCGAAATATTTGTCAACATTAGTATTGTAAAAATTATTGACACTGACGAGGGCTATTTGTTAAGCCGAAATATTTGTCAACATTAGTATTGTAAAAATTATTGACACTGACGAGGGCTATTTGTTAAGCCGAAATATTTGTCAACATTAGTATTGTAAAAATTATTGACACTGACGAGGGCTATTTGTTAAGCCGAAATATTTGTCAACATTAGTATTGTAAAAATTATTGACACTGACGAGGGCTATTTGTTAAGCCGAAATATTTGTCAACATTAGTATTGTAAAAATTATTGACACTGACGAGGGCTATTTGTTAAGCCGAAATATTTGTCAACATTAGTATTGTAAAAATTATTGACACTGACGAAGGCTATTTGTTATGCTGAAATATTTGTCAACATGATTTTATTACATCATCTTCATATATTACCATCTGAAATTAGTACCGTTGTGCCAATCTTTAGACTTGTATAATTTTTTCCTTATCTGCGCAGCATCGTCTATTCTAGTCGATACGGTACATATTAAATTTGCTGGTTGGTTCTTTTTATAGACCTATATATATACATATATATATAAACAAGTCTAAATTGAAAACAACGTTCAAACCTATGATTGCGTTGGATAAAAACCGCAATTTTTATACATGTGCATGCAAAACAAATTTCTTGGTAGAGGGGTCTAAATACAGCACAAACAACATTTTCCAAAAGACCAAATGAGTGAAAAAGTATATTTTAACAAAACGCATTTGACTAGCAGGTCAAACAACTGATGTTCTTAAACCCTGCTGACTGCCATTGGCGATTGCCAAATAAACGGATCACAAGATGTAACAAAATAGATCTCATCATTAATTTATTACCAAACAGAAAACAATAAATTCACGGAAAAGATGGTATACCGCAAACATGAGGTGCAAAAATTTGTACACCATATCCGGATTTCGACAATTAATGTCTCTTCAGTGATGTTAGGAATCGAAACGGTATTTGGAAGGCCATATAATTTACCTCAATTTAGGATAGACTCTTGAATTTTGAAAGAGTCAAAATAGGATGAACGGATCATATAAACCCGAAGGCAAATATAATACAAGCCCAAACGAAAAAATATAAACAAGTCTAAATTGAAAACAACGTTCAAACCTATGATTGCGTTGGATAAAAACCGCAATTTTTATACGTGTGCATGCAAAACAAATTTCTTGGTAGAGGGGTCTAAATACAGCACAAACAACATTTTCCAAAAGACCAAATGAGTGAAAAAGTATATTTTAACAAAACGCATTTGACTAGCAGGTCGAACAACTGATGTTCTTAAACCCTGCTGACTGCCATTGGTGATTGCCAAATAAACGGATCACAAGATGTAACAAAATAGATCTCATCATTAATTTATTACCAAACAGAAAACAATAAACTCGCGGAAATATATGTATATAATTCGCCTAAACAACAGCCCAACAATATTAGATCTGTAAATTTGCGGAAGCAAATTTTTTGTTCTTCCTTGGCCAGGATTCGAACTCATGCATATATATATATATGAGACTGCCCTTGAAATAACACACACACTTTAATAATTGTAAATTTAAATCACGGGGGATTGTGGGGTCTCTTCCTATATGAGAGTATACACTGAAGTGCCACTGGTATGGCTAAATTTTTCGTAAGTCAAATAAATCAATGGAGTGCAATTTCACAGAGGTTATAAAATTATGTCAATGGGCCATAAATGTTCATCTCTGCTAAGATGTCTGTAAAAACTGTGTACTGATCTATTTAATCAATTATAATGAATGATCCTGTGTTGTTAAAATCTAATTAAGATGCATGTCTCCTACAGATTGTATATTTAACTGATAGCTGGGAAATATTTGGTTATGATATTCCTATGAAATATATGTATGAGTAGGGATTTTCCCAAAAATCAATATATGAATGGGGGAATTTTTTTTTTTACTAGAATTAGCCTAATTTTATCTTTTCTATATACATGTACTTTGACTATAGCTATTTTTACAATGTTTAGGACCACATGATAATCTTGTGTTAATATAATCAATGTATTTTGATATTTTACAGTATTTTGTGATCGTGGCTATTTCTACAATGCTGTAGACAATACATGTAAACCTTGCCCAGAAGGGGAGTACAAAAGTGATAGAGGAATGGAAAAGATGTGCCAGGCTTGCACAGCTCGATATGAAGTGATAGGCAACCCTGGAACACAGTGTAAAAGTAAGTCTATGTTTGCCACAGATTTTACAGATTTGTAATGAATAACACAAATATTTTCACTGAAAAGGGATATGTAACTGAGACACTTACTTAAGTTGAAAGATTATAGATTATCTGTTTTTTGCTATTTTAGGCAACATCAATGAAATTGGCTTATAATGTCATGTTTTAATTCTACTGAACTAAGATTACCACTCTCAATTGAGTACCATGAGATGGAAAATTATCTCATAGAATGATTAAAGCAAAATTGAAGTGTATAGTGATACATGTAATGATGTATCCTACACAATTATATTCCTATTTAAAAAAAGAAGTTTAATCTTTATGAAAACATCAACAAACTTTTGGTAGAGTCAACAATATTATGTATTCTGTCACATGAGTACACACCTTTTTATTATTAAAAATCCTGATCTATGAATTGATGTTAAGCTTCAAGTCATTATTTTTTTTGGAATTACTGCCTTCATATTTTTGATGATAACTTTTCACCATCCTCTTGTCTTCCATCATTTTAGATATGATTATACTTATTGCAGGAACTGTTTGTGCTGATTTGATTGATAATTTCAAGTCCAATAGTTTTGGTAATGCAATTTGGAAACAGTTAAAGCCTCTGGTTGAAGGAAAAATACCATATGCACCAAACACATCAGCGATCAATGATGTTATTAAATTGGTAAGTAGATGAATAAATTGTACTACCCAGGGGGATATTAACAACTTGCTAAATAAAGAGTAGTACAGATGTGTTGCCTTAAAGGGTAACAAAATATTTAAGTCCCCTGAAAAAATATCAGGTCAAAATTTCTGTAAAATAATAAACTGTTGCCAAAATTAATCAATCATCTCATATACCAAACTTTTAGTGTGATTTGATTAAAAAAATACAGTCAAACCTGATTTAACGGTCACCTCTGTTCAGCGGTCACCTGCCTCTAATGGTCACTTTCAGACCCTCCCAAACAGTTTTTCTGTATAATTTAACTCGTTTCAGCGGTCACCTTTCTAACACGGTCAGCTGTCACCTGATTTACACATGAAATTGTCATTTCAACTTTTAAAAACGGTCATTTTAATGTTTTAACTACCAAAATAATTTTGACGAAATCAGTATTGAAGTCAAAATGAAAGTCAAAACCCACTTGCAAACGAGATTGCCCAATAGAAGGTGAATTTATGAATTCCCCGTGTCCCACAACTTACAATTTCCATTGAAAACCGTATCAACGACTTATTTCTGCATGAATATTAACATATTTCAAATTTTTCTTCTAATTTACAGCACCGGAATCTGCCATTTTTTTTTATTTTAATGCTCACAAGTACAATACTGATTGAAAACACTAAAACAATTTGCCTTGATCCTGGGCATGGAAAATGTCGGAATAGAAATTTTTTGGAACCTTGTTTAACAGGTCACTTCTCTTGAGCAGTTACTTTTGATACTTCCAAAGAGTGACTGCTTAATATAGGTTTGACTTTAGAATTTATATTATTTTATTTTTTTTTATCTTACAGGCAAACAAGACATTTGAAGACCTATTTAATATTGTGGACCTAGCAAGATCATGGAGAGCAGAATCGGATGTTTTATTTAACTTTCTTGAAACTAACCCTGAAATACAACTTCTTAGAGTAAGTAGTCATAAAATTATAAAGATCCTGGTTAGATTTCACTACAACACACATTTGTCCATTTTGGTTACATTTTTTCTCATCTCTGTGCTCATCAGAGTGAAGTTTTTCATCTCTAAAGTTTGTCACTATTTTAGAGAATTTGTAAAAGGTGTATGTATGTGATGTATGTATGTCTGTGAGACAGCAAATACCTGAAATACTTGGAAATAACAAGTATATCAAAGGAACAGTATTGTTGTTCTTCATCTTGATTGATTGTTGATGTTTAACATCACTTTCAGCACTATTGGTGATATTGTAGTGGTCAGTTTTTATTGTTAAAGGAAGCCAGAGTGCCAATAGAGAACCACCAACCTTTTGCAGGAAAATTGACAATCATAGTCAAGAGTGGAGTGACTGTTACTTAATATTTTAGTGATACATAAAGAGCTCACATCTTACAGTAAGATCAAGATGGCAGTTAATGTTGACTTATTATGTAATAACCAATACTTACTCAGCACAAATGGGATAGTTAATCAAGAAATGAAAATTCTGTTTTTTTCCTCAAAGAATTGATTAATGTGCATTTTCCCTTACATTTCCGATGTCACAATACTTACATTATTATGTCACAGTAAGATTTGATTGTTCAATAAAGGCAGTTAAGCAGATTGAACTCTGGTCATCCAGAGTATCTCATCCATATAGAAGTAAAATTGGTTTATAGCTTGAAGCTTATTTTCTTATCTAATTTGATAATACACACATCTTCATTGACTTATTTGACTGAACAACTTTAAATTTCAAACCATACGAAACCAAAGTATTTACTGAATTATTGTTATTTAGTCGTGACTTTATTTACAGGATTTCACGTGTTCTGAAGTTTGTGATAACCTATGGCATACATTTAGACGAACAGCTTGTAATGGAACATTACCAGGATTTAATATATCATCTCTTTTATCTGGACTTAATGTTGGTGGATTCAATATTGCGTCCTTAATACCAGGACTCTCTACTGGTGGAATGAATGACATCTTGTCTCTGATACCAGGATTTAACCAAAGTGGACTAACAGCCCTTTGTGATGTGGACCCAAACTATAGCCCCTGCGAGTCACTGTTTCAGTTTCTTTACAGTGGTACTGATATTAACATTTCCAATTATACATGGAAGGACGCTTTAGAGAATGTTAACAGTGTACTTGAAATGGTTTCTGAATATGGAAAGGTAATTCACTTTGGATGTTAGCAAATACATATTGTTGAACTAAAATCCTTGCAGCTTTAAAGGATATCTGTTACTCACTATGTGTTTTCCTGGGTTTTTTTTATCAATTGTTCATGTAGCAAAACCTTTTTGATACTCAAAAACTCTAGTTTTATGCCCCCCCTCTCCTCTTCACCTAAAAATGATTAAGCTTTTGGGATATTCTAAGGTAGGGTAAAACTCCATCAAATAATTGTTAAAAAAGAGTAGTTACAGTATTAATCATTTATGCATTTACCAATATTATTGCAAGTGTTCACTTTTATTTAGATGAAAATTGTTGAAATCACAACTGCTGAATAGGCTATCAGGTAATCAACAGTAAAGTGACCCGAAAAAAATCACTGCTTCTATATCTAACTTAATTACATAAATGCAACACCATGCGTATAAAAATATATATATTTTTCATCAAAAACAATTTTTGATGTAAGTTGAACACAAAATAGTTAATTATGTTCATAGAATGTTTCATATTCTGGTATTGTTTCAGTGCTTTGTATTTGACAAGTTTGAAGGATTCAAATCAGAGTATGAATTGACAGCAAGAGCTTTACAGCTGATTGGTCAAAATAAATACTTTGGCGGTAAGTGTAGAAACATATGAGGATTTTACATTAATAAACAACATATTTTTCTCACGTTACAAATGATCATTGCATGTTAAATTCTGTCAAGAGGTAATTTGAACAACTGATTGTTTGTGAGCACAAAATTTAATAGGAGAGACTTGGTTATGGTCAGGTTAAGTGCCAGAATGCAATACTTTAATCTTTATGATCTAGATTTTAAAAAGTAACAAATTTTCTAATTAATCATATAAGATTTGACTTGGACTAACCAGATATGGATCTGTTATGTCTTAATTTCAGTAATTTTTGTGTATTACCTATACTCAATGGCGAAATTTGTAACTAAAACACAATTGTAAATTTGCTGACAGCCTGTCAAATGTGATAGACGCCGGATATAATTATATTTCAAATACTGTGGGTTCATTATTATTCTTTGGGTACCAATTATTTGTGTTGTTAGGTTGCTGTCTCAATGATGTATACCATGTGTACCAGAGATCTCTTTTTATTCATAATTATATTTTTTACTTAACAGCTATTGTGTTTGATAAAGAACATAAAAATGGACTTGAATCACATGTGAGGTATTCCATCAGAATGAACCAGGATCGTGTAGATTCAACAAACAGAATTCAGTCTAGGTGGGTATAAAGTTATCTAACGTCACTTACCTGCTAATAGTTAATATATCTGTGGTCTTTTGTATTGAATACACTTACAACTGGCCTAGGCACTTTCAAGTTATGATGTTGCATTTGATGTGGCCATTTGTTTTTTTTTCAAGACTTATGATAACCTCTAGATGTCTCTTTAAAAAATGAAGTTGTCTTCTGATAGCATGTTCAAATGTGTGCTAGAGGTCATGTGTTTGATCCCTGGCTGGGTCAAATCAGAGACTTGAAAATTGATATTTGCTGCTTCTTTGCAAAGCACGTAGCATTTAAGACTTGGAGCAAAGATTGGTTGGATCTGAGAATAAACATGTTTTGTTGATTGATTGATTGATTGATTGGTGTTTAATGCTACTTTCAGCACTATTGGCTGTTTCTTGGCTGTCAGTTTTTATTGGTGGAGGAAGCCAGGGGTTTCCAGGGAGAACCACCAACCTTTGGCAGGAAAACTAACAATCCTAGTCATTTAAGATAGAAGTCAAATGCACCTGCCACGTTTGAACTCCTTGACCTCAGTGTTGACAGGCTAGTGATACAGAAGTTGGACTACTTAGACCATTCAGCCACCAAGCCCTTAAACGTGTTTTGAAATCTTGTCAATGTGTCTAGTACAAAACAGGGTTCAAGTTCATATCACATTAACATATCATCAGGAATGTGCCTTGTAATATGTGCCAACGGATGATAAACAGCCATCCCTTCTCTTTTTTGAGAATATGTTTGATTGGGCTGCTGACTCTTTTTTGTGATTTTGTGTTGTTTGGGTGTTGTCTTCTTTTTTTAAAAGTGAATTGTTGGTTTGCTGTCTCATTGGAATTTATCCAACTTCTCCGTTTTATCATATCTTTCAGACATAACCAGATCTGGGATTGCCAGTTATTTTGCCTTTAATATAACACTGTCACCAATCTTTATTTTAGCCAGTTTATGAACTTTTTAGGTGTTTCTTTCTAGTTATGGACCTTTATTTGCAAAAAAATAGTTATTTTTTATATTTCCATAATTTTTTGAAACTTTTACATTTGAATATGTGTATTATATATTTTTTTTTTATAACTTGACCTTCTCCATTAGATAAAAGGGAATTAATTTTATATACAAGGAGATGATGTAACATAATATATTTACTAGCAATAAACTTTCAACACAGCTGTCGATTTTTCACTGGGTTGAACAGTTATTCTCCCTTTTATTAAAAATGTATATTTGTAGGTACTGGCGACCAGGACCTAGATCTACACCTGGAATAGATACTAAATATGTAACATATGGCTTTGCCTATCTACAGGATATGATTGACCATGCTATTATCAAAATCCAGACATACAATACTTCTGATATAGGAGTTATCACACAGATGTTCCCATATCCATGTTATATCCAAGATAAGTAAGTTATTATCTGTTACAGGTACTGGCGACCGGGACCAAGAACTTACTATCGATATCTGCGTTATGGCTTTGTTTTCTTACAAGACATGATTGATCATGCTATAGTTAAGATACAAACAAACAACACATCAGATATAGGTGTGATACTTCAGCAGTTCCCTTACCCATGTTATATACAGGATAAGTGAGTAGCATGTTGTCTATTATTACAATATTATATTATTTAAAAGCTGTGATTTGTTAATTCATGTCATGTATTCCAATTATAAAATACTTATAAACTTGGTAATGAATAAAATAAAATTATTAAACTTAACTTTAAAATTAACTATGAATTCTTTGTACAATTTGAAATGAATAAAAAAGGAAACAACATGCAGATGTGGATCCAAGATTTTGAAATAAATGGGTGAGGGGGTACCAAGGCAAAGTAAAATGTCTATGCGATAACCATATATGTAGTTCCATAAGACCCCCTCTTAAATCTGACTGCCATGGACTGGTTTTTGAGGTAGCTCATTTTCAAATAACAGCAAATGAGAATTGAACAAAAATGTATATGTAGATTACTCATTCTTGAAAGGCAAGTCATAGCTGTTGGATAATAAAATGTTATAATAAAACAATTGTAGCCTTTTCAAATCAGTTAATACATGTATGTCCCTTAAAGTATATAGTCTATGGACTACCTCCTAAGTCAATATACTTTCATCGGGTTGATAAAACATGTATTGATCTCAACAAAATGCTATATTTGTATAATATAGACTTAACTTTTAAATAGTAGGCTAGTAAATTGCAGATATAATATAATCATTTTTAATGCAAAAGTTTTTATAGTATAGATATATAGATATATATGTCCATAAAGTGATATTTTTTTTAGATTTTTATTGACTAATGCCTTATATTTCAGATATTAAAAAATGTGATTCTCTGAGATAGTAGTTTTCTATTTTTTGAATTTTATCATACATATTTTTGTTGAAACATCTTGGATATAAGCAAAAACTGCAAGCATAAAACCCCCCAAATTCCCAAATATAATTTTGAGATTATTGTTTTGATATGAGCCTTCCCCAAAAACATAATATGCAACATCATGTCTTATACAAGGATGTTGATCTTAGTAAGGTTTACCTGCATCGACAAAGGGGAAAGCAGGACTAGTAATCGCTTGACTTCATTCGTCTGGTTGTACGTTGTCTTTCAGAAAGACCTTAAGTAGAACACTTTCGCTTCTATGATATGGAATGATTTAATATTTGGTTTGCAGCTTGATAATATTGATTTCGAGAAGAGCGAGCAATTTTTACATCCGCTGTGCAGCCACTTCCTGTTTACCGATTGTTTGAAATTTTACAACACATTGTTGTGCAAGAAACATTTTTCGTCAAATATTTCTTTACTTTAATCAAAGGGAATGGTTTAATATTTGGTCTGCAGCTTGATAATGTTGACTTGTAGCAAAAAAGCAATTTTTACATAACTATCTGTTTGTCCATAGTTTGAAACTGTTCAATATTCATTGTACTAGGAAAATTTTCATCAAACTTTTCTTGACTTCTATTTAAGGAAATGATTTAATATTTGGTCTGCCTCTTCATAATATTGAGTTGTAGGGAGGAAGCAATTTTTACATCCACTATCCCGCCACTTCCTGTTTGCCAATAGTTTGAAATTTTACAGTACTAATTGTACAGGAAAATTTTCATTATTTTGTGTCGTACTGAAGGGAATTTTTAATTTTTTGTCTGCAGCTTTATTATGTTTAGTTGTTATGGCAACATTGGTAATCAATTTTTACATCCGCCATGCAGCCACTTCCTGTTTGTCGATATTTTGAAAATTTACAACACTTATTGTGAAAGGAAAATATTCATCACATTTATTTTGTCTTTAATAAAAGGGAATGATCAGTTATGCTTCAGTATACATGTTACTTCAATTGCATGCATCGATGCAGGTCCAGACCCTGTATTGGTCATGTTAAGTAATACTATTGTTTGAATTTAATTTTACCATTTTGTTATTATTCCTATGATTTAGCATGGTTCTCATGAGAATTAAAACAAATCACATTCTTTTTCACATTTATTTATTAATTTTGGATTATTTACATATCAAGTCTAAGAAATATTAAAGTATTTTTTTTCAAAAATGATTATGTATTTGTATATTATGTAAGGCTTTTTATTTGTAAATCTGAAATTTGGTTTTATTAGTAATCATGTCATTTTTAGAGACAACTTGTTTGTAGAGAGGGGATGGTGGTGTAAGGAGATGGGGAACTTATTTTCTTTTCTATTAAAATTCATCAAACCTGCGGAGATTAAATATCTTAAAACAAATATCAGCATAAAAAAGTAATCATTTAAAAAGGGTTTAGCATGTGTAAATAATTATTTTTACCTTTATCATTATTGTTATAGATTTATCTATGCCATATCCCGAACTTTGCCATTATTCCTGGTGTTAGCCTGGGTGCTGTCTGTGGCCATGATATGTAAGAATATTGTGTATGAGAAGGAGATGCGTCTGAAGGAAGTGATGAAGATTATGGGATTAGGTAATGGTGTCCACTGGCTGGCGTGGTTTATTGATGCCTTCATTGTCATGTTTATATCTCTGATTCTGATGGTTATTATTTTGAAGGTAAGGAATAGCATAGATAAAAGGAAATTTTGAGTATACATCGTTTTGACAGCAACCCAACAACACTGAATTCTAAAGTCTTAAGGTCATTATATGGCCTTTGACAATGGACTAGTGTCTATTTGATATATCCACTATTAAGAGTCTATGATTCTATATAATTCATGACTGGACTTTTCAATCGATTATTGATTTAGGGATGTATGGCGGGCAGGCGGGTGACTGCCAAACAGTGTCCATTAATTAACGATTTTAGCTGTTCTCGTTGTTGAGTTGTAGACCTTTCAGTAGCAAAGTGATTCTTATTATATGCTTTTGAGTTATTTCCCTTTGAACAGAAATGGTGTAATTAATAAGTAATTTCTAATTTCTATGTCATTAGGTCTCTTGTTTTTATTTTGAGTTATTTCTCTTTGAACAGAAATGGTGTAAATTGTAAGTCTATCAATGATTGTATCTGTTCAATTGATTTTAGTCAGGAGGTGTCAAAAATTTCTTTATAACTATTTTTTTTAAAGTGTGTGTTTTGAAGGTAGATGTTACAGTTGTTATGTGGTATTTGCTTTTCTTTTTGTTTTGTGTGTTAATGTTTAATTTTTACTTGATCCTGTTTGGGGATCCAGATTTGCAAATATCATTTTCATTAGATAATAATCTATTTTTATTCTTCCTATAAAACTACACACAATTTGTATTATAGATTTTTACAATTAACTAAACATACACATTTGTACATGTATTTGGATTAGGACAATGTATTTACTATTACATGTAATTTATTCATGCAATAATTTCCACCTTTTATCAAGATAACTAACATGTGGTAATTATCAACTTACAAAATTATAATTGCAGTGACAGATTTATTTTCGATTTTGGGCCCAGTTTTCAAGTTGGTCCAAATCATGGTTCAAAATTAAACTATGTTTGATTTCAGCATCAATTGAATATAATATAGGGTTCTTTCAAATGAATCTAAACTTGTATTTAAATTTTGGATTTTTGGGCCCAGTTTTCAAGTTGGTCCAAATCAGGGTCCAAAATTTATCTTTGTTTGATTTCAACAAAAATTGAATTAATGGGGTTATTTGAAATGCTGAATCTAACCATGTATTTAGAGATTTTGGATTTTGGGCTCCTTTATTAAATTGGTCCACATTGAGGTCCAAAGGGTCCTAAATTAAACTTTTGTTTGATTTCATCAAAAATTGAATTCTTGGGTTTTTTTATACGCCCGTCAAATTTTTGACGGGACGTATTATGTTATACAAATGTCCGTCCGTCTGTCTGTCCGGCGTAAACATGTCGCACCGTAACTTGAGAATGACTTATCCAAATTTCATGAAACTTAACATAGTTGTTTCTTATGATGGTCAAACGATCTGTATACTTTTTGGTGAAAATTAGATTAAAACTTTTTGAGTTACGGGACTTAGTAACTAAAACAGGTGTGTGTTTTTTTCACATGTCGTGCCGTATCTCAAAAACAATTTATGATTATTGCTTAAAACTTTACACACTTCTTAGTTATATTAATCTTAAGATCTGTATACTTTTTGGTGATGATTCAAAATTTTATTTTAGAGATATTGAGTATTTTGTTAAAAAAGGGGGAGGGGTTTTTCACATGTCGCACCGTATCTCAAAAACGATTTATGAATATTGCTTACAATTTTACACACTTCTTAGTTATGTTAATCTAAAGATCTGTATACTTTTTGGTTTTGATTCAAAATTTTATTTTTGAGATATTGATTTTTTTTTTTTAAAAGGGGGGGTTTTCACATGTCGCGCCGTATCTCAAAAACGATTTATGATTATTGCTTAAAATTTTACACACTTCTTAGTTATATTAATCTAAAGATCTGTATACTTTTTGGTTTTGATTCAAAATTATATTTTAGAGATATTGAGTTTTTGTTAAAAAAAAAGGGGGTTTTCGCATGTCACGCCGTATGTCAGAAACTATTTATGCTTATTGCATAAAAATTCACACACAAGACGACGGGCGTATCATGCGCTCATGGCGCAGCTGTTTATTGATATGCTGATGCTAACAATGTATTTAGATTTTAGATATTGGACCATAATAGGTAAATGTCCAATTTCAAATTTTTCAGTTCTTTGACCACATTCATTTTGTGTCACAAACCTATGCTGTGTCAAATATTCAATCACAATCCAAATTCAGAGCTGATTTAAGCTTGAATGTTGTGTCCATACTTGCTCAACTGATGAGGGTTCGACCTCTGCAGCCTCTTGTTTTTACATGTGTTAATTAATTTTCTACAGAACATGATGCCTCTTTAAGTCACATTTAATAATTGTAATATGGCCTTCACAAGGTATCTGTTTACATTTAGCAATTGTTCTTTAATTTGATGTCGGTAACATGGCTTATACCTTTAATAAAGTTTTTTTTTTATTTGATTTCAGGCAGGAAAAGTTCTTGAGCATTCAGACCCTACAGTAATCCTGTTCTTGTTAACAGCATTCACAGTGGCTACTATATCACAATGTTTCCTCTTCAGCGTTTTCTTCTCGAAAGCTAACATTGCAGCATGTGTTGCTGGGTTTTTGTACTTCATGTTGTATTTAATATATCCCCTGTGTTCTCAGTGGGAGGAATTGATGACAAGTACACATAAAAGTCTAGCTGTAAGTAAAGCATGTACTCCATTATGTGTTAGCCTCTTTCTTTACCTTGCTTTATGTATTTGTCATGTATTTCATTGAAGTAACAGATGATAAGAGTCTCTCTGCAAGTAAATTTACAAATGGGATATCACATCATAATTCTTATATTATTTGCATATTTGGAAATACGTTAATATGATTGGTCCAGAAGGCTTCCGGTAGCGGTTTTTTAAGTGAATTATTTTTGGATGACCATGTTGACCTTACTTCTTTTATATATATTCACATGCCAGGCAAATCCAATGAACAAACACACAATAACGTGTGATAGATGTTACCAAAGGGGAAAACAAATTCTTTATCTGCGATTTTAAAGAAATGAGGATTAAACACCTTTTGAAAGGAATTTATAGGTGTAATAACTGGACCAAGTCACACACAAACATATCATAAAAGTTTTTATTTATTTGTGAGTGACCTAGTAAAGTTTATAGAACCAAAAAATTCTGTACAAAAGATCTTTAATCCTATAATAATTTTTACAATAATGTTGTTTTTAAAGCCCATCACAAACACAGTATAGCCACATTCATTCTTTTTTTCACACATACAATAAATGTTAATAATTAGAAACATATGAAACACATTACAAATAACTAAGTATGATATACATAGGGAACACAAGACTTATAATCCTATAAATGGCTATTTTCAATAGGAGATAGACCCACCCCAAATGACAGATCTGTCCTATTAGTGAATCATCCAATCAAAACTTTTATAACAAGTTTGATCAGAAACATTGTCCAATTAAACATCATTATACATGGATCAATTTTTGTCTCGCCTTGACGGAGTCAAAAAGCGAGACATAGGTATGCTGTTTTCCGGCGGCGGCAGCGTCAACAATGTATTAGTTTGTGATTAGGTCTAGTTCATGGTGAACCACTAGTGGTAGGTCAATGATATTTGGTATACAGTTGTATTAGCATTGGCACATCTCATTACCATGGAGATTATTTGGCCCCACCCCCTCAGTCAAGGTCTATTGACTTTGAAACTTTTCATAGTTTACATGTATTAGTTTGTGATTAGGTCAATTTATGGGGAACCACTAGTGGTAGGTCAATGATATTTGGTATGCAGTTTTATAAGCATTGGCATATCTCATTTCCATGTAGATTATTTGGCTCCGCCCCCTTAGTCATGGTCTATAAAATTGAGAATGGAAATGGGGAATGTGTCAAAGAGACAACAACCCGACCATAGAACAGACAACAGCAGAAGGTCACCAACAGGTCTTCAATGCAGCGAGAAATTCCCGCACCCGGAGGCGTCCTTCAGCTGGCCCCTAAACAAATATATATACTAGTTCAGTGATAATGAACGCCATACTAAACTCCAAATTGTACACAAGAAACTAAAATTAAAAATAATACAAGACTAATATAGGTCTATTGACTTTGAAAATTTTGCTAAGTTAACATGTATTAGTTTGTGATTAGGTCAGTTCAAGGGGAACCATTAGTGGTAGGCCAATGTTAATTGGTGTTCAGTTGTATAAGCATTAGCACATCTCATTTCCATGGAGAATATTTGGCCACGCCCCCTCAGTCATGGTCTATTTACTTTGAAACTTTTGCTTAGTTTACATGTATTAGTTTGTGATTAGATCAGTTTAAGATGAACTGCTAATGTTAAGTCAATGATATTTGTTATGCAAATTTATTGGCGTTTGCAAGTATCGTTTCCATGGAGATTATATAGCCCCACCCCTGATCATGGTTCATTGACTTTGAAACTTTTACATAGTTTACAAGTTAATGTTTGTGTTTAGGTTTGTTTAAAGGGAACGACTTATAATAAGTCAATTGTATTTGGTATGCAGTTGTATTAGCATTGGCACATCTCATTCCATGGAGATTGTTTAGCCATGTACCTTCAATCATGGTTCATCAACATTGAATATTTGCATAACTTACATGTTAAAGTATTGCTATTTTAATTTCAACATTTGCATTATCAAAATTACAAAAAGGCGAGACATTTCTCTGTGATAACAGTTTATTCTTTCAACCATATCAGAAAGTAAGAGTGATAATGGTCAGAGGAAAATAGATTCATTAATATTGTTTGAATACTTTTTCTATTGATTCCATGGATAGAGGGAGGCAAACTTCAAATATAAATTATAAACTAACTCTTTATTTTTTTGCTGTGATATGTGATATGATAAGAATGAATTATTTAGTTTAGGAATCATAAAATAAAAGGAGATGTGGGATGTATGTCAATAAGATAGCAACCCAATGACAAATATAACCAATAAACATCTAAACAACTATGATGTGGGATCAGGGTCATAGTTATGACAAGTGTATTCTAACAAGTGTTAAATGGATCAAATAGAGTATAGGGTAAGTTAGTTCCTGTTCATTTAACCAGTTGTGATTAGGCTTTGACAGTATAGTAAATACATAAACATGTATAAAGCATTGTCATAAGTGACAGATGTGTTTCTTTATAACAGGGTCTATCATCAAGTGTAGCCTTTGGGTTTGCCTGTAGTTATGTAGCTAGGTATGAGGAGCAAGCCATTGGTGTCCAGTGGAGTAACATCGGTGAAACACCTATTGTTGATGATGATTACAGCTGTTTGAATTGTATTGTCATGATGATTGTTGATGCCATTATATATGGTTTGTTTACCTGGTATATAGAAGCTGTTTTCCCTGGTAAGCAGTTATTATATCTTCATATAATAAAGTAATTTAATTTCAGAAAATTTTGGCGATGTTTTCATTATTGCAAAAATTGTGATGTGATAGGTTTTGCAAATATATAAATTTGCATTTAAATTTTATAGCATTATTTGAATACAGCATTTTCTTTAGTTGTAATAACTTAACTCACATTTTTGTCCATTGTTCATTTGAAGTAAGTTAAAAAAAGTTTCCCCTATATAACTTGATATATGAATGCAACAAAAGATTTTCATTTGATTATACTGTTTTTTAAATATTTTGGAATATTGTATAACTCCGAAAATCAAGACCCTTATGACATGTTTTATGAATATAGATTATATCACTGCATAGAGTGTGATACGATATTTATCCACTCGAGACAGTTAAATTTTCAAATTTAAAACGCAAGGCTTTCCGAGCGCTTTAAATATTTCAAATTTAACTGTCCAGAGTGGATGAATATCACATTGCACGACATTTGGTGGTGTTTCTCTAATGATTTTTTAGACAATATCCAGACAATATTAATCCTTTCTTTCGAATGATTTGTAAAAAGGATGTGTTCTTTCTATGTGACGTCATCAGGCATGGTTGCCTTTTTTCATGATGTCACAATAGGAAATTCAGAGGAAAGCAAGAAAATTTGACGTCAAAATCAATTTTTTCACCAATGAAGAACTGAGATCAAACGAACCACACGTTGATTAAATAATAAAAATCAACCAGTCAGGAAAAGGATAAATCGGGTAAGAATTAGAGAAAGTTGATTAATGGCTTAAATTTATTCAGGTACTCTCATAACCAAAAGTTATACAAGTTTTTTTTTATATATATCTTGTAAATCAATTTAAGGTCAGTATGGAATTCCAAGGAAATTTTATTTCCCCTTTCTGAAGTCATATTGGTGTGGCTCATCCATATCAAAAGATAGAAGTGACCAGTACATGTATCAAGGGTCAACTATGGAACTAAAAGGTCAAGGTAAGTAGTAACTTGATCTTTACAAATGTTTCTATATCTTATTGATAGAAATTGAATATGAACTAAGCATGATTGTTTAGGTATATTTTTATACTGTCTGTCAAACAACTTTTAAGACATCACAAAAAGATCCAGTCATATTTTAAAACTATGTGGTAGATGAATTTTCATAGTATAATAACTTTAAAATGATAGTAAATATAAAATCTAGAGAGAATGAGACTCAGTTATGATTTAAAACAATGCCATGTTCCTTTCTCCAAGGTAATGCCAATGTAGATTTATGTATAACTAAAATTAATGCCCTGTTCTTTTATTCAAGGTAATGCCAATGTAGATTTTATGTATAACTAAAAACAATGCCCTGTTCTTTTATCCAAGGTAATGCCAATGTAGAAGAAGAGCCAAAGAACAAAAAAGTTGGTGTGTCCATCAGAAACCTAAAGAAAGTTTACAAGAATGGAAACAAAGTAGCAGTGGATGGTCTTTCCATTAATTTTTACGAAGGACAGATATCATCATTCCTGGGACATAATGGAGCTGGCAAGACAACTACAATGTAAGTTTTTTCAGATATTTTTGGTGGTGCATATGATAGTTTAGATTGGTTAAATTATCTGATGACTTTTTCAGAAGTTCAGAAGCATATAACAGTTGTTGTCATAACTTTCATACTTTGTAGTAAGAAAAAAAAAATGTAGTGCAATTGGTAACTAAAGATAATGAAAGAAACTTTTAATATCAAAAGACCAGCTCTTTCATTTTGTTTTTGAATAAGGTGTTATTTCACAAAATGTATGTGTTACATTCTGTCCATACCTGATACTGTAATGCAACTTATTTGTGTAGATACTTTTTGGGGGGTGTGAAGCCCTTATCAATTCGAGGCGATTTATTTTTTACAATCTTACATTTTTGGTGTACCTGTATTCATATGTAAGAAGGTCCAAGAATGACGTATTCGTGACATTTTATATTCCCATTATTTTCTTCTAGGGAAAAGTTTGAAAAATGTATCACTTTTTAAAATCAGTTCGTTTACATGAAGCACTGTGGGCACTTTTGTTTTTGAATTTACCAAATTAAAGTAGTAAAATTTCCTTGTCTGAACTATCAATTGTTTAGCATATAACAACTTATTGCCTTGACTTTGGGAATATGATTGAAAATATTTTGTACAAAGTGTTATATTTTGACAACACAGATTAAAGAAAAGCTGAAAAACGTTTATTTTACAGGTCTATACTGACTGGACTGTTTCCTCCATCAGATGGCACAGCCTTTATCTATGGTCATAATATACTGACTGAGATGGACGCTGTCAGGGACAGTCTTGGAATGTGTCCTCAACATAATGTCTTGTTTGACAAGTAAGTATAGAATTATTGTCCTGTAACTGTGGTCATAATATATTAGATGTAATGGATGCTGTCAAGGAATTTCTTTGTGTCCACAACACAATGTGTTATTTGACAAATTAACTTCTGATTTATACTCCAATTCAATGACTTCATTTTTGATCAGCAGCTTGACAGTGATGAGTTGTATACAGCAGCACTTTTCAGATCTGTCGGACACCTACTTCCTGTTTGCAGATACTTTTGAATTTTTCAAGTATAGTCGAACTTCGTTATGTCGAAGTCAAAGGGACCGGACCAAAGTATTTGACTTATCCGAGGTTCGACTCATCCGAGGTCGAGTGTGTCGTCATAAATTTCAAATGCATGAAATACGATATGGGATTTTTGTAAACTAGATACTTTGAACAGTGTGCCTTTTTTGATATGACACTTTATGATTGTGTATTCAATATCCATATTTTCTAGTCCTTCATGATAATTAAACACACAAGTACAATACAAATCATGCACAAATAAAATCAATAGTATACACAAATATTTACAAAGGTCAGTCACTATAAATTATGAAATCACTCTAGTATGGAAACAAGTTCTGAACAGTCTCTAATGAGGTCGTCTGCTTCTCATTAAATCATTTTAAATTTGTCATTATTGTCTTAATCCTTTTATTTATCATAATTAATGAATTTTTATTCTAACGATTCATTTAATCTCGGCTTGGGTCATTTAAATTCGTTTTATGTTTTTGTCAGGTGAAATATGTTCAATACACTAACGTTCCACTTAGACAAGAAAGGTGTTAATTACCGGTCACCATAAATATGTCTTTTTAACTGTTATAAAACAAGTATGTTTCCAAAGCTTTAATCTCTTTTGAAAATGATTAAGTTACATAAGAAATACATTCAATTTGAATTTTTATCATTTGGTCTGCATCTTTCGAAAATTCTTACTTTCAAATTTCGAGACAGAGTTTGCCTAATCAGAGGTAATTATGCATTGATCAAAGGGGAATTTTGCCGGGACCAAGAAATTACTTCGACTTATCCGAGTTTTCGACACAACCAAGTTCAACTCATGGAGGTTCGACTGTAGTTGAATGATCTTAATTTTTTGGTCACATTTCTCCAGTTTTACAGAACAGATTGACTTCAAATTTGATCAATAGCTTGACAGTGATGAGTTTTGACATGTAAGCATGTTTTGGATCTGTCAGACACATACTTACTGTTTTCCAATACTTTGAATTATAAATGGGGGCAAGGTTTGACTTATTCCACTTCTTCTTGTCCTTAATTTATGGTCATTACATTTGGCCAAGAAATGATAAAAATTTCTTGACCTTAACATCATAACAACCTATATTCAAATGGCTATAATCTAAAATTCCTAAAGCCCCTATCGTCTTGCCTCGAGTGCTGGATGTAGTTCAATGCCTGGTCAGTTCAACCCAAAGATTTAAAAATAGAAATTTGCTCCTTTTCTACTAGGAATGTGGCATTTAGGAGTAAGAGTAAAACTGGTCGTCTCTGAGTAAGAATAATGTGTTAAGGTAGTGCGACATGTCTTCCTGCAGACTGTTACCTTGCTTGTGAACCAGCACTTTAAAATTTCTGCTCAGTTTGTCAGTCTAGTACTTCATATTAACATTTTCTCGTCCTAAATATGCATTTAATTTGCCGCTGGAGACCAAACATCCATCTTAAATAAAAAGAATGATGTATTAAAATTTATATTTGTGACATAAATGTTATTTTTTACAGACTAACAGTTGAAGAACATCTATGGTTTTATGCTCGATTGAAGAACCTTGAACCTGAAAAGGTTAAACGGGAAATGGTCAGAATGATTCAGGATGTTGGATTGCCACACAAAAAGAAGGAGTTATCTTCATCACTCTCTGGTAAACATACCAATAGAATTATTGTATCTCATTATACATGTAGCATTCATGTGTCCACTTTTGCCCTTTTGAAATGTCTGTAAAACAGTGGAGTGTTTGAAGCTCAGTTTGATAATTCTGTGGTCTGATTGGCCAGATAAAGAACAACAAGTGCAAGACCACACCATATTCTGATGTTGGAAACATTGAATTTCGGATTATGAGAAAAAGCATTACACAATTAAAATGAAAATAAGGCTCTGCGGATTCATTATTATTCATAGGATACCAACTTTTGTGGATTTGCTGTGTTAGGGTGAACCACAAATTTAAAGTTCAACGAAGTACAAACTTTTTATAGGCTTGTATGCAGACTTTGGCAAAATCTCAAAATAAATTTCCATGAAAATACAATTTTTCTCAATCCTTGAAAAATGGTACCCAGGAAAACAAATAAATCCACAGTATTCAACTGCATTTAAATTTTAGGATTCTTAATTACAGTGTTCTAACAAGAAAAGATGATGTTTCTGAATTGTTTATCAAAAGTATTGCTAAAGCTTATGATGTAGAAGAAAACTATTTGAACAGAACAGGGAAAATATCTGTCAATTAAATATCTAAAGTGAAAACATTTAATACTCCAGATGGGCAGCATATCATTTTTACTGTATTTTTTGCATAAATATGGAAATTGATTTAGTGATAATTACAATATTCTGTTCAAAACTTGAATTGACTAGAAATCTGATCTTTATTTACAATACATAACATTGTTTACATTAAGAACAAAAGAATATAATTTCATTTTAGATTGAGCCATAATTTTGTTTTATTTTAAGGTGGTATGAAGCGGAAGCTATCTGTAGCTATAGCCTTTGTTGGTAATGCCAAAACAGTTATTCTTGATGAACCTACAGCTGGTATTGATCCATATGCCAGGAAAGAGATTTGGGAAATTTTACTTAAACTCAAGAAAAGTAAGAAGTTAAGATATGTTCTTTTTCTTTATTCGGTGTTGCATAATTTTTTGAAACAAGTTTATACATATTCTGAGCTTCATGTGATTTGTCACATGCTTTCATTTTAAATAAATTTTCCAAAAAACAGCATTCAATTCTAGAATATTAAATCTAAAATTGCTGTTAAAAGAGAATATTTACTCATTTTTTGCGTTTTTCGAATATAAAAACAACAAAAATGATCAGAAAAAAGAGAATTTTGGTCAGCAATTATATTTTAACTGCACAAAACTTGGAAACTTAGAACACATTGTAATCTAAACATTGTGTTTCTGTTAACAGAAAGAACCATTATCCTGTCTACACATCACATGGATGAAGCTGATGTTCTTGGTGACAGAATTGCCATTATCTCACAAGGTAAACTATGCTGTTGTGGTTCTAGCCTCTATCTGAAATCACAGTATGGTAATGGATATTATCTGACCTTAGTACAGGATGATGGGAAGGGCAATGACAAAGAGGACAGTGATGACGAAATGGATTTTATGGAGTCGAGAGCACAATCTAGAGGAAGTGTAAGGACAACTGTAGATGTCAAGGTAAATTGACTTTTGTAAATCTGAACAGAACAGTAAGTTTGCATAAATGATAAAGAAAATATTGGAAATGAAAATAAAACACCACTGTACAGCTAGTATTTATGTCAGCTCTCAAAACTAATTTTATATAATGCTTTGCAATAATTTTAATGTATGTCTGCCATACAATGATGTCCTAATTAGCAAATTTTCCAGTTCACATCAAAATGTTATATATTCTATTTGACTAGTGGTTAATACTCCTTTAGACATATATTTGTAGTAAATTACTAATACATTTTTTTTTTAATGATATTACAGCCAATAGTAAATAAACAGTCAGACATAGAAGATGAAGGTTTTGGTGATAATTCTGATGACAAAAGTGAAAGTGGTGGATCTAAGCCACCAACCCCTCCTCCAGAAAGTGCAACCATGGTACCAGGTATGTTGATCCTTTCCATAGAGAACACCAACAAAACTATCTTATGTGATCCCTATATTTTTTTCTAATAATTTGGATGTGTGTTGCTCTGTCTTTTAGTTTCTATTTTCTGTTTAGTAGACTGTTGGTGGTCTTTTCGTTGTCCTTTACCATGGCATTATTAGTTTATCTTCAGCTTACGAGTTTGAAAATACCTTTGTTATAATCCCCTTCTCTTTTGCATGTTTTTTTATATGCCCGTTTACGGGACGTATTATGGTATACCTCTGTCCGTCCGTCCGTCCGTCCGTCATCAACATGTCGGACATTAACTCAAAAATGCTTTAACCAATTTGCATAAAACTTTGGTGAATTGTTTATATCTATTGACGTGAGTTCCCTTTCATTTTTTATGAAATTTAGATTTTACGTTTCCGAGTTATGGGGTTTTATTCATTAAAAAAAGGGGGGTTTTCCAGTTTTCGGACAATAAGTCAAGACTGCTTTCACCAACTTGCAAGAAATTGTGCTGAATTGTTTATATCTATTTTGGACAAAAACTCTAAAATGCTTTCAGCAATTCTTATGAAACTTTGGTGAATTGTTTGTATGTATTGATGTAAGCTCCCTTTAGAATTTTATAAATTTTACATTTTACATTTCTGAGTTATGGGGTTTTATTCATTAAAAAAGGGGTGATTTTCCAGTTTTCGAACAATAACTCAAAAATGCTGTCACCAATTCTCATGAAACTTTGGTGAATTGTTTATATCTATTGTTGTAAGCTCCCTTTTTATTTCATAAATTTCTTATATGACATTGAGAATTAATTGAACTTTATTTGTTTATAGTCTGACAACAGGTTTACTAAGTATTGCACAACAGCAAGAAATCTTTAATTGAATATTCAATTCATATAACCAATTTCAAGATCTTTGACTACATTTATTCAGAAACCTATAATATGTCAAATATTTAATTACAATCCAAATTCAGACCTGAATCAAGCTTGAATATTGTGTCCATTTTTGCCCCAACTGTTCAGGGTTGGACCTCTGCAGGCGTATCTAGCTGCGCTCAGCGAAGCAGTTTATTTCTTCTTTCTGCCTTAAATAGCAAGACATTTTTGCTTCATTAAGAACATTTGGCATGATTGCCAATGACACAACTATCCACCAAAAAGTCAATGGATAAGAAAGGGAACACGTACAGGCCATCCAGTCTGATAAAAATGTTAATCCAGTTTCCATGTTTCCACTTGCAAGGATATGATACTGCTGTCCTTCAGTTTTGGATTCCTTTTCTGGATCCTTGGATTCTGTTGTAATGATACACACCTTAAAAGTTTTGGGGCAGAAATGTCATTGGTTGATAGTAATCAGAACAGAAAGTAGGAAGGAGCATTTTTATATTCTGCAAGGGAAGTGTTGACAAAAAAAATCTGTATTTCTTTCAATCAGATTGCAGGTCACTGAAGGAATAATTTTGATTTTAATATTTGCTGAAAAAAACAAATATATTTCTTGAAAGATTTATTTTCAAGTTTTCTTTTAAGGATTTTCTACAAAGAGAACTACAGAATTTATTGGTAAATATGTAAAGAAGGCCAAGCTTGTTGAAGAGAGCAGTACAGAGCTCACCTATCAACTACCATCAGATGCAGCCCATTCAGGACAGTTTGAACAATTATTCAAACAGTTAGAGAGATGTCATAAAGATATGGGGATATCTAGCTTTGGTATATCTGATACCAGCCTTGAGGAGGTCAGTAGTCTATTCTAAACACTCAAATTGTGATATGTCGTAAACAAATTTTGTGAACACAAATCACCTAGGCGAGTAACTTGATATGCCAAGCCATTAATTATTAGTTTGATTTTGACTTATGAGTTTGAATGTCCCTTTGGTATCTTCTGCTTCTCTTTTGACACTTTCGGTCTATAAACTTGACCATTTTAAAGAATTTTATTGCAAAAAACTTACTTTTATCATATAAATTATTAAAAATTTCCAGCAAAGAATTCTTCTTAAACAAGATCCTTATAAAGAAGGTTGTGGCAAAGAACCTGACACATGCAATTATATTTTGATGAAATAGCTTTTCTGTGTGACAGGCTTTGGGGCAAAGATTGCATTCATAACCAAAACCCTTATTGGACTGTCTAGTTAGTTTCCAGACCTTATCATTACTTTTGAGTGCAAAGAGACAGTGCAAAACATAAGTTAACATGCAGTGTAATAGAAGGACAAGTCACATGGCTTATCTTGCAATAGCTTATCTCATATCAATCTACAGGAGGATAGAAATGCCTTTAAACTTAATGACCAGGCAGTATTTGAAGTTGATGTGACTTTTATTTACAGGTATTCTTGAGAGTAGCTGATGAGACTGGAGTTGATCAGGATGATGAAACAAAAAGGAAGAAATTAGAGGAAGGAACTGATAGTATGTATTGATTTGTTATACCCCACACTATAAAGTAGAGGGGGTATATAGTTCCTGACCCATCTGTCAGTCATTTTCTTTGCCGGATCTTAAATCCAATATACTTGGATTTATGGTCACATATAATGAGAGGAAGAACCCTATTGATTTTGAGGTCACTACATCCAAGGTCTTGGTCATAGTTACTCAATATAGACTGACATTGTGCTTAAAAGTGGTGTCTTGATGCTAAATCAAATACTGTATATAGTCACACATAACGAGACAAAGAACCATATTGATTTTTAGGTCACTTCAGTCAAGGTCATATTACTAACAATAGACAAAAAATCGTGGAGAAAAGTAGTTTCTAGGTATTAATTCAAATTCTTTATATGGGATTGCAACTTCACTTTGATATATGGTCATACAATGAGAGGTAGATTCATATTGATTTTATAGGTCACTGCATCAATGGTCAAGGTCTTGGTAAATAAGAATATATCAAAATTTGTGCATAAAACAAAGTATTTTAAACATAGGAGTCAGATGGATCTTTTAATGGTAATTTTCAAATATAGAAAACATTGAGTTGGATTTTATCATTTTTGTCCCGTCAATCATGAAAACACAATTGATTATAGAGGTATGTGAAAAACAGAACAGAATTTAGAATGGTATAAATGCTTATTTATGCTGGCCATGGAAGTTTAGCATAAGAGTAGTAATTTCACAGTTACTATGTATTATTTTTTCACTTGTGAAATACTGAAAAAGACATCATCATTTTGTCAACAATGAAGCAATTGCCACAGATAATCAGTGCAGAGGAGGGTTGTTTTCATGGTTGCTATTATGGAGGAAATCCCTGGCTTGCATTTCATATTATGACTGTTTAAACATTTACACTTGATAGGTATTGTGTTAAAGATGGATTTATCATAGTTAGCAACTCTTACCAAACAATCTAAAACATGTCTTTCTTGGATGAACAAATATTGTCTTCAGTAGGCATTAGAAGTTACAGTGATGAAATATACAGTATGGCTTGCATAAATGTACAGTAAAAAAAAAACCTAAAAAGTGATCATACAAATTTCACTTACTCATCACAGTGTATGTGTATTTACAATATTAGATTTTTTTCACATGACTGTGTCAAATATTATATTTGTTCATCTTAAATCTTATTTATCTTAAGGTGGTAGATTTGCTAAACCTGTCACTAGACTAAGCTTCAGAAGGAAGAAAAAGAAATCATTCCTGAAAATGTTGGCAATAAAAGGAAAGAACCCTAAAGTAGACTCAGAAGAACTAATGGATGATAATGGTATATCAAAATTTAATTTACAATCCAATTTCTTATGTCATAGAAATTCATGATTTATGTATAAATATTGATTTGTTGCAGAAATTAGAATTGCAGGGGTTGGGGTTGATACATATAAACACAGAATGTAGTTTTATTGTCTCGCCTTGACGAATCAAAAAGCGGGACATAGGTATGCTGTTTCTGGCGTCGGTGGCAGCGACGGCGGCGTCAACAATGTATTAGTTTGTGATTAGGTCTAGTTCATGGTGAACCACTAGTGGTAGGTCGAAGATATTTGGTATGCAGTTGTATTAGCATTGGCACATCTCATTACCATGGAGATTATTTGGCCCCACCCCCTCAGTCAAGGTCTATTGACTTTGAAACTTTGCTTAGTTTACATGTATTAGTTTGTGAATAGGTCAGTTTATGGGGAACCACTAGTGGTAGGTCAATGATATTTGGTATGCAGTTGTATTAGCATTGGCACATCTCATTACCATGGAGATTATTGGTCAATGATATTTGGTATGCAGTTGTATAAGCATTGGCATATCTCATTTCCATGGAGATTATTTGGCCCCGCCCCCTCAGTCATGGTCGATTGACTTTAAAACTTTTGCTGAGTTTACATGTATTAGTTTGTGATTAGGTCAGTTTAAGGGGAACCGTTAGTGGTAGGTCAATGATAATTGGTATGCAGTTGTAGAAGCATTAGCACATCTTATTTCCATGGAGAATATTTGGTCCTTACTTCTCAGTCATGGTCTATTGACTTTGAAACTTTTGCTTAGTTTACATGTATTAGTTTGTGATTAGGTCAGTTTAAGATGAACCACTAATGTTAAGTCAATGATATTCGGTATGCAAATGTATTGGCATTTGCAAGTTTCATTTCCATGGAGATTATATAACCCCACCCCTAATTATGGTTCATTGACTTTGAAACTTTTTCATAGTTTACAAGTTAATGTTTGTGTTTAGGTTTGTTTAAAGGGAACGACTTATGAAAGGTCAATGGTATTTGGTATGCAGTTGTATTATCATTGGCACATCTCATTTCCATGGAGATTGTTTAGCCCTGTACATTCAGTCATGGTTCATTGACTTTGAATATTTGCATAACTTACATGTTAAAGTATTGTAATTTTAATTTCAACATTTGCATTATCAAAATAACAAATAGGCGAGACATATCTCTGTGTTAACAGTTTATTAATGTAGAAAAACACTAATTTCTATTAGGCTCAGGCAACAATTTGTTTTTACTTTTTTCAGTTTTGATATTTGAATAACAAATGAATTCTACAAATCCATGTAGGCTATTATAAAAATAGGTTTTCATCCCGATCCATTAGTTATCATGTACCATAATTTTGATATTTACTAGTAAAAATAACTGTCAGTAAAAAATATGAACGAGAACCTTTGAAAATGTTTGCTAGCCTTATAAACTTGGTTGGTGTGTTTATTTAATAGTAATACTTTTGTTCTAGTGGACTCTCCAGATATTAGTCTTCTTCAAGAAGGTAGCAATTTTTTTTTCAAAATTTATTTTATGCATGTTTTGCTTTTGAATTGTGAAGAATTCTCTTACATTTTCCTTGTCAGCGTCTTTTCTTCATTCTCTTTCACTAAGCACAATACCCAATTCAATCTTGTTTGCCTTAAAGCTTGAATGATTTTGAAGTTGTTTGAAAATGCTAGGATTAAAGTACATTGACAATAGCATGTACAATGAATATGAATTAAGTGTCCAGTAAAGGTTTTGAACAATGATTTGGTGCAATGATAATCACAGGATATGATCACATCATCTTTGGAGGGATATATGATTTTATTTTCCATTTAAATGTTTGATTTTTAAAAGTGACTAAATCTTAAAAAACTGAAATCATATTTTTGTATTCAGTTTTGCAAATAGTAAAAATATTTGGTGTGTTTCTTGTATGAATTGATGAAGCCCTTAGTTCCATCAAAATAGGAAAATTCAGAAAGATATATTTGTATAAGAATCAAATTATTATTATTGGTCAAATATATCTCATAAACTGTAAAAGCTTTATTTAAAGTATATGTAGTCGGAATTTTTCAAAAAATAGAAAAAAATATATGCATCTGAATTGAACCAAAATTTGTGTAAAGTAGAACTTTTATCTGTTTAGGTATTCTCTTGTCGTTCAATTGAAATAAAAGCTGTATATATAAAATACTACCCACCATGAATCAATGTATTCTTTTGGCCCTTACGGACTCAGAAATGGTACATTGTATTTAAACTGTTCAAATTCCATAGCAGGCAACTTATTTTTACACAAGTAAAACTGCTCAAATGTAAGAAAATCCTCTACATCAATATTTTTTACTCTTCATAGTTAATTTCTCATAAATGAATGAAGTTCAAAATTAGTCAGCATGTTATAAAAAGAAAATTTTTAAAGAATCAGTCAACAACAAAAAAATTATGTTCTACAAAAGTAGATGTTTGAAGACTGCAGCGACCAATTCAGAAATCCAACTTAACTTCTAGCAATCTCAGCATCCATGTAAATCGTGTATGAGTTATTCTGTAATACTCAAAGCAATGATATTCACATATTGAAACACTCTTTTCTGAATTTTTTCATTATTAAAGACATCCCTTCCATAATACATGTTATATGCAAAATTCATTTTAGCCACAGGCAATAAATGTTAAATTAAAGAACAATTCTTAACATGGCTTTTACAATTGTGTTACAACTGACACTGCATTCAGCATTAGTGATAAGTCACATAAAATCTATTACTTCATATTTTATTCAAAATATCTTTTTATAAAGAGACTTTGAAGACATTTGTTTTCAAAACATTGTAACATAATATTAATTACGGATTATTTTCACAGAATCTGTTATATCCGTTCCAACCAGTGAAAAGAGTATCGAGACAGGATTCAGCCACAAGGACCATGTTAAACATACAGGAATCAGACTCAAACTTCAGCAGTTTAAAGCTATTTTTTTCAAAAGGTTCCACAGACTTCGACGTAGCAAGAAAGGATTCTTCTTTGAGGTAACAATATATTTTGTTATTATACTATTAGTTTTTTTTTTTTATCTAATTGTAGAAGTATGTATTCCAAGAAAGTGTCTAATTAAAACTACCTTCAGAATGATTTTAAGAGTTGTATAATGTACACTTTTTTTGTATGTATATACAAATTAGTGCTTATAAGCATAAAATAGTTAGTCTATTTATTTACCATTATTTTTTTTAATTATTATATTGCATAGTATATGTTTCAATACTGTAATCTATTTTCAGATTATTATGCCAGCATTGTTCATATTGGCTTCTATGGCCCTTGCAAAGATAAGACCACCATCATTTGGAGAACCACCACTGGAACTTCAGCCATGGATGTATACACCTAAGAAAGGAGCACCAAACCTGTATACCTTCTTTAGGTTAGGCTTATATTATTATATCTCCACTCATGGTGTGGGTGGTTTACTGCAATGCCCTTGTCCATCTGTTTGTCCTCTTGTTTGATTGTCTGTCTGTCTGTTCATCCGTTTAAAATTTTCATTACATATTACTCAGTGTAAGAAGTAAGAAATGATTTGATATATTGCCTGAAATTTCATAATGTTGAGTAACACTGTGTAATGTGAATTTAGAACATGACGGGCTATTACTTTCTGTTTGCTGAAACTATGAATCTTATTATACACACTGAGCATGGAATTTTTCTTACATAATTCTTAGCTTCTGTATTTAAAAATTATTTGATATTTGATTAGGAACATAATGATTTTTAATTGTACTGTCTACAAAGCAATTTAAAGATCTACTGGGCAGTGACTTCCTGTTTGGCAATACCTATTGATTTTTTATGATACCCATTGAACATGTATTCTTCAATGTTGTATATAACTAGTGATAGTATACTTTGCACTTTGTATGCAACTCCTTGTTTTTACTCATTGGAAGTTATGTTATAAAGACAACTGATTTTAAAATCAGTATTATTTTATTTTGCAGCAATGATGGTAATGACTTTGGAATTGGTGCAGACCTCACGAAAACATTACTGACAAAACCATGGATGGGCAATAGATGTATGGACCCAAAGATAAAACAGATCAGGTAATATCAAACAGTAAACATTAATAACCAAAGGTGCATAACTGGTTTTTCTAGCATATTTCCAGTGCTGTTTTCAGAGCATAATTTTTGGATTCTAGTTCACTCAAGTGTTAGAAATATAACAGTTTTCATGATTCTTCAATGTTGTCAAAGTACATCATTATTTTGCGTTTCTAAAATGATGTGGTTTAAATGATAGAAATAAATATTTATCTATAAAGCAATCAATTTTAGTATTGGCCAAAAAATTACTATTTCAGGCCTCAAATACAGGTTTTCCAATAAGATCTCTCAAAGAAAAACATTTATTTTTCAATACTTTCAATTTTTCAAAGCTATCTTATAATTTCAAGTTCACTGCTAGTGCTTGATTTGTCCAACACTTTGTGCTACTGTCTAAGAGACATATTAAATACCTATGTATGTGTCAATACCATATTGCAATTATGTGGTGAAATCATAGTTTTTAAAGTTAATGAATCTTAGAATATAACTGATGATATACAATTTGCTTGTAAATTGTCTTCATGTTCCAGACCGCTTGCAAGGTGTTTAAAATGCACATAAACTCGACATTCTTAAAAAGATGACTAGTCTGATATGACCTTGGGAAAAACAAAGTTAAGTGTAGGATAGTTTACTATCTAATGATTACACTTGTCAAGCAGGCATCTACTGTAGACATACAATTAGGTATTAAGTATTTCTTGCAGTGATTATTCCTGTAAAGCAGATAGTTATGAATCTGTATGGACAAATGGTGGCAGGTTTACTGGTAATGATGCTATAGACTTTCCACAATGTGACTGTTCTAGTGGATTTCAAGTGTGTCCAGCAGGTAAATATTCTATGAGAATAATTGTATGGAATTTTACTAGTAAAATTGTTAGTATTCTAGGACTTTTTAAATTGTCAGTATTCTGGGACTTTTTAAATTGTCAGTATTCTAGGACTTTTTAAATTGTCAGTATTCTAGGACTTTTTAAATTGTCAGTATTCTAGGACTTTTTAATTCTGTCCATCTTTATAGTATTCTTTAGGTAGTAAAGGTTTGGGGAGAATTATATTCAACTGTCATACAAGTGAGAGGTTTAGCTAGTTATAAAACCAGGTTTAATCCACCATTTTCTACATAAGGAAATGCCTGTACCAAGTCAGGAATATAACAGTTGTTTTCCATTCGTTTGATGTGTTTGAGCTTTGGATTTTGCCATTTGATAAGGGACTTTCCGTTTTGAAAATTCCTTGGAGTTCTGTATTTTTGTTATTTTACTTTTTATCTATTTCAAAGATATTTTGTAAATCTGTGAACTAGTTTAGGGTTTTTTGTCATAATTGACCAAGAATAAAACATAAAATAGTCATGACATGGGTAAACTTCTCTCTTCAGCAAACTCCAAAAACAGAATTTGTAATGTCAAAATATTAAAAGTTTTTTTAATATTAAGTTGATTTATAATACTCCTGGCTTTAAGTATTAGCTGAAAGTTTTGATACCTTAGATAAATAGTAATTATTGGATAGAAGCAGCTGTTTTCATGAAGTTCTATTAAAAAAAGTACAAAAATTATTTACTGACAAAAGAGAGGTAGAAATAATTGAAGGAAAGAAAACATTTAAAAGTGAAAGAAAAAACCAAAAGAATTCATGTATTTTGTTAAACATTGACAGGGGCTGGAGGTCCTGAGCCACCAAAGAAACTGCTACCAACAACAGACTATCTTTATAACATGACTGGTCGTAACATCAGTGATTGGTTGGTGAAGACAATGAAGCCGTTCCAGAAAAAGAGGTAAGATCAGACATCTTTTGAGTGTGAACGTTGTGACTGGTTTGTTAAAACTAGAAAGCAATATTAGAAAAAGCCACTTTCATTAACCTGTGATTCATACTGATTCATTATGTTTAAAAAACATTACATTACAAATTATTTTTGTTTAGTAATACTTGATAAAGAAAATCGGGGGAAAAGTATTGTTTATTCTAATTGTGATAAATGGGTGTTATTGTACTCGGTATGTCTATCCATCCATCTTTTTGTTTGTTTGATGATCCTTCCATCCATTTGTATAATTTCAATATCTTTAATCCACATCTCCTCTGATTAGGTATGGTGGATTTTCTTTTGGAGATATCAACAATATCAGCTTATCACTGAACACCAGTAGAATACGAGAAATATTTGAAGATATTTTGTATAATTTGACTCAGACATCAACAAATACAACAGAATTTTGGAATGACCTTGAAGACATTTTAGAAGATGCTGTCACACAGGATACTGTCAAGGTAAGACATTTAATTTCTAGGTCTTGAAAACATGTTTAGTATGATGTCAGTGACCTTTAACTTAAAAATAAGCAGTTTTCTACTCAGTTATATGTTAAATTTAGCCATGAACTTAATGTATGTAGAGAGGATAGCAAGTTTATCAACACATGTATCTTTACCTTTGTCCAACATAATTTAATGCTAGAAAGGAATTGATTTCAGTAATCCTCCATCATTCATGTTTTGAATCACTCATTAAGTTATCAGGTCATGTATCATATGTAATCATAGGTTTCATAACGATTGAGAATTAGATATCGATTGATATCAAGTCCAGTTATTTAATTTCAATATAATAATAATCGAGCCTGTGTCGAGTTTATTATTACTATTTAAATAACAATGAAGTAACATGTTACATAACAATTTCTATATTTTCAATACAAGTGTTGTTTTTCTATTCAAATATCAGGTAGATACATTCAGTTTGTATAAAATTGTAGGTATGGTACAATAATAAAGGTTGGACAGCCATTGTTTCTTACATGAATGTGATGAATAATTTGATACTACGTAGCCGACTGAGCCCCAGTCAGAATCCAGAACAGTATGGTATAACCACAGTAAATTATCCAATGAATGCAACTGTCAAACAATTTACTGAAGAAACACTGTAAGCAGATATTAATGTTTTTTTAGATATACAGTCCATTTAACAAAATATTTTATGCTTAAAAATTAAACATGCATGTTCTAAGCAAACCATTTTAATGATTCATTTTTGTTGTTAAATACTTTTTAATGTATTTGCGATTTAAAATAATTTAAGATAAAGTTATAAGTAAAATTATGGTATCTATGGACAAAAGATGCAATTTGAATTGATTTTTATGGAAATTATAACTGAACATGGAAAAAAGTAGCAATCATTTGTATATTTTCACTGCTCTATTTACTTGTTTGTAGACGAGAAAGTTTTATAGATGTGACTATAGCAATCTGTATGATTTTTGCCATGTCATTTATACCTGCAAGTTTTGTCATGGTGTTGATAGAAGAGAGATCATCAAACTCAAAACATTTACAATTTGTTAGTGGTGTCAATCCATTTATTTACTGGCTGGCAAACTTTCTATGGGATATGGTAAGTTCAATCATTATGAATGGAATAAACGGTACAAGTGCGGATCATTTTGATATAAACATATATCATGAGTGCCAGTATCCATGTATCCAAGTTTAATTGAAGGTTGTAGCTTACAACTTTTTTTAGCTCACCTGGCCCGAAGGTGAGCTTTTCTCATCACTTGGCGTCAGTCGTCCATCATCTGTCGTTGTCGTCAGTCGTTGTTAACTTTTGCAAAAATCTTCTCCTCTGAAACTACTGGGCCAAATTTATCCAAACTTAATCACAATCATCATTGGGGTATTTAGTGTAAAAAATGTGTCTGATGACTCCGCCTGCCAACCAAGACGGCCGACATGGCTAAAAATAGAACATAAGGGGGTAAAATGCAAGTTTTGTCTATTATTTTGAAAACCGTTATAAATAGAGAAAATCTGACACGACAAAAATGTTAAGAATGTTGAGCTCTACCAATTGTTCATATATGTCAAAACTGTCAGACGACTTCTTATAGGAGTTATTGCCCTTAAATGACAAATTTTGCCATTTTTTTTCATTTTTGCCTCTTATCTTGAAAACTATATTAGATGGGGAGAATCTTTAAAATGCAAAAATGATCAGCAAAACAAGTTCTACAAATAAGTCTACAATGGTAGAAATCGTCAGTCGATTCCTTATTAGAGTTATTGCCCTTTGATGATGATTTTTACCATTTTTTTTGCGTTTTTGCCTTATATCTTAAAAATTATAATAAATAGATAGAAACTTAAATAAGCAAAAATGATCAGCATGACAAGATCTACAATTTAAACAAATATGGAGGAAATCATCCGACAACTCCTTACTGGAGTTATTGCCTTTTAATGATGATTGTTACCATTTTTTTTGCTTTTTGCCCTATATGATAAAAATTACAATAGATAAATAGACACTTTAAATCACAAAAATTATCAGCAAGGCAAGACCTACAAACAAGTCAAATTTTGCCGATATAGTTATTAGACTGTCACTCTTTATAGGAGTGATTGCCCTTAAATGAGGATATTTTTACCCTCTTTTGTGTTTTGAGCAAAAACTAAAGAAGATAGAGAGAAACTAAACAGACTAAATGATCAGCAATCCAAGATCAACAAAATAGAGATTTTTGTCATGAATTCTATTCTCATCTACTATGTTGGAGAGTGTCCTTTGTTGAATATGCACATAGACCAAGGTGAGCGACACAGGCTATCAGCTCATAGACATAATTTTGTCATGTGACTGTGACGTCATTAATGTTTTTTCATGATTTACTCCTTAAAAATGGAATTTAGAATTAAATTAAAAGGAATGACTGTAATATTTTTTCTGTCTATTCGGAATAACCTCACAAATGTGATGCACACTTTTAAATAACATGCTATGCAGGTTATTCAGTGTGCACCACATTTTTGATGTTATTTCTTCATAGACATTCCTTAAATACTTAGTGGTTCTTTTTATTTCAGTTAATAAATGTAGCTGTAATTTGAATGGATATAATCATGGCTGATTCATTCTGAAAAAAGCTCTGTAAACAGTATACAATAATAGACAATCTTAAGTGATTTTACTTCCACAATCTTGGGATGATGATAACTTATGTTATGATAATCTGTTACACAAATAATTAGATTGAAAGTGATCAGTTCTGCATTCAAGTTTGAATATTATTTTATACTTAAAGATGGAAGGATATTGATATTGGTGTTGTATAAGGATAAAAGTACATTACCATATATCAAAGATTGCCAACCTGTATCCAGTTTTTCTTACTTTTATCATTTTTTTTTTCAGGTGAATTATATGATACCATCGATTCTATGTATAATAATCTTCTTGTGTTTCCAAACAAAGTCATATGTTGGACCAGGAAATCTGGAGGTTCTCATTGTATTGCTGGTCTTGTATGGGTAAATATTACTGATTTAAAGATTTTAGATACTCTAGAATATTTCAGATTATCAGAGTGTCCCAACTTTTTTCAAAGTTTAAAAAAAAAAATGCATTACTGTAAAAAAAATGCATTACTGTAAAAAAAAAAATAACTATCCATTAGACATTATAAAATTATAAATTAACTCAAAGACATTACTGTTGACGTTTTAATGCCCTAACTAACAGACAGGTTGGTATACTGTAATCACATCGTCTACACGTCTGATCACAACATAGCTTTTGTCTTAAGAAATGATTTGATATTTGGTCTGGAACTTTATAATGTAATATTATCATTTATATTGGCTTTCAGATTTCAAACTTTTAGTATTGCAACACAGCAACCCAACCATTTGGGTATTTGACCCATTTTTCAATAGTTTTGTATATTTTCTTATCAATGATTTTGGACTTCAATTTTAAAATTTCCCTGCATTTGTTTCCTTTTGTTGCTGTATACTGTGGATTATTATTTGTCAGGTATTTAATGTCGTGGCTTTCCTTGATAAAAATAAACCTGGAGTATTATGGTTAACAAAATACAAGTTTGCTAAAGGCTTAAAGTTGAATTTGTTAAAATGATCAAATAAAGTATCCATGAAAATAAAAGTTTTCCTAAATCAAAATTTTTACAAACCAAAAATAAATGAATCCACAGTACTTGATATTTGTGTAAACCCCTTCATGGTCATTAGTTCTGTGTCATATCTCATTTTATTCAATTTTATATTTTGCTGTGTATTTCAGATTCGCCATGACCCCTTTGATGTACCCCTTCACAAGATTTTTCAGTGTCCCCAGTACAGCTATGGTTGTACTGACGTCTGTTAATATCTTCCTTGGAACTACATCTACACTGGCTACATTTATCATAGAATTCCTGGAAAGAGATGATGAGGTGAGTTAATCAATAGACTTAACATGACAAGCTGGGCAAAAACATTCATTACAACAAGAGATCTTACAAACAGTCAATGATAATTAAAGTTATGTTTGGACAAATGGATTGGAACTTACATGGCACAAATATTCATAAAAACTAAAATGTTTCAAGAAAGCAGATTATATATGAAGGCTAAATTTTTCATTCGATCTTAAAAGATGGCAAAAATTATTCATTAGAACTAGAAGTGTGCATGCATATTCATTAGAATTTGAAGTTGGCATAAGTATTACTTAGATATAAATGAATTGAATACAAATATTCAGTAGAACTTAAGATATTGTCAATATTTGTGTTGCCTGACAGTAATCACTCTTGTTGTCTTGTGTTGACATCATCTTCGTAATACTTTCTTAATTTGCAAAATCTTGAAAACCTAACTTGCACAGATTCTTCAATAGGAAAAAAAGTTGTGACCTATTATTGTAATTTTAATTATCTGAATGATTAAGGATTTCCCATACAAAACACTGACTTTGTCATTTCTACTTATATTATTTGGAGACAGCAGCTTGTTGTGGAAGTAATTGCATCCTTTTTCATTGAATAATTTCTGTAGAATTTCAAAATAAATGACAACAATAAAAGATGCTAAACTAATGAATTCATTGTATATTTGATTGTATGTTTCAGGAACTGAAAAACGTAAATGCTATATTGAAAAAGGCATTCCTATTGTTACCTCAGTACTGTCTAGGACGAGGTTTGACGGATATGTCCCGTAACCAGCTATGGGCAGATAATTCTGATATTATCAGTCCTGGCTCATGTAAGTTCATTTTATTGTATAAATCAGTATTTCATATTTCCATACATTTAAATGTTCAATGTAGACCATTTTCCATTGTTTAAGACACATTTTGTGCAATCTGGCCTAAATTTGAGTCTTTATAGAAAATGTTTACTCTATTTTGTTTTATAAATTAGTTTATAAGATGGATATTTCTTTTAATCATCTTTTTCGCTAACTAAAAGTCCTGGTAAGGACTTTTAAAAGAATATGAGCCAGTCGAATATTTTTTTTCAATCCTGTTTTTAATCTTTTGAGTGTTTAACTAAAGGCATTCAACCCATTCAAGTTAACCACTGGGGAATCAAGGGCAATTAATTTGGTCCCAACACTTGAAAATGATTGCCTAGTACTTTAGATATGGATTCCATGAAAATAAGTATTAAAGATTGTATACATGTAATCGTTGTATATTTTTGCCACGTATCCTTGAGTTAAAGCAGTTCTTTCTGTGTTATTTCTTCAAGTTAATACTTAAAACAAACATAAGATAACTGGAATTTTGAAAGATTTTAGATGCCAAACTAGTATCAGATCTATGTCCATGCACAAACTTGAACTTATGTATCAATATGGATTTGATGTTTATTGTTGAAAAACTTTAATTTTAATAATACTGGATATCAGTTGATCTTTTCAAAGTTGTTTCTGATGTTTAACCGGTTTGTATTGAAATGATAAAGCAAAAAAAGTGATTTAGTTTGTCAAAACACTACTTAAAATTTACAATAGGTTTGTTTGCAGATTTTTGCAAAACCACAAAATCAAATATCCACGAAGTTAAAATTTGTCCTCAATCCACGAAAATTGATATCCGCAAAAATAAATGAATCCACAGTAATCAGTTTAAGTAGTCTTTTGACAAACTAAATCACTTTTTTGCTATATTATTTCAATACAAATCGGTTTAACAACAGAAACAACTTTGAAAAGATAACTGATATCCAGTATTATAAAAATAAGAAGATGTGGTAAGATTGCCAATGAAGCAACTATCCATCAAGGACCAAATGACATAGAAGTTAGCAAAAATAATCACAATACAGCAAGGCTTCCAAAACGGTCATATATGCCGGACATTTGTATAATGTCCGGTAAAAGTCCGGCTGGGCAAAGCATGAAACGGTCATCTACTTTTTAGTTTTCAAGGCTTTGAGAGACGGTCATTTTAACATAATTCGCGATCTTTTTGACCCAACGTTTTGCCTTTAACAGCCACACATTTCCGGTCATAAAAGTGACATGATCATTAATTTCTATCAAAACTACCCCTACTTTAATACCTTCTCATTTTAATCAAGGCTAATTAATTGTCAAACAGCTGAAATTTACCTGTTCAGGTGACAGGTAAACTATTTTGAACCGGACATTGATCAGTCTATTCAAAGTTATTTTCTTACATTTAAAATTTTCAGCGGTTTGCATCTAATTAATTTAGTTAAAGATTTAAATTATCAGAAATACGTTTACAAATATGATTTGATGAAAAAATTAAAAAGGTGAAAATGAAAAATCGTCATAACCACGTTGTTTGAACCTAGAGACATGTCTCTGTTTGAACTAGTACACGTGTGCGCATGTGCACAGGTGTGAAATTTAATTATGCATCCTAATTTCTTCAAAAAATGCTTAAGTTGTCATTGATACCTTTATCTCACGTTTATTTCGAATATTTTCTTGAAGAAATAACGTAGAAAGAGCTACTTCCACTCATTCACGCTTTGCAAACGTACATAAATAATTTTGGAAGCCCTGCAATACAACCTTCAACGATGGGCAAAACCCATATTGCATAGCAAGCTATAAAAGGCCCTGAAATGACAAATGTAAAACAATTTAAATGAGAAAACTAATGGCATGATTTACCTGTAGGGTGAATAGGTAAATCTTAGCTGTCAGACAACCAATTTTCCTAGATCTTAATAGCTTCATACGGTTGTATAAATCAGACAATTATATTACTATGTTCCATAGCCAGCTTATTTCTGATAATTCAGATGATTATCATTGCATCAGGTATTTGTTAACCATATGTGATCAAGAAGGTACATAGTGGAAAAGATATCAAGGTTAAATATTCAGTTCAATTTCAGTAGGGTTTATTCTTGTACTGTTAAACCTCTTTGTGTCAAACTAGGTTGTATAGAAAACTCCTGTCAATATAAAATTAATGGAAAATGTCTCTAAGATCGAAAGTAGGAAATTTCTAAAAATGAAGACTTAAAAATAAAAATTCAAATCAGATGTTTTTCTTGTGAAATCTAATTATTTTCATAAGTGATTAAAATTGTGTAAACATACTTGTGATGTTACACTATTGTTTCAGAAAAAGGGTGAAGGTTTGGTACCATTAAAACGTTTAAACCCGCTGCATTTGTTTGCACCTGTCCTAAGTCAGGAATCTGATGTTCAGTAGTTGTCGTTTGTTGATGTGGTTCATAAGTGTTTCTCGTTTCTCGTTTTTTATATAGATTAGACCGTTGGTTTTCCCGTTTGAATGGTTTCACACTAGTAATTTTTTGGGGCCCTTTATAGCTTACTGTTCGGTGTGAGCCAAGGCTCCGTGTTGAAGACCGTACTGTGACCTATAATGGTTTACTTTTATAAATTTTGACTTGGATGGAGAGTTGTCTCATTGGCACTCGTACCACATCTTCTTATATCTAATTATTTCATATATACCTATTACAGTTAAAAGGACATGTTTTATGATGACCAGTAATTAACATCTTTGTTTATCGTCCAAGCTGATCTTTTGCATATTTCACCTGATATAAAAATGAAACAAATTGAAATGACCAAAGCCAAGATTAAATGAATCCTTAGAATTAGAATTCATTAATTGCAATAATTAAATGGATTAAGACAACTATGACAAATTGGCAATAATTGAATGGATTAAGACAACTATGACAAATTGGCAATAATTGAATGGATTAAGACAACTATGACAAATTGGCAATATTTGAATGGATTAAGACAACTATGACAAATTGGCAATAATTGAATGGATTAAGACAACTATGACAAATTGGCAATAATTGAATGGATTAAGACAACTATGACAACTTGGCAATAATTGAATGCAAAGCAGAAGATCCTCAACAGTGATCTTTCAGGATTTGTTTTGTTTCACAAATGATTCCATAATTTAAAGTGACTGACCTTTGTAAATATTTGTGTATCTGTTCTTGGGGGTTTAGTTATTATGATGGACCAAAAAATATTGAGCTTCAAAATATATATATAATCTAGTTTACTCAAATCTCATACTATATTTCATGCATTCCAAATTATGACAACACACTCAACCTCTGATGAGTCGAACCTCGAATAAGTCGAATACTTTCGTCCTGTCCTTTTGACTTTGACTTAATGAGGTTCGACTGTATATAACAACCACTTAATGATTTGTATTTGAACTGGGATATCACTCCATTATGAACAACACATGTTATTTTAACTTTTTAATTTTGTATTTTAGATGAAAAGGTATGGAAGTCACCATTTGAGTTTGACCAGGTTGGAAGGAATTTGTTATCCATGTTCTGTATTGGTCTTCTGTTCTTTATAATTAATCTACTCATAGAATACAACTTTTTCCTCAGCAGGAGGTAAGTTCATTTAGTACTGTAACTATCGTATTTAAAAAAGTATGGCAAATCTAGCGGGAATCATGTTGTTTGACACATATAAGAAGTGCTTAGGTGTCAGTTGAGACAAGATAAGAAATAGATCTATCTGATACTATTTATAACTGCAAGCACAGTATAGTGGATTATGTTACAAATGTAGTTCATTTTCCTCATACACTCTACACCAATAAAACTATTTACTGTTAACTAATTACTAGACTTAATTATAGTTCCCTTAAAAATTTAATTTCAGTTTGAAAAACATCTTAAATGCTGTAGATTGTTTCAAATTTCTTAAGGTTTTTGTTTGTCTAATTTCAGTTGGAACTGCTTCTGGAATTCCAAACCTAATTTTAAGTCCCTTGCTGATGAAGATATAGATGTTACTAATGAGAGAAAGAGAATAAATAACAAGCAGACAAAGGATGATGTTCTTATAATTGATAACCTTACCAAGGTAATTAATTAGAGGCTGTTCAGTTAAAACATATAATTGATAACCTCTTCAAGGTAATTAACTAGAGGCTGTTCCTCTAAAAAAACATGTAATTGATAACCTCTTCAAGGTAATTAACTAGAGGCTGTTCCTCTAAAAAAACATGTAATTGATACCGGTAACCTCTTCAAGTCAATTAACTGGAGGCTGTTCCGTTAAAATATATAATTGATAAACTCTTCAAGTTAATAAAGCAGAGGCTGTTCTGTTAAAACATATAAGGAAGGCACTTTTAAATTGGTGGCCTTGGTTTGTTTTTTGCTCTTTGGTCGGGTTATTGTCTTTTTGACACATTCCCTGTTTCCATTCTCAGTTTTATTTACTTTTAAATGCTACTATTGCTATTGCTGCTGCTTCAACTGTTTCATGGAGATCTTTTTGTGGGTCCAGCCAAACACTTAAAATTGGCATTCCCTGGTCCCCTCCCAAGCTAAAATAAAATGCTTCGCTGAGCTCAGCCCGATAAGACCGGAGAGGTCGAACCCTGAACAGTTGGGGGAAATTTGGACACAATATTCAAGCTTGATACTGTCTGAATTTGGATTTTTGACATAATATAGGTTTCTGACACAAAATAAATGTGGTCAAAGATCTAACAAATCTATTGCACAATACTCATCAATTGAAGATTTCTTCTTGAAACTTTTCAAAAATTCGAAATTTGAAAAATTTTGAATAAAAAATATGAATCCCTTAAAAAAATTGTAAACAAAAAATCCCCCCCTTCAAGTTATTGAAACCCCCCTTGGAGCAATAACCCCAAAACTCAATCCCAGCCTTTCCTTTGTAATATGGAACCTTGTAGTACAATTTCAGAGAGATCCATACGCTTAAACACAAGTTATTGTCTGGAAACTAGAAAAATGCTTCTTTTTGGCCCTTTTTTGGCCCCTAATTCCTACATGTTTTGGGCAATTAACCCGTAACTCAATCCCAGCCTTCCCTCTGTTATATGGAACCTTGTGGTACAATGTCAGAGAGATCCATACACTTACATACAAGTTATTGTCTGGAAACTAGAAAATGCTTCTTTTTGGCCCCTAATTCCTACATGTTTGGGGCAATTAACCCCACTCAATCCCAGCATTCCCTTTGTTATATGGAACCTTCTGGTACAATGTCAGAGAGATCCATACACTTACACACTAGTTATTGTCTGGAAACTAGAAAAATGCTTGTTTTTTTGCCCCTTTTTGGCCCTTTATTACTAAACTGTTGGCCCCATAACCCCTTAAATGAATCCTAACCTTCTACTTGTGGTACCGGGTATTTAACATTGTGGTACAATTTCAGAGCAATCGAAATACTTATACACAAGTTATTATCATGAAACTAGAAAAATGCTTGTTTTGGGCCCCTTATTCCTAAACGGTTGGGAGCATCATCCCCAAAATCAATCCCGACGCAGACGACGACATCATACCATTATACGATCCCAAAATTTTTTTTACGGTCGTATAAAAATTAAGGAGAAAGAACAAAACTTGTCAGTTATTGAATAATTTGTCTGGATAAGGTGACATAACTTCCTGTGGCCTATTACCTTTTGTGCCAGCTCAGGATGTTAGACTAGTTCAAAGCAATCTGAATTCTAGGTTATAAAATTTAAAGTGTTGGCCCAGCTGCATTTTCTTTTTTTTTTTTAATTGAGGAAATAATCAAAACAATTTTCAAATAATGAAGTAAATTCATGATAGATAAACCCCAAAATAAATAGTATAAATAAAAATTATACTAAGATTCAAATAGATGTCCATTTTGGTTAATGAATACAGCTAAGAAATTATTTACTTATGAGAAAATTATAACAGCATTTAATTCACAACAGGTGTATAGACTTCATGGAAAGAAAGGCAGGAATATAGCAGTAGACAGATCATGTTTTGGTGTACCTAATGGACAATGCTTTGGTTTACTAGGAGTAAATGGGGCTGGAAAAACTACAACATTTAAAATGTTAACAGGTGATGTGGATGTTACACAAGGAAATGCTACACTTAATGGACACAGGTAAATAGAATTGACCATGTGATAAAAACATTATAGTTTGATAGTAATTTGCCCAGGAAAATGTAGTGTGGTTTAGCTATCTTCAACACATTTTACTTTACTGGTTTATGGACAGATAATCGAATTATGCTTTGCATATTTTGCCCAACTATATGTAATGAAAACTTGACAAATTTAAGATGTTGTGTTATTTTTCCTAGTCTACATTTTCCAGTGTTTACTCTTTTTATCACATTTTTTAGTATTTAGATAATCTTTAATAAGTGATGAATATGGTTGGTGATGCACAAAAGTAAAATTTTCAGATTTTTAGAAAACACATAATTTTTTAATAAATACTGATAAATAAAGCTCTGCAAAGAAATATGGGTTACAACAAAGAAGAAATGGAGGAGTGACACTTAATACCCATACAGAAATACATAGTGCAATTGTCAAAAGCAAAGATTTTAAGATACAGTGTTAAGTTTCCAAAAGTTTCTTTTGTATAAATCATTTCGAGTTTGTAAGGTGCACTCAAAGGAAACAGCAAGAACAATTTTTAGGTGCTGGTCCACAGTTTGATGTCTTTAATCTTTATTTACAGTATTCTAAAAGACTTGGAGAAAGTTCGGTTGGACTTAGGTTATTGTCCACAGTTTGATGCCTTTGACCCGTTACTGACAGGAAGAGAAATTCTATGTTTCTTTGCTAGACTGAGGGGAATTCAAGAAAAGGACATTAAACAGGTTAGTTTTAGGACTGTTTCATAATAAAATATAAATATTTGTTCCTGCCAAAGTTTATACTTATTAGAAAAAAAAGCAATTTTTATAATTTATAAGGACAGTTTATCTTGTACATGGGGTACTATTTAATCATATCCTAATTCTTTATTTGCACACCAGAGTTAAAGAAAAAATATCTTTTATGATAGACATGTTGAACTGTTATGCAACTATGTTTGAGACAATACATCATTTTTTTAAGCATATTGCACGAAATTTAGATGTGTATTAAATGCCTAGAATGTAATTGTGAAATATAGTAAAGATTATTAAATATCTGCATTTTTTATATCTTTTGTACCAAGAAAATGAAAGTATCTAATATCATGTGATAAAAATATTTATCACAATAGTGGAACTTATAAAAAGTAAGACCTATATTTTGTCATATAGATAACAGAATGGGGAATCCGTAAACTTGGCCTGATACAGTATGGAGATAAAAGATCTGGTGATTATTCAGGTGGAAATAAAAGAAAACTGTCTACAGCTATTTCACTGATTGGTAATCCCTCTGTTATATTTATGGTAAGTGTTTTACAAAGTCATGCATAACTATGGTTTTAATTATGCTGTTTAATGATAATAAAGCTTTGAATTTATAAAATTGCTCTCCATTTTACTGAAACCCAAAATTTTTCAGAGACCATTTTTCACAAAAGATTTTTTTTTACACTATTTGAATGATACATGAAGAATCAGTTGTAATAAGTCTTAGTATAATTTTTTTATTTTTATTTATACAACACTGTGTGAATTACAATCGTGTCATTACACACAGTACATTTTAATTTCAGGATGAACCTACAACAGGGATGGACCCTCATGCCAGGAGATTCCTTTGGAACTGTATTAATAATATTGTAAAGGATGGAAGATCAGTAGTTTTAACTTCACACAGGTAGGACTTTGAAATTAAATAATCAATACTGATATTTTATGAAGAAGCGAGACCAGGTTTTGTGTGTCGGTTTTGTGATCCAGAGAGTGAATTTCTATGGTCTCAAGAATTCTGATATCTAATTGTATTTTATTTTTAAAAAAAACAAATGAATTATAACTCATCTAAGATAAAGAAAAACTGCATTGGCCCTACCAGTTTCTTCACTTTTAATACTGAATGTAGATTTGCTAGGAAATTTGAATAGTATGTTTATTTGTACTAACTAATTATGTAAATGTATTTATAATATTTTCAGCATGGAAGAGTGTGAGGCTTTATGTAACAGATTAGCAATCATGGTCAATGGTAGATTGAAGTGTATTGGAAGTACACAACATCTCAAAAACAGGTAAATATGCAATTATGTTAGAATGAGTAGGATAATAAAATATTTAGGGAACTTGACATATCACAATATTTCAAATTTTTTACTCAAAATCATTTGAAAAACGGAACTTAAGATTCTATCCATTAAAAAATTCTTTTCAATTAAAAAAAAAAAAGAGACCACATGACTGAAATTACTTCATATTTATTCTTTTATATCAGTATGTTTGATTGTCCGTGTGTCTGTCCATCCTTCTGTCAGTCACAAAAGTTTGTCAATTTAAAATCATCTTCGGTTTACATGAAAATGACAGCTAGTTGTGCTCCATCATATTTTCTTTCATCAAGTTAATTTCTGAGGTTTCTGGTAGCCAAACATGAACCTATTTATGTCCATATATTGGCAGTTTGTCAACACCAAAGTTTATATAGGAATGGAACACAACTTAACATATTACTTTCCACTGTATGTAGTTGTGCATTGTATGCTAATTTTTTTATACGACCGCAAAAATTGAAAATTTTTTGGGCGTATATTGGTATGACGTTGGCGTCGTCGTCGTCGTCGTCGTCTGGCGTCGTCCGGCGTCGTCCGAAGACACATTGGTTTTCGCACTCTAACTTTAGTTTAAGTGAATGGATCTCCATGAAATTTTACCATAAGGTTCAATACCACGAAAGGAAGGTGGGGATTGATTTTGGGGGTTATGGTACCAACAGTTAAGGAATTAGGGGCCAAAAAGGGGCCAAAAATAAGCATTTTTGTAACTTCCAGACAATAACTTGTGTGTAAGTGTATGGATCTCTCTGACATTGTACCACAAGGTTCCATATCACAAAGGGAAGGCTGTAATTGATTTTGGGGGTAATTGCCTCAAAATTTTAGGAATTAGGGGCCAAAAAAGGGGCAAAAAACAAGCATTTTTCTAGTTTCATGACAATAACTTGTGTGTAAGTGTTTGGATATTTCTGAAATTGTACTACAAGGTTCCATATCACAAAGGGAAAGCTGGAATTGAGTTTGGGGGTAATTGCCCGAAACGTTTAGGAATTGGGGGCCAAAAAGGGGCCAAAAATAAGCATTTTTCTAGTTTCCAGACAATAACTTGTGTTCAAGTGTATGGATCTCTCTGAAATTGTACTGCAAGGTACCATACCACAAAGGGAAGGCTGGGATTGAGTTTGGGGGTGATGAATCATAAGGGGGTTCAAAAAATTGGGGGGGGGATTTTTTCTTTTCTTTTTTTTTCTTTTTTTTTCCTTTTTTTTTTATTTTAAAATTTTCCATTTTAAGTTGGTTATTTCTGATTTATATTTAAAAGCAAATAATAATGATATGGTAGGAGATACACACCAAACAGGATGTGTAAATTATTATATAATAAGTATTGTGCAATAGCAAGAAATTTTCAATTGCACAGTATTGCACAATTGCAAGAAATCTTCAATTGCACAGTATTGCGCAATAGCAAGAAATCTTCAATTGCACAGTATTGCGCAATAGCAAGAAATATCCAATAGCACAATATTGCGCAATAGCAAGAAATTGTCAATTGTACAGTATTGCACAATAGCAAGAAATATTCAATTGCACAGTATTGTGCAAAAGAAGATACTTCGTATAAATTGCTTATTTCTTGATCAATTTCAATGGGGTTTTAATCTTGAATTCTTGGGGTTCTTTAATATGCTGAATCTAACCGTGTATTAAGTTTTTGGATTTTGGGCCCCGTTTTTAAATTGGTCCACATTGAGGTCCAAAGGGTCCAAAATTTAACTTTGTTTGATTTCATCAAAAATTGAATTATTGGGGTTCTTTGATATGCCGAATCTAACCGTGTATTTAGATTCTTAATTTTTGGTTCCGTTTTCAAATTGGTCTACATTAAGGTCAAAAGGGTCCAAAATTAAACTTAGTTTGATTTTAACAAAAATTGAATTTTTAGGGTTCTTTGATATGCTGAATCTAAACATGTATTTAGATTTTTGATTATGGGCCCAGTTTTCAAGTTGGTCCAAATCGGGGTCCAAAATTAAACTTTGTTTGATTTCAAAAAAAATTGAATATATGGGGTTCTTTGATATGCTGAATCTAACCATGTATTTAGATTTTTGATTTTTGGGCCCCGTTATCAACTTTGTCCACATTGAGGTCAAAAGGGTCCAAAATTAAACTTTGTTTGATTTCATCAAAAATTGAATTCTTGGGGTTCTTTGATATGCTGAATCTAACCATGTATTTAGATTTTTTATTTGTGGACCCGCTATCAAATTGGTTCATATTGAGGTCAAAAGGGTCCAAAATTAAACTTTGTTTGATTTCATCAAAAATTGAATTATTGGGGTTCTTTGATATGCCAAATCTAACCGTGTATTTAGATTTTTAATTTTGGGTCCCGTTTTTTAAATTGGTCTACATTAAGGTCCAAAGGGTCCAAAATTAAACTTAGTTTGATTTTAACAAAAATTGAATTTTTGGGGTTCTTTGATATGCTGAATCTAAACATGTATTTAGATTTTTGATTATGGGACCAGTTTTCAAGTTGGTCCAAGTTGGGGTCCAAAATTAAACTTTGTTTGATTTCAACAAAAATTGAATATATGGGGTTCTTTGATATGCTGAATCTAAACATGTATTTAGATTTTAGATTTTTGGCCCAGTTTTCAAGTTGGTCCAAATTGGGGTCCAAAATTAAACTTTGTTTGATTTCAACAAAAATTGAATATATGGGGTTCTTTGATATGCTGAATCTTACCATGTATTTAGATTTTTTATTTTGTGGGCCTGCTATCAAATTGGTTCATATTGAGGTCAAAAGGGTCCAAAATTAAACTTTGTTTGATTTCATCAAAAATTGAATTATTGGGGTTCTTTGATATGCCAAATCTAACCGTGTTTTTAGATTTTTAATTTTGGGTCCCGTTTTTTAAATTGGTCTACATTAAGGTCCAAAGGGTCCAAAATTAAACTTAGTTTGATTTTAACAAAAATTGAATTCTTGGGGTACTTTGATATGCTGAATCTAAACATGTGTTTAGATTTTTGATTATGGGACCAGTTTTCAAGTTTGTCCAAGTTGGGGTCCAAAATTAAACTTTGTTTGATTTCAACAAAAATTGAATATATGGGGTTCTTTGATATGCTGAATCTAACCATGTATTTTGATTTTGGACATTGGACCATAATAGGTAAATTAAAAAAATTGAAGTTCTTAGACCACATTCTTTCTGTGTCAGAAACCTATGCTGTGTCAAATATTTAATCACAATCCAAATTCAGAGCTGTATCAAGCTTGAATGTTGTGTCCATACTTGCCCCAACTGTTCAGGGTTCGACCTCTGCGGTCGTATCAAGCTGCGCCCAGCGAAGCATTTTATTGGTTATTATCATATGGATTATTACATTTTCCCATATTAAAACATGAACATCATATTTGGAAGTTTGTTGATGCGAAATCTTTTACATTTAACATCATAATGGAGCTAAATTTAAAATAAAGTTACTTTGCATTAGGTGTAGTTTGCAAATTCCTTTTTTATGTTTTGATCCAAATTTATTATTGGGGTTCTCCATAGCAAACCATGGACTTCTCATAATGTAATAAAAGGGGAAATTATTCAACTAAAAATTTCCTAGTTTACAATGAAATAATTAAAAAAAAGCAAAACTTGACAGAATATTTTTGTATTGTGTTCCAGTTTTAATCATTTTATGGATTAATGTTCTCTTCTAACTTAGAATATAGAAAATGTGTGTTTATTTGGTAGTAAAAAACTTCATATTTTTAGTAATGTTTTAGGTAATTGAGTTGATGTTTTAAGAGTCTGTTAGGTTTATATTGGAAAGACCGAGATATTAACAGAAAAAACCTTAATAATGATTAATAAGGAATAATATATTCTATATAATTTCCATCATAGATTTGGTAATGGCTATACTGTGATAATTCGTGTTGCTGGTGAAATACCAGTACTGGAACCAGTTAAAGACTTTATGGCTAATGTGTTTGGTGATCCAGAATTGAAAGAGGAGCACAATAATATGTTACAATATCAACTGAATTCCAAAATAAAGTTGTCTCGTATATTTGGTCAGATGGAGGCTGTGAGGGATAATCTCAAAATAGAGGACTATTCTGTTTCTCAGACCACCTTGGATCAGGTTAGTTAGTTAGTTAGTGAGACATAGATATATTAAATTCAACTATTCTACCATAGTTTCTACATTTTTTGTTGGAAAATCATACTTTAATACAATAAAAGGCCCAGTACATTCACATTCTATGAGAATGAAGCCATAGAGAGCGTATCAGAATATTCATTTTTGGGAATGTGATAAAATGTAATGGAAATTTATCACAAAGTACCTTAGAGTTGACAAAAAAGGCAAAAAAAGTATTTTTGGCAATAAAATCCTATACTAAATCATTGAATAATCTACCGATAAAAGTAGCAAATAACCCTTTTTGATTCTTTAGTAAAACCAATTATGACCTATAATTCAGAAGTAACATATTTGGATACATATATTTCTTTTCATAGAGCCAAAAACAGAGCCTTATCTTCAGGAAAACAAATTAATCAACTTGATTTTACAGACAAAACCCCTATTGAAAATATGCATCTTAAATTTTGTAAATCTACTCTAGGAATAAGAAAAAATGCATCCAATTTAGGAGCAAGAGTTGAATTAGGAAGATTGCCTATAGAATGTTTTATTAAAACACAAACCCTTTTATATTTAGCTAGACTATATAATAATAAATTAATCCATTGATAAAGGAAGCTTTTTCTCTAGCACAGTCTCTAGATTTGACTGGAACTTATTCATGGTATACATATGCAAAAAATATTGTTGAAGAGACTAATATTGACCTTAATATTTTTTCTAATTGTAAGGACATAAAAGATGTAAATAAAATAAAAAACGATATAAAGTTAAAAATGAAAAATAGATATGAAGATTTAATTGAAACTAAATTTGAAAACATTGATGATAAAAGTAAATTTTATCTATATAAAAAACTTAAAAAGGATTGCAAACTAGAATCTTATCTAAATATATCTAATTTTCAGATAAGGAGATTGATCACTAAATTTAGACTAAGTGATCACTCCCTCTTAATTGAAAAGGGGAGATATTTTAAAATCCCAAGAGAGGAAAGACTTTGTCATAAATGTAAAATACTAGAGGATGAGAAACATTTTTTACTCTATTGTGATTATAATAAAACACTAAGAAATGCCTTTTTTGAACACATATGTACTGAAAATAATAACTTTAATAATTTAAATGAAGAAGAAAAAAATCATTATTTACTAAATCCATCAACGCCTTTACAAACAAATAAGTTAGGATCCTTCTTGAAAAAGTCATTAGAACTGAGGGCAGGGGACTCTTAACAGCTTGTTTATTTTTATAAATTCTGATGCTGTTTTTATTGTGTTTGTTTGATATGTATGTATATATGTTTATTATATGTTTATTGTGTTAATACATGTTGGTCACAAACTAAAGTTTATACGACAATAAAATATTTGATTCAAAAGAATTGGGTATGTTCCTCTTGCCATTGAGCAGGAGTTATTATGGACATCTCTGAATGTTTACTTTGTATGTTAGGTTTGTTTAGTTTTTTTGGGGCTCATTTATGCTTGCTTAATGTATAAAGTTTAGTATATAACTGTAGAATGGAATGACTATTCAATATATAAAAGGATCAGTCTTGATAACAAAGTTCCATGTTACATACTACCATAGGTTATTTTTGTAAATGGTATTATTACATTGGTTGCAATGAAATACATGTACCGTGATTTCCCAGTTAAATGGGGAAAAAAACGATAATTTTACATGTGAAATAAATTCAATAATTTCACTCCTCTGACGTCATACAAATTTGGTGTTTTCATAATTCATAATTCAAAGTGAATTGTGAATGCGTAGAAAAAAAGACATTCATGAATTAATGTGTTGTTAGGTCACTGGTTGAATATTTTTCTATATTTGATTTCTTCAATTAGTTATTCTATAAATCATGCTATGCTATTGTACTCAGAATTATAAAGAGTTATTTATTATTAGTGATTTAAATTATAATTTCAGGTATTCATTCATTTTGCCTCCAAGCAGACAGACATGTTAGATGATGAACTGTCAAAGGAAAAACTGCCATCTCATAGAGGTAAGTAGCAGAAAAAAAGTACTTGATCATTTTATTTGATACAGTTGAACATCACTTTCTATGCATTTGTACTAGATTTCCTTTTTATGGAGGACAGTGGAACTTTGTAAAGCAACAATCTTTGGTGAATAACTGACAGATTATATCTAGATTAAATGTAACATACGAGTGGCCAGAGGGAGACTCCAAAACCCTACTGTAGTGGTTAAAGGCCCTATGCATAGGTAGATTAACCAAGGGCATTTAGTCACTGAGTAGTAGTCTTTCACAAAAAATATTTAAGGAATGTTACATGTATAATTTATTAGGAAATATTATACACAAATATTTTACAAAGAATCTTTTGAAATTGTTTTTATTTCTTAAGTATACACCCGCTCTGAAAGGATGGAGGCATAACATTTTTGTCAGCATTTTCTCAGAAACTAAAAAACATAGCTTCCTGAAATTAGTATCAAGTTTCATAGAAGCATGCTTTACTCTGTGATGCATTTTTCAGATTCATCAATCATCCTCTTACTGTTTACCAAATATTTGTATATTCTTACACATTATGGCCATGTATAAAATTTCAGTCACATTTTCTCAGGTTCTACATACCAGAGCTTCCTCAAATTTGGTATAAAGCTTCATGTGGACATATCCATCGCTCATCAACTTTCTGTTAGCAGAACACTTTTTTGTTCATCCATCATGCACATTACACCAGTTTTTGTCAGTTTTGAACAATAAAATTCATATATGATGTGCATTTTTTATTTGATAATTTTCATAATTCAACACCTTTTCAATATAAATATATTTTTTTATTGATTGCCCAAGATTGTTGTAAAATTATTTGTTTATTGGTTTTTTAATTCATTATTTCACACCTAAGACAAAACAAATGAATAGAGATATGCAGTTTGATGTGTTTTGAAATTAGATGATTCACACAATCTGCTAAAATTTGTACCCACAAATAAAAGAACCTTAACAGTATATATAGTAATTTAGTTATGATTTTAACATTTAATAGATTTATATTATAATAGATTGTGATTTTATTTCCTCTGTGTTTTTAGGTAAACAATTAAGTTTTAGGAACAGTATTGTACCAGACGATTCTGACATGGAGAGTGTTACAGGGAGTACTGCAGATCTAATGACACATGAAAGGAGACTGCATATCTGTAAGTTGCTGTACAAAACCATCTTGGGGAAAGGGGGGTATAAAGTGAGTTAGGGAACAGATTATTCTGATATAGAGAGTGAAAGGGAGTACTGTAGATTTAATGACAAGAAAGTGGACAATATACCTGTAATTCTATAGAAAATACTATGAAATCATGGATATATGTTCACATATAATGAGAGGAAGATCCCTATTGATTTTAAGGTTGCTATGTCAAAGGTCAAGGTCGTAATTACTAAAAATAGATAAAAATTTGTGCTGAAAAATGATTCAGGATAGTTAATCAAATACTACATTGGAATTGTAACCTCTCTTGAATATATGGTCACATATATTAAGAGGAAGATCCCTATTGATTTTGAGGTCACTTGGTTTTAGTTCAAGGTCAAAGTTACAATAAACAGATGTGTTAGACAATATTACTTTTTTTTTTGAAATTGTCTTGTGCTTTTGTTGTTTTACTTTTAACTGTGGTGCTTTTACCCATTTTGTAAGTTTTTTGTTTTGGCTGGACTCATATTACTGACTCTGTTGTACAGTTGTCCAGATAAAAGTCCTAGCATTCCTACTTTGATACAGCAAAGAGGTCTGATGGGTTATGTTCCCACTCCAGTATTACTGTGACTTGACTTATGTATGCTTTATTTTATCACCTTGCACTTTCAAGACTTGACTGGGGTTTTCTACAGCAGTTTGTTAAAATTTCTGACCAGTTGAACAGTTTGGTTTGATAAAACAAATTGCAATTTGGTCAGAACTTTTATTAAACTACAATAGGTGGAGAGCAACACTTACAGTCAAGTCACAGTAGCTATGTCTTTTTTGACACTATGATACAGTTTTGGTCTCAGGTGGAGAGTTGTCTCATTGGCAATCATACCACATCTTCCTATTTTTATATTGATTCAATGATACCGTTTTGATTCAATGATTCTGGTTTGACACAATGTTATAATCAGAATATTCTGCATCCTGGTTAAAAAATAAAATGAATATCTCAGTTTTTGTCGAGCCTGCGACTTTTGTCGCAGAAAGCTCGACATAGGGATAGCGATCCGGCGGCGGCGGCGGCGGCGGCGGCGTTAGCTAACTTCTTAAAAGCTTTATATTTTAGAAGATGGAAGACCTGGATGCTTCATACTTTGTATATGGATGCCTCATGTTACGAAGTTTCCGTCAGTCACATGTCCAATGTCCTTGACCTCATTTTCATGGTTCAGTGACTACTTGAAAAAAAAGTTCAGATTTTTTGTAATGTTAAATTCTCTCTTATTATAAGTAATAGGATAACTATATTTGGTATGTGCGTACCTTGCAAGGTCCTCATGCCCGTCAGACAGTTTTCACTTGACCTCGACCTCATTTCATGGATCAGTGAACAAGGTTAAGTTTTCGTGGTCAAGTCCATATCTCAGATACTATAAGCAATAGGTCTAGTATATTCGGTGTATGGAAGGACTGTAAGGTGTACATGTCCAACTGGCAGGTGTCATCTGACCTTGACCTCATTTTCATGGTTCAGTGGTTATAGTTAAGTTTTTGTGTTTTGGTCTGTTTTTCTTATACTGTATGCAATAGGTCTACTATATTTGGTGTATGGAATGATTGTAAGGTGTACATGTCTAGCTGGCAGGTGTCATCTGACCTTGACCTCATTTTCATGGTTCAGTGGTCAAAGTTAAGTTTTTGAGTTTTGGTCTTTTTTTCTAATACTGCATGCAATAGGTCAGCTATATTTGGTGTATGGAATGATTGTAAGGTGTACATGTCTAGCTGGCAGGTGTCATCTTACCTTGACCTCATTTTCATGGTTCAGTGGTCAAAGTTAAGTTTTTGAGTTTTGGTCTTTTTTTCTAATACTATATGCAATAGTTCAACTATATTTGGTGTATGGAAATATTTTATGGTCTATATGTCAGTCACGCAGGTTTTATTTGACCTTGACCTCATTTTCAAGGTTCATTGCTCAGTGTTAAGTTTTTGTGTTTTCGTCTGTTTTTCTTAAACTATAAGCAATAGGTCAACTATATTTGTTGTATGGAAGAATTGTTAGCTGTACATGCCTGCCTAGCATGGTTTATCTGACCTTGACCTCATTTTCATGGTTCATTGGTCAATGTTTAGTTTACTTGGTTAATGTTAAGTTTATGTGACAGTTGTAATAAAGCTTTATATTTAGGACTATCAACATAATATCAATGATTAGTAAAGAAGGCGAGACATTTCAGCGTGTGCACTCTTGTTACATTTACAAATGAATTAAAAATTTCAGGGGGAATAATCAACTCAACAAAGGTATTGTCCTCGATATTTATTGCAACCTTTTTCATTTTTAGTAATTTTGTTAATGCAATATACCCAATATGGTTGTAAATTGAACAAAGGGCCATTATGTTTTCTGGTCAGTCTGTCTGTCTGTTATTTCATCCATTCATTTTTCCTGTATCAGGTTACAGTGTTGGGTTAAGGATGTCTATTGTGATGTTGTTGTCACATCAACTTGAAACTTATAAAGTGAAATTTTTCAAATTATATGCCAGAACCTAATTTCATAGTTCACTGAACATTCAAATGTGATAGTGTAAAACCAGTACAGTCTCTGGTTAAGTTTTTTTTGTCAAGTTAGCTTTTCATGTTCATTATAATGAGCCTTTTTTTTAAAGATTATCTGTCAAACTATTTTTGACGTAGATATCATGGAAACATATTCTTGTTCTTGGTTAAATTCAGTGAGAAGAAGTATATCTAAGAGAGGTGCTTTCTCCTTTTTTATGCAGATTTTTTCCTATCTATTTTCTTTCATTTTCCATTTTCTGTAGTGAAATTTCTTTCAGTCTCAAAGGCAATAATATGTGCCTGCTCATCAATATCATATTTACAACTTCAAAAACCTATAAAATTTTGTATTTTATATTAATTCTAATAATTTTTTTTAATATCAAATTGTGATAGTTTGTTTTTGTGTTTTCAGATGGGTCATTCAGAGGGGAGACAACTGATGATGAAAGTTTAGCAGGAAGCACAGTAGGACTGGTTAGACCTAGCAGTTCACGTAGCAGTACACGAAGTACCATTAGTGATCAAAACTTTCCAAATGTTCAGATATTCTGAGAAGTTTCAACTTTGTTTAAAGACTCAAAAGATTCATCCAAATGTTGTGATACTCCAATGAATTCCTGAAACTTGATATTGCCTGTGATATGATGACACAGATTTATTTTGTAACTTTATTATCTCGTTATTTACCTAAGATCTGTTAGATATGTTTTTTTGTTACATTGTAATGATATTGCACTTTAATTGATTGCTTATATGGCACCATGTAAATTTGAATAAACTTGTTATTTTACGGAATTTAATCAAACAATCAATGTAATTTTCTTTCAATAGCTTCAGCTACCTCAAGGTTTTTCTGTATACTTTAGACCACTTATGTTTCACTATGTTATAGATATTGCTTAATATTCCTTAACCTTCTATTTTTACTACAAGAGAAGTTGTGTTATTTTTAACTACATATCTGCTGGCAGATGATTTATGAATGGAGATGTAAATATTCTTGTTTTAGTTATTTATTACCAGTATTTTGACTTTTATTTTTTATTTTATTAGGTTAACTTTTGAACAATAACATATATAATGCTCATAAGAATCAAAGAGTTGCTCATTATAAATAAATAATTTACTGTATCATGCTATTTGATCTAACTGTCTTGGCTGGCAAAGGATTGCATAATGTGATACAGAAACAATTTGTCCATTGAAGATGAAAGTTTTTTTCATTTAAATATGTTTTATCCAAAATTCATAGACAATTGTGTATTTAATTTCTTTTAAGATGGGATTATTAATCAAAATTTAAAATTTTCAATGTGAACACATTATTTTCAAGAACAAATGCAGGTTTTCTTATACAATGCTGTGGGACAAATTCTTAAATAACTGGCTCTATTGTGATGTTATTTATAAGTCAGTATGGCTAGTCTGTATTCTTACACTTTGTAAGGTTTAGACATGAAAATCATGTATTTTGACAACAGACAAAAAAGGCTTATTCAAATTTATACATTACAAAGCCTGTCTTGAGATTTGTTGTAAGGTTTTTTATAAATGGATCAAAGCAAATCATGTCCACAATCTTATGTTTACGTTTGCTTAACATTCTTTCAAAATGGACAGCACTTTGTTTTCTGGATGCGAAATCAAATACTGTAAATTCAGAAATTATTGGGAGCATTTATTATTGCCATTTTGACATGAACAACTAAAAATTGAGAATAATTATTGCCATTTTAGGAAAAACTGCATACAGATATATGTATCATATATCAGAATGCAAGTTCTAGTTATTGCGATTTTCACCCAGTCACGTTATACACATTAATTAAAACCTCACAATAATTTCTGTACTACATATGAGATTGCAACCTTACTTGGTCACATATAATGACAGGAAGATCCATATTGATTTTGAGGTCTCTATGTGTAAGGTCAATGTGAATATTTCTTAGAAAAGGCAAAATTTTGGGCAGTCAGGTGGTTTCAGGATGTTAATTCAAATACTACATTTAAGAATTTACTTTAAATATGTGGTCACATATAATAAGAGGAAGATCCCTATTGATTTTGAAGTCACTTGCTCTAGGGTCAAGGTCATACTTCATACCATTTCCTTAGGAAAATGCCTGTACCAAGTCAGGAATATGACAGTCGTTTTTCACTCTTTCCGTTGGTTGATAATGTTTCATTTTGTCAGTTTTTATGGACTTCCCCTTTTTTTAATTTACCTTGGAGTTCGGTATTTTTGTTATACTTTTTTTCCTAAACCAGATTGTCTAAGGCAATAAAGCCATCTCATAAAATCATTACAGAAATGGTTATTACCTTAAGTAACCAGAAACAAGTATGCAATCAGGTGACTAAAGGATATTCCATTTTATATTGGAGGCATGGAGTATGTGAGCTGTTCATCCAAGGTTCTTTGATTTATAAATATGTCTCCAAAGAGAGAAATTTAAATTATGTAGATAATTGTAAGGCTGAACACTATGTTCAGGTGCTGATTGACAGAAAATAAAGACATATATTATGGTTCAGGTGCTGATTGACAGAAAATAAAGACATATATTATGATATTCAGAATTCAACAAGTTATCCTTTTTATTAGTGATTGCAATTTAATAATGATAATGAGTGCCATGGTTGATTTAAATTTTTGTTTGTGTGCAAATAAGAAACCATACATTTTTGCAAGACTTTTTGTCCAAATGTTATGCTTTTTTTTCAATCTACTAATACAAACCAAAGTAAATATTTCATTATAAACACTGAAACACTTTCAAGCTTTATCATTGTTTGGTTACCTAATGTAAGAATTACACAGTGTGTGTGGCATATCAAATCTTTCATATATCTTGAAATTGTTGAGTTTGTGATATCCTCATAGCATAATAATCATATAGGATTTTGGCATAAATATGAAAATATTTCTTGCCCTTTTGAAGTGCTGTTGTTTTTGTTGGAAGAAAATATGATTCAGATTATATTATAAGCATTAAAATTCTTAGACTTTACCTTTTTTTACACTCACCACATTTTATCATTTCCATTATGTAATAAACTTGTAGAAGTATAAACAATTATCAAAACAAATCATATATGTCGCAGAACTAATGTTACAAACATTTTTTGAGAAATAAAAACAAAACATCAACAATATTTTATACAAACCAGATTTTGAATTTAAAGAAAAGATTTATTTTCTCAATTTTATAGTGTCATTTTGGAACCTATCAACAAATTTAGATTGGTTCGTATGTTCAACAAAAATGTTGAATCATGCCTTTTCATTTAAGGATGTTGTTGGCTGTTGAAATTTAATACATGTATAACAACATTTTCATAAATATTGGAGGTTTTTTTTAATGTATAATAATAATTCAAAATAAATTTTGAAAATTAGAGAATTTTTAGGGGCGAAAAGGTATCTCTAGATTTTTCGTATGCAATGTATAGGAAGAAATGAGTGCTTAACTTTATAGAATATAAGAATTTCAAAATGTTTTAACAAACATGTTTTTCAGATGTAATTTAAAAAAGATTTAATTTAAGGGATAGCTTGGCAAAATGATGTTAATGCATAACATAGGAAAAAGTCAGAGGGATTATAAAGTATTGAGGAAAAGATGAATGAAAATGTGAATTAGCATTCTTAATGTGACATTGTTGTTTATTTGTTTGAATAATGACTAGTATTCTTGTTAATTTGTTGAATTAGTGACAAAGTGTACTTGTAAATTTGTTTTTAATTGACCATAGTACTATAGTACTATAGACAGTCATTTCATGGCTTCAGAAAAATGGACACTCATTGAAGAAGTAGGATATAAGGGAGGTTTGTAGTCAACAATTTATTATAGATGGATGTGAACAAATATTTTTTATTTTGTTTAGGGTCTATGTAAATAATGTGGTAAGCTGATGAGTTGACATGGCCAATTAGTTGTTGGCTATAGTAATTTTGTTTTTGCTGTTTGATTGTTAATGGTTTTATATTTAATTCATCAAAAGTATTTTACCTGAGTTCAATGTGATCTTAAACTTAATAAGTGTCTTTCATAATTGTTTTACATAGAATAAAAGTATCAGGTTTCTACCAATTATTAATTGCCATTTATTGTTTTGCATTGATGCAGTAAATTATTTAGCTCACCTGGTTAAAGACTAGTATGAGTATTCGCTATCACTTGGCATCAGTAGTCGCTATACTTTTTCAAAGATCTTCTGATCCAAAATAGGTGAGTTACATTTTTCAAAAAGACGCTTAGTTAACTACTTTAATGCACCCACCTAACATACAGCTATATTATATATCATTTGAAAAGCTTATTATCTTTACTTTCTATTTTGCCCGGTCGTCAATAATTCGTACGGTGCATTTTTTGTTAAATCAAGGTCAAAGGTCAAGAATGGACATTCCCAAATTTCACAAGAATTAAATAAAATGCTCTTTGCTGGTTCTTGTATGATATTTTTTTTCTAAAACTCATATGGACATAATAGAAGAGAATACCATAATTCCAAAATAAATGCACATTTAAATTATAATTGCGTAATATTTGCAGAAAAATGCAATTCTTAAAAAAAAATTCAAAAATGATAATAGTTATCAAAGGTACCAGTATTATAATTTAATACGCCAGACGCGTGTTTCGTCCACACAAGACTCATCAGTGACGCTCAGATCAAAATATTTATAAAGCCAAACAAATCCTTATATAAAATTGCCCTAAATGCAAAGTATTTCTTCAGGTGTCAATATTTGTATGTCAAAAATAGAATAAATTTATCGTTTATAGGTGAAGGGATCTTGTTTTTCTTCATTTTAAACTGCAATCAATATCAAATGGTCAGGAATCAGCCTTCTATGGAAGCTTTTGCAGTTGCCCTAACTACCACCATCTGCAAATAGGAATCATTTTGCTTTTCATTGTTTAGATAATGCATCCATTGTTGTCAATATCAGGAGAAAATAATTTTCCATATTAAAAAAAAATGGTGATAAAAGTAATGTGGAATATACAAGGTATATGCAGTAAAAATATGTTTTGTCGATGTCCAAAGTGGAAATCATATCAAGGAGTTTATGCTCATTGAATATTTGAATGACTACTGTTTGCAACGCACTTTACTATCACAAATCTGGCTTTTTTTTGTTATCACAATATTACATACTATATCACCAATGTAGTTGTTTTATCAGTAATGACAGAAAATTGATATTGTGGAAGAATGATTAATCTTCCTGAGCAACTTCATTCACCACCGGTTTATGGAAGTGTTCGTATATTTCGGTGTAGTGTTTTTAGGACTGTTGTTTCTCCTTCTTTTATCGCTTTGTTTGTGGTGTTATATGTGTGCTTATCGGAGATGTAGGAATCATCTTGTCCCTTCGCCCATTTGTTTTTGTTCTTTCAATTCATATGTACATCCATTAGTATAACAAAACTTTGTAATGAGCAATACTCCTCGTATTTCGCTTGGTAAATTTAAGTGAAGTTCGAAGTGTTGAAGTGCACATATGGAGATTGTATATGAATGGATTTTATTCATGATAAACACATTAAAAAAGAGTTGAATAGCAAGCAATTAGAATTCACCAAAAACAAGCCTGCTTTTAAGTAATCTCATTTTAAAGCTTGTTTTTCTCACATTTAAACATACCATGTTGTATAGGTGTTTATATCAACTAATATCAGACACTTATTGCAGTTATGAGATCTTCGCACCATTAAACAGATTATAGCCTGCAAAGCATTGGAATGTAATGAAAAGAAAAAAAATTACTTATTCGTGTTATTGTTTGGATAAAGTTTTATGGGTTTTCTTTAAAATGTAGTTTGGAAAAAGACAATACTTCAAACCAATTAATTTTGGCAAACAATTTATTAACTCGACTTTTGTGATTAGAAAAATAACGCGAATAGAATTAACCTCGCTCTTCTCTAGTATGAAAATAAAGTGTGACAATCATCGCCAAACAATCGCAGGTCAACAACAGAGGGCTTAACGCAGCAATATGAAAAGTGCTATGTTTTGCCAGAGGTTGCCTACTGTCACAAAACGTTCTTGGTGATGATTGGTTAAATTGTTGGTGTGACACCTACACAGTAATTTATTTCGTTAAAGCTTTTTATTCTACATGTAAAAATGTTACTATTTAGAAAGTCTGATTATAACTATAAGTGTTGCGAATTGCTAGAATGTTCAAATAAAAAGATATAGACTGTAAGTTGATGTAAATAAACTCCTCATAGATACTAGGCTTAAAATGTTGTACGTCAGACGCGCGTTTCGACTACAAAAGACTCACTTGTGACGCTCGAATCAAAATTGTAAAAAGGCCAAATAAAGCACGAAGTTGAGGAGCATTGAGGGCCCCAAATTCCGAAAGGTTTGCCAAATACAGCTAAGGTTTTCTATTCCCGGGGTAGAAAACCTGTAGTATTTCGAAAAAATGCATTGTTTTGCAAACAGTTAATTTATAATTATGACCATATCAGTGAAAATTCATGTCAACGCAGAAGTGCTGTCTACTAAGCACTACTCCACCAGCAGTGGCACCAACCCAATGGTTGTAAAACAACTCCTCATAGATACCAGACTTAAATTGTGCACGCCAGACGCGTGTTTTGGCTACAAAAACGCAGTCGTATCGCTCGATTCAAAAAAGTTTAAAAGGCCAAATAAAGTACGAAGTTGAAGAGCACTGAGGACCCAAAATCCCGAAAGGTTTTGCCAAATACAACATGCAACTACATGTAACTGCAACCTGTCAATTTATTACAAGAAAATTACGCGTATTTGTATAAGGTTTCCTACTTCGGACTGGCACAAAGAACATTTCCAGGTTCTAGAATATAATAGGAAGTAAAATCACAAAAATACTGAACTCCGAGGAAAATTCAAGCGGAAAGTCCCTAATCACATTACAAAATCAAATGACAAAACACATCAAACGAATGGACAACAACTGTTCACTTCTTTCGTCAATGCACGATGATGTTGAAGCAACCAAGAAAAACAAATTCTAGTTCTATATAAAAGAAATATAAATTCGACTTTTCATTAATCAACTTACCTACTATGTAATTATCTATTTATGTATTTATTTTTGGGGACTAGCTTAATATCTATATATAAAGCACTTTATTTCTTTGAATGATAAACACGAAATTACAAAAAAAGAAAAAAAAGACAGATGAGTTTTTAACAGGCTGGCAGTTTAACTTCATTTTGAAATATCAAAGTTTAGCTCCCTAAATTCCCTTTAACAGCATGAATCTCGCGTGTTATTTTCTGCAAACATTTTTGCATTTTTTCTAAATGTGTTTCTTCAACCTAATATTGACTACATACATTTTTTTTAACGTAGAACAGTTAAAAAAGTTATCTGTTTGCAGATGGCGGTATTTTTGGCAACTGTATTAGTTGTTATAATTGGCTGTGTAATTAGCCAGAAATGTGATTGCAGTAATTTGATGATGTAAAAAAACGTCCTTAGCACTAAATGAAATATGTTATTTAGTTTAATCACTGACAAATAATTCGGTTTTCACTAATTTTTATCATTTTCACTGGAATTTCTGGAAAAAGGCGCTATCTATTAATGATACATCATTAATATCTAAAAGTGCGTTTGATAATTGTCTAATAGCCACGGTTCTAAAAGTTTTTCAAATTTCCACACATAATTTTATTATTTAGAAGATAGAATATGCAAAAATACTGACGTCTTATAAAATAAGAAATTGTCCGTCCTTGACCTTTCATCGTGATTTAACAGAAATTGCACCGTACGAATATTTGACGACCGGGCAAAAAAAAGAACCCACAGATGATATGCTTTCGAATGGTATATGATTTAGCCGTATGTTATGTGGGTGCGTTAAAAATGAAATTTTATGGTTAATGTCATTCGACTAAAACTGCTAAAACAATTTAAATCAAATTTGACTTGATTGATCCATTATAATGTTTTGTTTAATAAATCCTAGTTTATCAACCAACACCACGTTGGTTGAAAATGCAAAATAAGGAACATGCTGGTAATTGTCTCATATCTTGAAAACCATAGTAGATACATAAAAATCTGATATGTGCAAAAATGTCCAGGATGTTATGATCTACCTCTATTAAATGATATCATTAAATCAGCTGTGAGACATATTAATCAGCATGTGCTTTTTTGATGATGTTGCCCTGTTGATATTATTACAACTTGGGGTTCGTGTTGCTTAGTCCTTAGTTTTCTATGTTGTGTCATCTGTACTATTATTTGTCTGTTTGTCTTTTTATTTTTGGCCATGGCGTTGTCAGTTTATTTTCGATCTATGAGTTTGACTGTCCCTCTGGTATCTTTCGTCCCTCTTTTTTTTCGACCCATGGGCAGAAAAAAAGCTGTAATGGGCCATGTGCTAAAACTCGAAAATTACTTCAGTTGAAATTGTGTAATGGACATATTTTGATGCACATGATATATTTGGGAGAAATGGCTTTAAGATACCATGGAAGTTAGTTGGCCCTGTCCCTCAGTTATGGTCTATTGACTTTGAAACTTTTGCATAGTTAGCATGTTAAAGAATGTGATTAGGTCAAGTTTAAGGGGAATCACTTTGGTTTTTCTTTTTCGACAATGTTGTTTGTTTTGATAGTGATTAAGATTATAACACAATGTTGACTGCTGTACCCCAATTTTTGACATTTTTACCTATTATGTCTGTTTGGTTTGCTCACACATTGTTGTCAATATAATAGAATTTTATGCAACTGTCATACAAGTGAGAGGTTTAGCTGGCTATAAAACCAGGTTTAATCCACTATTTTCTACAAAAGGAAATGACTGTACCAAGTCAGATATACGACAGTTTTCCTTTCGTTTGATGTGTTTGAACTTTTGATTTTGACATTTGATAAGGGACTTTCCGTTTAGAATTTGCCTTCGAGTTCGGTATTTTTGTTATTTTACTTTTTGATATGTCAATTAGCATATCTTTTTCCAGGGAAATTATTTTGCCCTGTAACTTCAGTCATGTTTCATTGACTGTTTATTTTGCACATTTTACATGTTAAAGTATTGCTATTTTAATTTCAACATTTG